TATACTAAATAGATCCTTTCTCAACAAGAAAAGAATAAATAAATAAAAATATTTTTTAAAATTTCAAGCCAATGTGGGAAAGTGTAGATTTGTGACATCTGTTTAGAATAAACGGAACCTAGGTCATAAGCCAAAGAAAAATTTTGGATTTAATAAACATATTTATTCTCTAAAGGCGGACAAATTAGGTCTTTCATAGCTGAGAGAACAGTTCGTTTCATCTGAAATATTGGAAAATTTATCAATCAAAATTAAGAACGAACATGGAACATACAGGGCTATAACACATCAGCAGAGGGGAAAATTTCTTGTGCCTTCAAGAATGACGTTTACATGCATCTACAGCTGTTGGAACTTGGAAGAACCAGGATTGAATTAAAAGGATCAATTCTGACTGAAATCTTTGAGCTCTTCCTTGGTATCAAAACAGCTTAAGGGATGGATGATGCAGAAAAAGAATGGCCTTGTTATATATATACATATATATATATATATATGGTGTCAGAAATAAATCTTGTTAGTCAAATCAGACTGCAGTGCATATCGAACCTGCAACGTAAGGGAAAAGATTTTATGAACATGATGCACCTGAATCTCAATTTTACAGAAAGTTCATCAGTTCGAATATAAAAAGAAAACAATACTAGGAACTTGGATAGAACGGTATCAATTATTCGTGGCATCATATGCCAAATATAAAGAATCACTCTGTAACACGAAAAGAGGACAATGATAAGAAGGGATGGATGCACTTGTTAAATTGTTTTCCGTCATCTTAACCAATCAATCACCTTGGCAACCAAATGTTTTATATAAAAGATATGTAGCTTGCTTTTGCAAAATGGCGTGTGTGGACACATGTAAAGGCAAGTATGTTGGCATCTTTTTGTATGTGGGAAAGAGAGGAAGACTGACCTGTAGACCAGTGGGAGCAGCAAAACTTCCCCTCATCAACATGCTTCACATCAAGCCCAATAAACCATGATCCTGCACTCACATCATCATGGGCATATATTCGAAGAATAGACCTGCAAAGAGGAAAATTAATGTAAAACTCAGAGCAATCTAAAAGCCAGGGTGAAAGGTGGTGCTAAGAATTACCTATTAATCGAGATAAACTGTGCAAAAGCTCTTGAAATGGCATATATTTCACCTGAAGCATGCCGAAAGTATCTGCACCATACACAATAATTCGAAGATGCAAATAGAAAATATACAATGACTTGGGATATCAGGGACAAGAAGCTGCAAGAACACCAGAATACATAATACATGAAGATTATATGACAACTTTCAAGTAAACACTGAGCATTTGACCTCTGTTGTACTTATAGTTAAAAAAATCAGGAACTTAAACATGTAAGCTATTTGAGCCACGACTATTAAATCATTACTAAACTTCCATGATGTATTGAAGAAAAAAAAAAAGAAAAAGAAGATTCTATGTTACTCATGATTTTGCATCACCAAATTTCCACCAGTCTGGTTCATACCATTTGTGAGTCCTATAAATGTAAAAGAACATAAATATAAGGGCCCACAAATCTTTAGAAAAGGGTAGTTGGGAAGGAGGTGATGACAAAATCCAACATAAGTTATAATTAAATGAAAACAATCAGAGTATACTCACGGTTCACAGAAAACTTCTCCAGACTTCATACACCCCATATAAACACGAGGATTATCCAAATGAGCGGAAAGTATTGCTCCTAGGGTATCTGTAAAACAATCAAATGAACAACTATAAATATCAGTAGAGGCTGCAAATAATTATTTACTTCGATGGCAGCATGTATTCTGAATTAACAAAGGCAACCATAGCTGGCCCATTTTGATTTCAACAATTTTTGTTGATCATCACCGTCATATTTTCTGCAACAATTCTTCATATTTATGACTAGAACTTAAAATGTCAGTGAAATAGATACAACTCAGACATCGATTATGGGGATTTAAGGCCTTTAGCAATTGATACTAGTATAGATTACAAGAGAAAATTCTAGAGAAAGAAGGAGAAGGTAAACTTCCATATCAAGAAGAGATGCCAATATATTCACAAGGTGGTACCTAATTCATTACCTACACGAACTAATAAGGATTACACACCAACATTAACATAAACATCATCGTTGACTTTAACATAGAACTCTGCATCCCAGCTCTCCACAGCATGAACAAAGAAAAATTTTATCTTCTTTGAGCGTTCCTTGGGTGCCTCCATGTGATTCTGTTGAGACACAAAGAGAAAATTGAATATTTGCCACTCCAAGATCTAATCCATTGGAAAATGTTGATTCACCAGCAATAATATACATAACATGTGTCTCAAGTCACAGTGGTTTTGCAGGAGTACTAATGAATGCTCATTGTCACTATATAATATGCATGCATGCATATATACAAACAGCAATGCGGCGCACCAAAAGTTAGAATGAAGGGTATCCGTAAGTTACTATAATTTTCAACTCTATTTACCACTAACTTCTAAGGGCTACAATTCCAGTCAGAAGAATATAATGGTATATAAGCTTTAAGTTACTGCATTCAAAGTAAAAACCTCACTAAATATGCATAAAATTGCTTCAACTAGCAGGTCAACTTACCAGAAGGATGAAGTCATTAGTCTGGCTGTGTTCGTTGTCAATCTCCCTGTCAAAACTATCTCCACAGTTCACACTGCAAGTAACATAAAATTTCAATGAACAGATATGGAAAAAAAAAAAAAGTTGATAAGCAAGGATTGTCAATTAGAGACCTTCTTCCTAGTACGAATCACACAATGATTCCCTTCTCTTCTTCTAGTTTTTTCAAAGCCGCACCTTCCCATATTGTATTTTCAGTTTAACTACTACCCGGGGAACTAACTGGGGAAATGGATAATTAGGTAGCAAGATGTTTACAAAATCTATGAATAATTTAATGGAGGGAGAAAGAAATTGGAATGCAATATCAATCAACTATGGTAGAGAAGGAATATATTCTTTCAAGATCCATTTGAGTCAGGATAGATTAATATCACACATTCTCACCTGTCCTAATTTCAACCTTTTTAATGCTATTGATACCAAGCCATCTAAACTTACAACAGAATAGTATTCATTGTTTCATTTAGCTTTTCAGTTTAACTAAAGAAACTCTCAGCTTTTAACTTACCATGGATATACGTAACTATGCCGATTGCAGCCTTCTAATTTACAGCTAAACAAAAAGAGATCACAACTCCATTGTTCGCATAAATTAGCAGTTAATAAGTTTGCATGTGACTGAATATTAGTTGTCGGTAGACAACATTCTTCTATGTGCCTGTTTGAAACTTTGGCATCATAAAGCATCCATCTGCATTCTATTTCATGTGTTTTAACGCCACTTCACCCCAATAGAGAGAGAGAGAGAGAGAGAGAGAGAGAGAACTACTGTACTCGCTACCATGTGCAAGAGGATTGAATAAAAATACTTGGAGCCTACCATACTGGCATGTTTCACTATTTTCAATCATCCTAATAACACCCATAAAACCTGTCAAGAGAAAGGAAGCATTACCAGATTGCATCCACGCTTTCCGAATTGCATCTTTATTTTTCTTTCATCCAAATGTTGTGATGACACCTATAACAGCTAAAAGCCTTTTCTTAGAATGAGTACCAGCATACTCCAAATGCTCCTTTGAAACAAAACCTTCCTGCCTAGCAGTCGCAAGATCCATCTCAAGGGCTGATAACTTTTTCTGTTGTTCCCTGGAATATCATGCTTTATCAAACTAGACTCGGCATGCAGAGTAAAAAGAAGCTCATAATGTGCAGAAATGCAAAAGCAAAAAGGTTTCCTGCAGGCTATAATTTTTAGCGCATCATCAACAGATATAGCATAATGGCCCTGAAAAAGTTTAATAATTAAATGTCATTACAATCCAACTGATTTGTCCAAAACAGAGATCATCTTCCAACTCTTAAACATGAACATCATCAAAACAACTTCACAAAAACAATTCCCAACTATCAATTTTATGCTAAAGCATCAAGCTTGATAGCGAATGCGACTGCAATAAAAATTAGACCATCATGGGCAAAGTTTTTTGAAGAAATGTAGCAAAAAACAATGATAGGTGCTGCCAAAAGCCAAATGCACTCATGTTCAAACCCAACCCAATGGCAAAAAAGGGAAAAAAAGACGCAGATTAATCTCAATATAAAAATAGTTGGGATCAAGAAGACGAGGGAAAAAATAAAAGAAAATCACCTGACCAGTTCTCCTGTCTAAGTTCTTGAATTAAATATAGTCTGCTCTCTGCGTCTTACCACATTCTATATTTAAATGACACCAAAAAAAAGCGTCAAATAAAAAAATTTTGAATAAGCCCAGAAAGAAAAAATGGAAAAAGAAAGAGATTTAAACAGCCGGCAACGTAAATTGTAGCCATGGTAGCGAACATGGCGAGAACCAAAGCTGAAATTCGAGAATGAAAAGCATGGCCACCAGAGTTAGAAAGCTGGTTACTCGTTCCCCAGGAACGCATTTTCCCTTACTCGTTTTCAACAACCCTCGATAAACAAACAGGATTAATGGAAAACCCTTTTCTTCAGATCAAACAAGGTTTGACTTAAAAAAAAAAAAAATCTTGTGTTTGAATCTGAGTCTGAAGTTTGCTTCTTTTTTTTTTTTTTTTAGGAATAAGAGCAAAGGTCGATTTGGTTTTTTTTGGGTTTTTCTGACCTTTAAAGTAGGGAGATTACGGCGTCGTTTGGATTTTCAAAGCCACAACAATATACTACTTGGTCACTTCCACGTGGCATAATCACCGACTCTGATCTTTCTTTATTTATATTCTTCGTCAAAATCCGATAATTGATAGTTTCATTTCCCAATATCCGACGATCAGAAAATGTCCCCGTCATTATGAGGATAATAACAAAATAGTCTCTTTTTTTGGCCAAAGTGGAAAGAACTAATTACAAAACAGTCAAAATAATAAATAAATAGGACTTTTTTTTTCCTAAAAAAATAAAAATAAAAATAAAAAACAAACGGCTCTTGATCGTACACATCTCGGAAGCACGTATAAGAACTGCTTCGCTTTATAGATCGCTTCATTTTATTTCTTTCGATCGAAAATCAGGTCAGAGAAAAAAATAAAAAATCTCTTCTTTCTACGGTTTTCTCTGATCAGATCATCAAAAATCAAATCAAGATCCCCGCGAAAATGAACGACGCAGATGTATCCAAGCAGATCCAGCAGATGGTGAGATTCATCCGCCAAGAAGCAGAGGAAAAGGCTAACGAGATCTCAGTTTCCGCTGAAGAAGTACTTTAATTTTCAATCATTTATGCAGTTGTCTTTTTTTTTTCCTTTTTGGCTTAAAATTTTGTAAATTTTGAATATTCCGGTTAATTGATGGGTAAACGATGGGTATTTTAGGAATTCAACATCGAGAAGCTCCAATTGGTGGAGGCGGAGAAGAAGAAGATCAGGCAAGAGTACGAGAAGAAGGGGAAGCAAGTTGAAATTCGAAAGAAAATGTAAATTAATATGTTTTTTTAAATTTTATTTATTCTCCATTTGTTTTTGCTGTAAATTTCAGTATATAGTTCAACTGATTTATCAGGCTGGATTTCTTTAGTTTATCGTATATTAAGTTGAAGTCAAAGTGAGGTTTACATTTCTACTTAAATGTAAGCAAAATTTGGAACTTGATTTTAATTTATTGAAAATTAGTCATATTTGAGGATGGCACTGGTTTATTCAGTAATCTGAAGCCATAATGTGATTTGGGTGAATTTTAGAACATTGAAGAAGTTTGATTATCATGATGATAATTGATGCAAAAGCAAAGTGGGCGGAATTTCTTTTGATGCAGAATTGTCGTGTATCCGTTCTGTTGTGAATAAGATTGAGCTGTATATTTTTTCTTGCAGTGAGTATTCGATGCAGCTTAATGCGTCTAGAATCAAGGTCCTTCAGGCTCAAGATGATGTGGTTAATGCCATGAAAGAATCAGCATCCAAGGACCTTCTGAATGTGAGCCGTGATCATCACGTGTATAAAAAGCTTTTGAAAGATCTAATTGTTCAGGTCAGTGTATGGCAAGATCATTAAGCCATTCTTGAAAATCTCGGAAAGTTGCAACATTAGATAAAATCTTAGGAGTTTTTGGTTTGAATTATTATTATTTACGGGTGAATCTTAAAAGTGACGTTTAATTGCAGGGTTTGGTCAGACTGAAAGAGCCTGCTGTCTTACTGCGTTGTCGCAAAGATGATGTGCACTTGGTAGAGTCTGTCTTGGATTCAGCAAAGGAGGAATATGCATCTAAAGTGAATGTTCATCCACCAGAGATATTCATTGACAGTGTCCATCTTCCCCCTGCTCCTTCTCATCATAATGCCCACGGTCCTTTCTGGTATACATTTTTAATTCTACAAAAATGCAAGATTACATGTTCTCAACTATGCAATGTTTTGGCAGGAATTATTAATTCTTTGGAACTACCTTCCTCCTTATAGTTTATAAGTGGGAAGGGATGGTCTTTGCCTTTTTGGTGTTATGAAGTGATTGGCTTAAGTTTGTATTAAGTGTTGACTAGTATGATTATACTACTTGTTATATGAAATATTAGTAATATATAAGCAATTTTTGTAAGGAGTTTTTAATGGGATTCTGCTGTTTTATGATCTTAGCCATCTCTCCTTGATGCACCTGCCTTCTCTTCCCCCTACCACAAAGAATAAAAAGAACAGTGATGGAATGTTAATACTGATTTTTCATTTTTCTCATTTTGCAGCTCTGGAGGTGTAGTGTTAGCATCTCGAGATGGAAAAATTGTGTGTGAGAACACCTTGGATGCACGGTTGGATGTTGCATTCCGTAAAAAACTTCCAGAGGTGTGTTTGGTAGCTTTTGAGATACATTTAGTCATTTAGATGAATTTCTTCACTTAGTTATACTAATTCCCGATCCCAACCCCCCCCCCCACACACACACGCACCCAAAAAATACAAGCAATTGGTTTCTACCCAAGAAAGATAGTACCTATAGTTTCTTGGTTATCCTTTGCTTTCATGGCCTGGATGGAGAGATTGTTTCTCTAATTAATTCTTCATGAGGAGTTAGGATATGCAAATTGCAAGTGCAGAGTCCATAGAATGCATGCCTTTGTGTGTATGTGTGTGTGTGTATCTTTGTTTCTTGTTTGTGTGTGTGTTGGCATGGAGGGGGAGCAATTTAATGGATGGTGTTCTCAACTGCTTTATGCAGATAGGAATTTTCAAGGTTTTGTATTTTGATCATAGACATCTATCTTTTCTCATTTGCTTGATTTTTGACCCTTGAATTAAAATATTTTCTGCCCCCTTCCTTTTCTCAACTTAGTTTATTTCCTTTCATTGCAGATCCGCAAGTGGCTCTTTGGTCGGGTTGCCGCTTGAAGGGTAGGATTGTATTGTTTTCTCAGCAGCTTTGGTCATCGACCATAGAGCATACTGTTGAAGCTGTTTGTTCATGAATTCTCTTTTTTTTTTCTACCCGGATTGTTTGTTTACCAAAAGTTAGGGAAACTGTTCTTTTATTGGTGCGAATATCATTTTGAGGGATGGTGAAGTACACTTTTCTAAATAACGCATAAAATATGAAGTGTTTTAAGCATGATGTGGGATGCTGTATGTCTCCGGAAGTGCAATTCCTGCTAAACTAGTGTTTGCTCAAAATCTGGAGTTAAACTTTTGTTTGTGACCTCATGAGTCCCTAGAGATCTCAGTTTTTTCCAAATTCGATGGGTAACTTAATTTTTTACCTTTAACGAATATGAGATGGGTATTAAATTTTAGAGATGAAAATGATTATGGATATGATTTTAAAATTTTTATCTAAGTATTGATACAAAAATAAGTAATATAATATTCACTGCATACTTAAATCTTATATATTTATATATGTTTAATAAATTAATTTTTTATTTAACAATATAAATTTTATTTTAAATTAATTATAATTAATATATTTATATTTAAAATATATATTTATAAAAAAAATTACATAAATGTGTACAATAAAAATAAAAAAGTTTAAAAAATATTTTTTATTTTTTTCTTAAAAAGTTAAAATATAATGATTATTCATATTCATTAAATATTTATAAAAAAAAAACAGTTGAATTAAAAAAATTTTGTTGAATATGATTACAGTTATTAATATAATATAAGAAATCGAGGTTATGTTTGGCACATAGAATGAGTTGAATGATATAATACTAATTATCTTATTATATATTTATTATGTACTTAAATAAAAAGATTGAATTATTAAAAAAATTAGATATCATATGTCAATAAGATAACTTTATTATTTGAAAAATTATAAGATTTTTTTTAATTCATAAGATTAAATTTACATATATTATTATAACTTTAAAAATTATATCAATAATTTAAACTATATAAACTTTAAAAAAAATAATTTAATTAATAAATAAATTATTTTGTTTTAATCTTTATATTTATCAAACATAAAATATAATAATATTATTTAATTTAATCGTATTTATAATATTTATCATATCTTATCATAATTTTATGTATTAAATATAACTCAAAAATAAAAATATAATATTAAAAAATCGAAGACAAGAATAAAAAATATTCTATTCGACCCGTAAATGTATCTAAGTCCCCGCTGATGAGTTCCTGATCTCAAGGCGGACTGGGGGAATATCAGTAACACTACTTATTTGATCAATAAAACACTGGACAATCTTTGACAAAGATAACTCCAATATTGTATTGGATCGTACATGTGAGAGTTTGAACACGATCAAGAATGGTTATCCCTTTCATTTCACTGGTTTATATATTGGCCAAAGCCTAGCTGTTCAAGTAGCATCACGGTGTATGTTATCTTCGCTTTTTCTTTAGCATTACGCAGTCATATCTTCTCACCTATTCCACCAGCTGGACCCATCTTTAGGCCTAAAAAGATAAAAAGAACGGTGGTGAAAAAGAAGGTGGTCCAGTCAGGGTCAGCCCACTGAGCCATGTTGGGCAACGTGGATCTGGCCTGTTATCCTTCCACTGCCAAGAGCGGGAAGTTTTCGCTGCTCTGTGAAACCAGCCTCACGCAGTACCATCCGCTCTAAGAGCCACGGGACCCAGAGTTTTTACTCAAGCTCCGTGGCTCAACTCTTTGCTTGGAATGGGCACGCCAGAATTAAACCACGTTAGACCAGACTTAGGAACAGAACCCATGTTCCACCAACTTAATGCCCCAATTTTGGTCACAAGCTTGCATTACTAAGCTCGGCGACCAAGTCTCGGGGTAACTGGGTACATAAACAACAATAATTTGTTCTTGATGGGCGATGTGGGATTCTCTCTCTTCCGAAGGTTCTTCTACTCGTTGAGGTGATGAATTTGGGGACTTCTTGGAAACTTAAAATGAAGATTTGGGTACGTCAAATGATATGTTTTACATCATTTGTAAGACGAATATCCTGTTTCATAAATTTATGGAGGATTGATGAAAGAGAAATCTAAAAAAATTGCAATCAAACCTTAAAGTAGGCTACTTTGTTTTCTCCTCAATGTTATTATATTGTATGAATATAGAACATGCCAAATATCCTACAAAATAATTTTGTGAGTATAAAAATAAAAGAAGCATCATAAATTTCACCACATCGAACAAATTTGTATCAAACCATTTTTATTTGCGGATTGAAACCATGTTCTATGAACTATATAGTTTTTTATATGCATTAATAACTTGCACATAAAAGCTTTAATGTTATAAAGAGACCAAGAAATGGTGTGTGATGATGAACAGTTTTAATTGATTTTTAAAAAAATTGATTGTATTTCAGTTTTTGATTCTCCCATTGATAAGAGGGTGAAAATTGCAAAGAAATCAGTAAAAACGTTATGATGGTTCGGTTGGATCGAACCCACAAAGCCATGTTGGATCCCCGATTGGGCGGCCTGCTATTGTCCTTTCAACGCCGAGGTTGCCCTCCGCATAGGTCCCTTAGTTCAACTCCTTGTCAGGTACTCAGGTTCAGGGTTTTAGTTAAACAATTTAACTCCTTGACTCAGTGGGCAGACCAGGCAATTGGCCACTTTGGGGACAGGACTCGGTGGGTAGGAGCCCTCCATCAGCTTTTTGCCACTACTCAGGTTACAAGCCCGCGTTGCCAGGGTGGGCGATCAGGGTGTCAGGCTGTAGTGTATATGTAAATAACAAGAGTCTCCGAGTTCTAGTCTTCTCTTTAAAAATTTATAGATTTTATATGAATCAACAAAACCAGGCACATTCTAATTAAAGGCCTTGTCAGAGTTTCTTATTCGGGTTAAATCAAAACGTTTCTTTTACTATATAAATTGTAAAAATAATGAACGAAAAAAATCCAAGAAAATGGGATGAATCCCCGTTTTCAGCTTCATGATTTTCTTTTCACTTCACCTCCAATCAAACACAAAATTACACCATGTATGTTAGCTAAGTAAGCGACGACATCCCACATGATTGACCCACAAATTCTAACATTGTTTCTCTGCAAAATTCTGGACAATGGACACATCTCCCATTAACTCGGCGTATTTCTTTTCTTTAGTGGGCTCCCAACCAAACCACAAAAGTATACATGATGCATACAATGCATATGTGTACAACGAAAGCGAGAAAACATATATTAAAAGAATTGAAAGAAATCAAATGATTAGAGCTAAAAAATTGAAAAAGATTAGATGGTGACAACTTTAAGGGAAGCATCCTAATCAAAGAGTCAAAGGCCCACACATTGAAGAAAAGATAATGTTTAAATTTGCTATTGCTCTCCTCCCTCCTAAAGATAATATTCCACTCAAATTCAAGAACAACCACTCCCCTGTAACATTAATTCTTCTAGGTTTTTTGTACGCAATGAAACCGTGGGTATACAGTGAAGCTCCGTGCAGAAACTGTTCAAAAGCAAACAAATTCGTTACCTGTTAACCACTTCCATCCTCTCAAGAACAATGTTTGGGGGGACAGAAACTCTCGTTCCATTCTCTCAAGAAATTAAAGAAAGATGATTAATGATTTAATTTTCCAAAACAGAGGGAAAAGGAAATTTGGAATTGCAGCCACGTGGTCGTCGTCAGTCCATGTCGCCAATGATCAACATGCTCTTACATGTCAATTTAAGCATGACGACCAAGAAAAAAACCCTTCTGCATTGTCTTTACAATGCAAGTTGCTGTTAATTGTCTGGTTAAATATTCACCTAATAAGACTTTTATTTTTTGTTCTTTTATTATTATTAGTATTTCATTGTTTTGTTTTGAAGCAGAGATAATTTCTGACTGGCAAAGTTGGATTATTGCAGACATGTTTTGATACTCAGTTCGATCTTATCGCAGGCAACTTCTGATAGTGAGATATAAAAATTATGGGTTAGAGTCAGAATTAGTCAGTGCTTATCGCCCTCATAAAACTTGCTTTTTGGCTAGGTATGTGGAGAGACAGAATAAAAACAGCTTCAAGACACAGGACTGGACAAAACTAAAGAGGGAGTAAGTAGAATAACTTTGGCTTAAAGATTCGTGCAGTAGTTAAAAAGAGATCTTGGCTGGATTTAGCTGGCCTACCTGTCGATATGTTCCTAATGAGGCCAAATGCCAGAGCTTCTCTCAAAATTGCATTCCCATGCCAGGTTTTCCTTTTGGGTTTTCACCTAATAAAGTTGTTTTTTAATCATCTATGTCTAAACTATTATCTTCTTTTTGTTTTCACACACTCTAGATCTCTCAAGCAGCTGAGGTAAGTATTAGCTAAACCCTCATAACAAATTTAACGAACTCCAACTATGATTTATCAACTGGATTCAAAATTGAACATCTCGAAAAAGAATAAAAATATGAATCCTGTTACTAATTATGTAACTTAAAAGAATATTGAATGAAATGAAAAATAGATAAAGAGAATTGAAAAGTTCAAAAGATCATGAAAACGCATTTGCGAAAGGCAATAGAAAAACATCAATTACTGATATTTTGCAATAAAAGAAAAGATGCCATATATAATGAACCACAGACGAGGAGGCCAGTTATAACATATTAAATAGCAGTAAGCATAAATATAGATAATGAAGATTTCCTTGGGAACTCCATTGCATGGACACAAAGACAAGGAAAGAGACAAAGGTAGTGGTGACTGGTGAGATCGAGCTCTGATCTGTCGGGTGGGTGGGGTTTCCCCCCACGTATGGGTTAGGTGTTGGGTGGGCCAACGGTTGTCTTGGCTGTATAAGTGTAGAGGGCATTTGTCAGAGTAAAAAGATTGGCAATAAGGCCGCCAGGAGCTGCATGGTGTTAGATGGATCGGCAAATATTGGCCATATTCTCATGCCCCTTCCCTCTCCTCTCTCGATGCAAACCCTCATCACTTGGCTAGTTGGTCATGCCTCGTTAATCAGACACCCCTGTCTCCGCTGGCTCTTCTTTGCGCCCCCCCCCCCCCTCTCTCTCTCTCTCTCTCTCTCTTCAACCAAGTTATAAGCAAACCAGGATCCTTCTCATAGATAATCATGGTCACCATTTTCATGGTGATCGTAACACAAAATTGATTGAAGGAACATTATTTTAGGATTGGGAGAAAGAGACTGAGGTGGAATGGACCAAAAAACTTTGTCTCAAATCATTCAATAATTAGACCATTTGATGCGTTAGTGGCGCTCCTATTTAAGATGATACAATGACACCATAATGTGTCAAAGACACCAAATGTCTAATCCACTAGCCATGTCTATACCTTATACACCTCCCTTATTTGCCATTGATTTGTTGGGTTCTTTATTGCCAAAGGGACGAGTAGTGGAGCCAATAACCCCTATTCTTGATTAGGGCATTTCAGCACCATGGCTGTTTTTTTTTTTTTTTGCCTATTTCTTGATAATTGAGAATCCATACTTTTCTTTGCTATAACGATTGATGATGTATTTACCCTTCCAAGTTTAGTTCATGTGAAGGAGGTAGAAGGGGGACAAAGGTTGAACTTGGAATCTTGATTAACCGGCCAATAGGTTATACATAATCTATCATTAATTTGTACTCTTAAGTTCTAGCTAGGACCTTAAATATAAATAAGGTGAAATTATATATATATAATTGGATGAATTCGAAATTTAATTCAATTGATTTATGTAATTATTTTTAAAAATTAATATTTAATAAATATAAAATTTTAATTTTAATATTTATAATTTTTTATCTTCAAATCGGAGTACTTTCTTTCATTAAAAAACATTGATAGTATGTAAAAACAAAATGGAGAAAAAAATAGAAAATGCTTTTGACTTCTTTTCCCATTTCTACAAACAAAAAAGAATCCAAACTCGAGTCACACAACAACTAGGTGCTAGCATTGAAGAAAATTCGAAACCTCTCGAATCAATATTTGAAAAGAATTTCATGATATTGAGGGTTAGGTAATCGAACGTGGTGTTGAAAATATCCCATTTTCAAAGACTAGTCATAATAATTCTCTTTATCACAGTTTGATTGGTACACGCCTTTCATTCATGCTAAATTTTCTTGGAGCCTATTTTCTTTACATTTCCAAAGAAATTGCAAATTGTCATTGATTCTCTGGAAGCCCTTCTCTTTTGAATTCTTTTCTTTTGTTGGGTTCGTCCCGGTGGGTCCAAGAAAATGCTCTTCCAATGCTTATTAAAATCAATGAATTGGGCGTGCGAGTTGTAAATTTTACCCTTTACAAAAGAACAGTCATCACTAAAGTGAATTGTTGTATAATATTCCTAGGACTAAGAAGGCACACACAATCAATTTTTTCTTTGAGCTGCCTCTCTTTTTTACTTGTCAAAGTAGCTACTCGAATTCAAAAAGAGAAAATTTTACCAGGATGAAATCATTGTGAGTATCATCTAATTTGTTTCATCATCAATTTTTCCATAGCATCGAAGCCATTGGTTTGAAATTATCATAAAGGAATGAAGGAAGGATTGGTTGCAGATCTTTTAAAATTTTTAAAATTACAGATTGTCTGTCAATAAAAAATTTTGAAAGTTTGAAGTAAGATTATTTTTATGAAATTATACCAAGTTGTTATAGCAATTTGCTATAAAAATTTTTATTACAATAACTTTTTTTTAATGGGTTAATGGTTCGAAATCAACTTTATAAGTTTTTTTTTTTTTTTATTAATGCAGAGGATCACAAAGATGACGATGATGATGAAATAAATTTACCGCTACATACACTTTGTTACAGTGCGAATGCCTTGCGTAGTGTTTTTCTTGCCTTCGTATTCGCTTCAACGTTGGTCCTTTTTAATCTTTGAATTTTCTCAAACAAACTTAATTACGTGCTGTAATGTCTAACCGGCATTGTTTTCAGTCTACTCTTTCTCAATTTTCAATTGGAAAATTAGTCATTCCCTTTTATTCTAATCGAAAAGCTCTCCCATACTTTAGCTATTAAATCATCTTGAAGACAAAAGGATGTATATTTTTCTCATTTTATTTTTTAAAATATTTGAGGATTAAAATTTTGAATTCAAATTTTGGAATAAAAAATTAACTATTAAATCAAATATTTAATTATTTTTTAAAGTATTAAATGAAATAATATAGTGACTGAGAGTTTTATGTATCTATTTGTCAACATCGTAATTAAAAAATTAAAATCAAAATATAATTATTTTATTTACAAGAGAAAATCTTGACGAGGTTATTTATTTTCACATTAATAGTCAATAATTGAACTATAATTTATAAAAAAATATTATTCTCTCATTGACTTTATTTTTCTAAACGTGTGGATAAATCTTTAATTTCCAAAGCAAATCATATCTTTTAATGAAACAATTCTAGAATCAACAACTCTATAATCAACAATTTAATTTTGATTAAGTAGTAATTCTAGCTCAAGACAATTGAGCTTAATATAATATTTGTTTGTGCTTAATTTTAATTTCAGGATATCGTTGAATAGACCCAAAAAAAAAAAAAATCAATTAAAGGCAAAGACAAAAAATATTTCCTCCGTTAACATTTCACCTACAAACCAAAATAGGTGAGGTGAGAATAAGAGTAATAAAAAATAATAATAATATAAATTTGTCATAATGATATTTAGATCTTTATGTTTATAGATAAATAATGAAAAATCATTAGGAGATATTAAAAATAGTATCGAGCTGATGTAGTACTAAATATGTTAGATCGAATAAATGCAAATGATAAAATTATTTTTAATTGTTTGCTAAAAATTTTTAACATAAAAAATATAATCACTAAATATTTCAAACAGTATTAATTGTTAAAAATTAATTTCAATAAGAATTTGATTCAATTAATACAATCATTTTTATCGATGTAAATAATTTTATATTTGAATTCAACTGATAATTTTTTATTGAGATCATCTTAAATACAAAACTTAACAATCAGGGAAAATTTTATTTGCCCTTGAATTTTTTTGTGCCAAAAAATATTGTTAAAATAAACATGTTAAGTGAAGCTTGTTAGATGGCATGTCCAATGTAGTAATTTCACTTCCAACTCTCTCTATAAAATCACTCCTCGTCTCCTCCGAGTTCAGTCTCTCTCACACAAACACAAAAACAGAAAAACAAACCAAACTCAACAAACAAAACACAGAAAAAAAAAAAAAAAAGCCTTCCCACCTCTCAGTTTCTTCTAAAGAAAAAATGGGCTTCCCTGTAGGCTACCCAGAGCTTCTCCTTCCAAAGCCACTTCTCCACACACTTTCTTTTCTCAGTTACCTTCGCAAATTCATTTCCACTCTCTTCCTTTATTTGGGTTTCCCAGATTTCCTCGAACCCGACATTCGCTGGCGAGGCCGGGCCGGAACTGACGCTTCCTTCTCCACCTCCTCTTCTCCCACGTGCCGCCCCATCCCGGTCTCAGCTCTCCTCATCCGTGAACTTCTACCCGTTGTCAAGTTTTCCGACCTCGTCGACCCGCCAGACAGCTGCGCCGTTTGTTTGTACGACTTTAAAGGGCAGGATGAGATCAGGCCACTGAGGAATTGTCGACATATATTCCACCGTAGCTGTTTGGACCGTTGGATGGTATATGATCAGAAAACATGTCCGCTTTGTAGAACATGTTTCGTTCCCGATAACATGCAAGAGACATTTAACGAGAGGCTTTGGGCTGCTTCCGGGTTCCCCGAAATTCTTTGGTGATTATTCTCAAATTACTGCTTTGTATTGTAGCTATAGAAAAAGCAACAAAAAGAAAAGATGGGTTTTTTTATTATATAATTATTATTATTTTCCATCTTTTAAGGAATTGTGTGTATATATTATATACACGAAAGATCCGGAAATTACCACAATGAAAAAAGAAAAATGAAAATTGAGCTATTAAATGCAGAGTTTTTATTTTTGCTTAGCTCCAATTCTTTTTTAAGAATTTTGGGTGAATAAATATTTATATTTGTTACTCTTTTTGTTATTAATTTTTTGGATTGATAATTTTTTTTTGGTTAGGTTTTGTGAAAGTATTTTATTTTATTTATATCTCTTCTTCTTCTTAGTAGATGGTGTTTTTTCTTTCAATATACAATATATTTCAAAAACAATTAATTATTATTTTTTAATCGGAAAGCAAATACAAGGAATAAGAGAGGAAAAGGAGAGACTTTGATCGAAATCAAACTCTTAATGTCTCTTCAAATGCTTTTAATTATTAAACTAAAGATTTATTTTTCAGCACCAAAATAATAAATCAAATAATCAATAAGGAATATTAATGAGAAATTAGTTGATGCATTAAAAAAAAAAAAGAAAAATCAATCAAAAAGTTGAAGGTGAAGGTGGATGTTTAATCTTCTCAAATGAATTGGCTGGTTGGTTGCTATGTACGTACGTGTAAATCTAGCCTTATATGTTTTTGGAGTATATATAATTGATGAAGGGTTTTTTTGGTATAAAAATATTTTTTTTATACTAAGATATTAGATTCCCAGTCAACTTAAATTCAATTTTGATGTTAAATATTGGATATTAGGTCCTCAAGTAACTTGAATCTAATTCCTTTTCAAAGTTAAAACTTTCATAAATGTCAAAGTTATTGCAATTCTATTTTTGCCATGCTGGACTATATACGTAATCATTTTTAAGATATAATATTTAATATATGTAATTTTTTTACTTCAATGTTAAGATTATATTTATATATAAAAAAAATTGATCGGTATCAATGAAACCTTAATTTAATGATAAAGAGAATAATTTAGAAATTTGAGGCCCTAGACTCAAAGTCTCAAATATGTATTAGTTCGGTTTAACTATATATTAAATTTGTCTAATTATTTTTTAAATTATTGATTAATCTGCTTGATTATTCAATAATTTTTTATTCATAAATATAATACTTGATTATGATTAAACTTACAAATTGATCGGCGGGTAGTAGATTCGTTTTCTCTTACCCTAGCTAATTCTTTATCTAGCAAGAAATTGATCATATTCATGTATAAAAGGATACCCATCTTAGGCTTGGTTTTGTATTGCGGTTGGGCTGTAAAAAATTGAGTGAGAAACTATTTTTCCAAGTCAAATGCCATATTGAAATTCAAATTACAGTTTGCAAGCTAATTAAGGTATACCAAATTTATCCTTAATTTTATTGGATTTATGAGTACAAAAATGCATAATATCTATTTGATAATTTTATAAAATCAGTACACAATGACACCTAGCTGAGAGTGTAGACGAGTAGGCTGCATTTAGGTTGCTAAATGCTTTTGAAAGAGTCCCACAGGACTCTCCACCTCCTTTCTTTTCTTCAAAATTTTCATCAGATTTTTTTAAACCCTTTTCAAATTTGATATTTTTTTTCAAAATTATTTGTGATTACAGGCTTGAACATAGATTGCAATCAACTAATAGAGTTAACGTGGGAATAACCTTGATCTAATTCTGCATTTTCAGACTCGCCAAGTACCAGGGAATATCTCATATTCTTTGGGAGGCAATTGTTTCAATCAATAACCCTTGTTGAACAAAGCATTATGCAGACATGAGCCGATTCGATTTGATAGTAGATGTCAAAATGGCAATCTTTAGCAATCTCAAAAGCGTAAATACCAGGAGATCAGAAGCTTTGACGATATTTGTTTACATACACACCAGAGTTAAGGAAAATAAAGTAAAAGAAAATTATTGAGGATAAGCAAGTTGATAGTATCGATTTTCTAAACCTTGAGCTGTTTAAATCAGCAATGGGAGAAATAAATCACACATAAAATATATACCAGTTCCATCCATGTCTTAATAACCCACACCTCGGCTGCTTGAAACCAAAATTAACCACGAGAAAGATCACCTTGAATAACCAGATGGTGGGTAACCAGCAGGAGGATATGCAGCCGGTGGATAACCTTGAGCTGGATAAGGCTGTTCATACGCTGCTGGTGGATAGCCAGCTGCAGGAGGAATTGGTCGATCAATGCGTGACATATGCTGAACAGAGGGTACTGCCATTGGTTGTGGACCAAACTTGCCATCTCGTTTGTCCATTTCAACCTTATGTTGCGTCTGTAACGAAAGAAAATGTTAAGGGATGATTCAAAATAAGGATAACAAAATTTCCCATTTGCATGGATAAAAAGCATTTCGTACCTGCATACATGCACAGACCCTGCAAAAAGTAAAATACAATAGAACTGTCAGCATAGTATCTTTAGGCAAAACTAACTACGAGATAGTGCTGAATGGAACGGAATCCTTTACGTGCAATAAACCATATCAGCCAAACAACTCAGTAACTGTGACGCCTCTCGAATCTCATCACTTCCAACAATCATTGCAACTATGGAAAATATGCAGGCAACTTGTTGCAGGCAGAACATGAAACCCTGTATATCAAGTGGCAGTATGTTTAACCAATGACCAAGAAGTACAGATATAATTACAGATTCATAGATGTTGAAAGAGATGGATTACAATGATGAAATTGTCACACTGGGTAGTTTGAATGTTGAATTCATCTTGCAACAGAAATCGGGTAGAGGCCACTGAGTTTCCAAAGCAGAGGAAAACCTGGAAACCAAAACACATGATTACGAAATTAATAAAAATATAGAGATGAAAGCTCTCTACAACTGCCACACCAACTGACAAAAATATTTTGAAATAGAAACCAACCGCACAAAAAGTTTCATGCCTTTTACCACAATAAGGAGAACTTAGCATGAAATGGGTTCTTCATACAATTTAACACTATGTTTTCCAAAGAAGAAACCCATGTCCCTTCCTCCTTTCCCTCACTGCACACAATGTTTTTGGCCTAAAGATATCAGCTAAAGATTTTTGTCACAACTAGATTTTTCAGCACTTCTTCAGAATTGAACACAGTTATTTTTAAAAACCTAAATTCCCATTACTCCTGATAGGCAAATAATTGTATATACGACAAAATCTGTGCATCTTCAATATTCCTATAGTTCTTGGTAACCAAACCAGGCCTCTCTCACCCCATAGACATTCTGAAGTTGAGAATCAAACCAGTAAGATTATAAATCGAGGCACAAGTTGAAGTAATAGAAAGCAATACAGACCATATATACGAACTTCCTACCTCAGTGAAGAGGCAAAGCTCAGGACATTTACTTTCTCCACACCGACCACTACATGGCATATAACCAGCACAACAAGTATACCTGAAAAAACAAGAGGCTATGTTTAAACCAAGATATTACATCATTAACTTGTGTTCAAAGAGGAAACAAATGCATCTTTACCTCGACATGTCATTATAAAGCGCTCGTTTCCGAAGCATGTAGGATGCACATGGCCCACTACAACATGAAAAAGAAAAAATCAACCAATGTGCGGGAAGGAGAAAATTCATCAGCTTATGCATAAACACAGCACACCATTTCTTAGCAAAGAGTTAAAAGAGGTAAAAGGCCAGGAACAAGCGAGTATTTTCCAAAGTGAAGGGATATTTTATCATCCAATTTATAACAGAAGCATGAAATCAGACAGAGTCAACCCTAGCTCACTCCAGTCAACGACCTCTAATTATTCAAACCCTAAAACATCATTAACAATAACACTAAATGCAGCTTTTTTTTTTTCCAAAAACAACATGTTAGGAGACAAAGTCACGATCAATCTACAACACAAAAAAAGAAACAAAAAGAACAGATCCAGAATTACTTACCAACAGAAAGCAAAGCAACAATCTGCAAAAAATACGCAAAAAGGAAAGGAAAAAAAGATCAATAAAAAAGAAAAAAAAATGAAGAGATACCTACAAAATAAAAACAGGGGAAGAGAAGGAACAGAAGAATACAAGGAGGGTCGTGCTGAATGGTTCTCATGAGATCTGTGTGCCAGAGATTTCGATAGTTCTGGCGTAGCTTCATCTTGTCCAGGTATTCTTGCGACGCCATGCTCAAACGATCTCCAAAAAACAAACCTTCCACAAAGAGAAACGGAGAAAGAGAGGAGTGATCAAGTTTCGACGGAAGAATGGGCCAATGAGGAACTGTGTTAAGTCAAGTCGTCTAGAAAAGACTTTTACTAAAAACCAACAAAAAAACACAAATAAGATACAAGAATCAGAATATTTTATTGTTTTACTTTCCAATAATAAATACTAAAATCCCTTTATTAAGAAAATACAAAAACTAAAAAAAAAAAAACAGAATAATTGTTTAATTGATTTATTGTCTGGAAAAGGATTGCCTTATTTTTTTCAAAAAACACTTAAGCGCTACACGTTGTGGCGTTTCTTTATTTGCATATAGACAGCCGCAAAAGTACAAACAAAGGCTTCACTCAAAAGTTTTCTTCTTTTTAGTTATTATTTTATAAAAGATAATATTACGTCCATATTTTTATATATGTATTATTTTTTTATTTAATTTTTATGTATAAAATTTGCATAATTATTCTTTTTTATATTTAATTTATTAACTTTCGAATTTTTAATATTAAAATTAAAATTTTAATACTCTATCAATATATCCTGTTAAAATTTTTTGTATAATTATTATATTTTTTTATAAATATTCTTTAAATTTTTAGAGTTATATTAATATGTTGGTATTTGCTTTTTTATTGGTTGGTTAAGTCCACACATGGCTAGTGGAATTCTTTTTGCAAGTCTTGAAATGTTTAAAATACATAAATTTGTTATATTCACAGCATTTTTTAATTAATGATGTAATCTATTATGTTAATTTATTTATAATATCAGATTTTTAGTCTTTAATTTTTTTAGTATATTGGATTGTCAATAATTCAACTTTAATTATTAAAATTAAAAATTTAACATTTTATTAAAAAATCATATCCTGTTAGCATATATATTTATAACTTTGATAATAAATTATTATTTTATATAATGATATTGAATTTTTTTTAAAATCATCTAATTTAGTTTTTTATATTATCATTATTATTATTCTTCCTGTTGCTTTCTCATTTGCCCTTCCATTCACTTCTTTTGGTTATTAATTATTGGTTAGAACTCTAAAACGAAGTGCTTAATATTTTATTATAATTAATTAAATTTTTTATTTTGATTTAAATAAATCTTTAAATTGATGAAATTTGATCACGTAAAATAATTATAATAAATTTTATTAATATTTGGATCCAAATGATAATGGGAGGTGCAGTTCCATTTAGTCTACTTAAGGAAGGCAGAGGGGAGGTAGACTGGAGCCATCTCTATGTGTCGTTTGTAGGGCGAGAGCTTTTTCTTGTTCTTCTTCCTTGTGCTTTTCTGGCCGTGAATAGAAAAATCAACCCAATTTTCCCTTTGTTTATTTCCTTTTCGTTTCAATTTCAATCAAGAGTTGGTCAGTTTTGGTTTCAAATGTCTTATAATCTTTGTGTTTCAGATGACTTTTCCTTCAACTGTTATACTCCGGAAATGGTTTCTATTGATATCATTGATTATCACTTATTGTTTGATTTTCCTTTCTCTCCCCTCCACGATTCATCATCTGATTTTAATCTTCAAGCTTTGTTGAACTGCAACCAGAACCAACAAAACCCATTTGATGAATCCACTTGTCCAGGCCAATTGGTTTCTGGTTTGCTTCCTTCTTCTCCTCCAACAGACCAGCTTGAAAATCTCAGCCTTTATCAAACTGCCCAGTTTCCGTCTCTGTCATTTGGTCATGACTTGGAAAACGAGTATGAAAATTTCAGCAGCTTGAATTGTTTGGAAGTTAAAACTGAAGAATGTCAAGTGGATTTCGATTCTGCTCATGGTGATGCTAATGAGAATGTAGCAAAGAACTTGCAAAGGAGCTTTAGTAGCAATTGTTTTGAAGGAAAGCCTAACTTTTCATTCCAATCTCCTTTTGATTCTCCCATGGAATCACAGAATTTTCAAAGCCAATCCTTCAGCATGCCTGAGAACAGCTTTTTGGCCGGACAAATGAGGAAGGTATCCAGCACTGGAGATTTAGAGGTTTGTTTCATCTCTTTATTATCTCAACTACCCTGTTTTTTACTCTGCTTTTTGGTCTGTTTTAATCATTTTATATCTAATAAAATCTTGTTTTGTTCCTTGGCTTTTAGAATATGAGAAACTTTCACAGCAACCAAAGATTAATATCAACCCCTTCGGCTATGGAGAACTCGTTCATGGAGGAAGGACCCTTCAAAGTAAGACGTTACAATCCGGAAGAGAGACAAGTGAAGATCGCAAAGTACAGAGCCAAGCGCAGTCGAAGGAACTTCAACAAAACAATTAAGGTTTCTTAAAATTTGTCTTTTGTTTAATCAGACAATTAACATTCGTTTGCTTGTGTTCTAAACTACTAAATATGGTTTGGTCCTTTATGTTGATGCAAAGTACGCATGCCGTAAAACACTAGCGGACAACCGCATTCGTATCCGTGGCAGATTCGCACGCAACAATGAAACTGTTGAGATTCCCAAAGCTGCATGTTCAACCAGAGATGAAGACGAAGATGACCTATGGGTACTCTATTTCATTCTTCATCGTTCAATGTAGTATAGTAAACCTTCGTGTTCGTGTCAGACATCGTTAAACAAACTATAACTGATTGAAGAATTGAAGGTGTTATTGATCATAACAATGGTTAAATTATATTTTGATGGAAGTGAAATTTGTGAATAATTTTCATTTTCTGCATCTCTTTAGGCGTTGGATGAGTGGGAGAATGAAACAATTGCAAGAGGATCTTTTATGAACAGTTTCAGCCAACATCCGTTTCAATACCGCCATGGCTGCTTCTAAGAGGAGCATTTCCAAGTATAGTTTAGCTTTTAGTATCTTCAGTAAATAGCTGTGGATGCCATTCAGGGCAAAAAATAATTGTAATTCTAAATAAATCAAAATTTTGAAGTCCGTGAAACTTTAATCAATTGATTCATGTAATCATTTTAAAAAATAATTTTTACAAATTTGAGATTCAATACTTACTATCCTTTCTTTTATTTCACGTTGCGACCTCCTTATAAAAAAAATTTGAAGCAGGATAGTCATTAGCTCACTAGTTTCTTTCATCAAATTGTAAAAACTTTCCTTTTTTTAAAATAATTTCTCATGTATCCTTCTACCTAATAAGATGATCAATGATAAATATTGCGACTCTTAATTACTTTGTTCTGGAATCTTTGACCCTACAGTAAGATCCACTTATGGTCATGGCTCTGTCACAACAATTTTTTTAATGCAATTTTGCTTTTATTCAGGAAGTGCACATACTTTACGATTAAACAATGAACTTTATGCCATTATTTTTGGTGTCAAAAATTGAAAGAAAATTGATTCAAGGTAGTAATAAAACACGCAGAAGCCGATTGCCTGTCGAGTGCTTGGAATCTTCTACATATTATCAAAGCATTTTGATGAATTCACCATTGGGGTCATTCTTTTGAAATATATTCATAGATTCTCCATTTACAAGAAATGGATTTTAGTTGAAAATCTGGTAACTTGCTCAAGTTCATTGGCTTGGAAAATAGTGTTAGAAACCAAAAAGTTGAACATGAAAAAGGAAATGGCAATCTTAAAAAGAAAAAGAAACATCAGAATTTACAAGATTGCAGGAAACCAGATCAGAAAATTTCTAGCTTTGCAGGTTCTTTACAGTTTAAATTTTCCTTAGAACACAGCTTAAATGGTAGGATTATATCAGAAAAAAAAAAAAAAAACTAAAGATGAATTACTTGAAATCTCAAATTCCCTAGGAGTTCAGTTGTTCAACGGTGCATTTGATTTGTTATTTACACATACTTTTGCGCAACTTGCAAGCTTTTCTTGCTTTATTATGAAAAGAATTACCAGTGATTGGTTACGGCAAAGGGAAATCTCCCTTGGAATATGTTATCACCTCTGATCATTAGGTTTTTAGAAGGCTTATGCTCGATTGTTATTGAAACCGATGATGTACACTCAGTCTCAAATGTTTAGTTAAAGAAAAATGGCATCTTCCTTGCTGTGCATATTTATGCCCTTCAAAAGTTGTTCATCTAAATGAATGAGAAAGATAAAATCCAACGGGAGAGGATTATTTTTTACCAACACAAAATGCCTATGAATCCATAATCGGAGAGGGTAAGTTACAATTGTTCTTTCCTTTGTTATGAAGTAATTGATGTAGTTGAGAGAAAATAGCCAAATGGCTTGGAGCCAACCGCAAAACATAGATAAATCAAATTCTAGTTTGCTTTGTCTATTGAGATGGGTTTCCAAGGCTAGAGGATTAGTTTATGAATTATATGTTTTAACCCTTTAGTGTTGTCAAATTCAGGGCCACAAATGATGGCTTAGCACAAGCACCACCACCAATGGATAGAGTGGATGGCATGAACCAGCCTAAGGAAAAAGAATTTTAAACCCTGAATGAAAATATTCTTCACTGACTGATGGAAGGTAGCCGTAATTTTTTGAACTTAAGGCCGTAAAATAATGTTGGAATCCAAATGCTCTATCCAAAGCTTCAAAAACCTTTAAGCCAATGTTTATTCTGGCCATTTATGCCTCCATTTTGTATAAAAAATAATAATAAAGGCAATCCAAAGAGATTAGACCTGTTGTCAGCCTTCACTTTCTTGTTGCAGAAGCTAGAAATTAAACTATGATATTCTTCTTTAAAAGTCACCAAATGCTGCTTCTTTTCTTAAACCTGCAATAAAGATGAAGCCAACAGTACCAAAATCAGAAATAGAAAATGCGATGCAGAGAAGAATATAAGCATCTTGCGTTTACCATTATCATGATTTATGGAACAAATGGGACACGAATTTGTTTAAAAATTGACAGCCAAAAGAATGTTCAAAGGAAAAATCTGAACAAACATTTGCTTTGGTCCCAAAATTCTGTCTCCTTGCATGAACAGGCAATCAGGATTTCTGATCAAGCATTTCCTTGTAGGATTTAAAGCGTGAGTGAGTGATCAGAAAGGCGACTCACGTTAATGGGATGAAATTAAAAAAAAAAAGAAAATAAATCATTACATATATTCAGAGAGGCACTAAAACAACAAGATTCCAAGCTCACTTTTGACCAACTCATTATTGAAAAAACGATTCTTAAAAGCTACTTCAATATCACATCATTGCAGGCTACAGTTAGCGATATGATTCGACCGTAGCCTTAATCGAAAATTAACCCCAAAAGGACCTTCTCTCTTTTGGGATGCTGAGAATATAATCAAGTGATTTTAGTCGTCCTTTTGTCAGTCCAACAAAAGGGCTTGTTGGCTACATCGAAAATTCCAAGTCCTTTAAAATATTTTCGCCCCCACAATTACTAAATAGAATAGCATATCCTAACTATGCACACGAATGTGATGATTGTCAACTGGACCAGCAACTTTTTGTTACTAGTAATATATAAAATTTGGCCAATGTAGGGCACCAGAAAAGAACCCATGTCATTGATGGTGAAAGTAACCTTCGGTTAACAACATCAAATGAAAAATAAGAAACTTTAACAAAGTTAGTTTCTTTGGGGTTGAAAATATATATCAGAGCTATAGCTTTGCTGGTGAATTCTGCATGAGTGTTGCACAATTAAGCGGAGAAATAGGTATATGTTCTTAGGAAATTTGATATATTTTTTACCAAGGAAAGTGCTTAAATAAAGACCTTAAATTAAACCAATTCCAAGTGCCATTGTGCTCTAATTACAATGGACTGAACTGAACCATGGCATCCCAGATGAATAGCAGCTAGCCTTAGCCCTGGAAGGGTTTCATTCTGACAACAATACTACTTAGTGATGAACTGTTGGTTTTTTTTTTTTTTTTGAGACTTCCAAATGATTTGCTCCCTTCAGTCATACTTTACTGCATATTAGTATTTAATTTAATTATTGTTCCTGTCTCTTTGATGTCTCCACTAAAAGGGGATCTTGGGTAATGGTCACGTCAAAGCTAGAGGAATTGTTGTTTCTTTTTCACTGGCGTTCTTTTCTCTTTTCCTTTCATTGCTTATGTTCCTGTTTGATATTAAATTTCTCAGATTTTTGCCTTTTCAAGACTTGGGAAGCTGAAACTATGCTTGAGCAGGACAGGTCCATGCCTTTTTGACTCGGTGATGAAGAAAGCTTTTCTTACTTTTGTGCCTTGCTGAGAGAGGGTGGCTTTTCTTTTCTTTCTCTAGCCAATACAGCAAATAGTCCAATAGTTTGTAAATTGTTAAAAACTAATGAACTTGCTTTATATGGAGTGAGATTCATCATCTAAGCTACATGGGGAATGTCCCTAAAAAGGTCGTCAAATGCTAGATCCCCCTAGGTCTTGCCAAGACTGAGAACAGGAATCCAGCTATTCTCTTTTCTCTGTCAAGACTCAAACGTGCCGTTTGTGGGGTTTCTTACCACTTCCAGATTGTGACAACTTCCAATTTCATGCCTCAGAAAAGCGTTCCTGCAGCCAATTTGAGTCTCAGTAACAACCATAACTTGCTGTGAACCAAACACAAGTAGCTTTTTGAGAGGAAAACTTTCTTTCAAAAGTAGCTGTTTGACATGTTTTGCCAATTTGTATGTCATTCACAAGTTGGAACACACACTGTGGCATCGATTTTGTAGGCTGATTTGAAATTTCAAACTTTCGTGCTTTTAATCATGATCTTGGTCTTCAAGTAGGTTTCGAAATTGTTCATATATAATGGATATTCGATGATGGTCAATTTTCTTCTTCTGGTACTTGAATTTTAAGGAAAAATTCATACATGTTTTGGCATTTGAAGGGGGGTTGAATATGATGCTTTGTTCTTCTTATTACCCTTTAAAATTGTGATTATCTCATTTTAGCAAATGCCATCGTCTGGGGCTTTGTATTTATCTATTCCTAGGTTCATGAAAATCGACAGTCACCAACAACATTTTTCAACTTTCAATGTTAAGAGAGCCTTTAGAATTAATTTATATTGATGAAGAAAGATCAATGATCAGATGGCGATTAATTGGGCTCTAGTAGAGGCCTATGCTGGATTCTGCATCAACTTATGCCGAAAGATAAGGTAAAAGCAATCTTTTTTTAACCTTAAATTTAACTTAATTGATTCGTATAATTAATTTTAAAAGATGATATCAAACAAATTTAAAATTCAAATTTCAATGCCTGCAACACATTTTCTTCTTCTCCGACTAGAACCTCTTTTATTAAAAAAAAAACAATTTTTTTCTGATTTTCATCCATGTCTTTTTTTTTTTTTAGTCTTCCTTCTTTGGAGGTTTCAATCAGCACAACCCTCACTTTTTTCCAGATAGACACATTTAGGATTTTGGTAAACAAGACTATGATCCAAACAGCAAAATGCTACAAAAATTTAGAAATACGTGATATAACATTTAGCTCATTCGCAGGGTTTGTTCATACACTAAGGCACCGCAATGCATACGCAGATACAGAGTATAGTTATGTACTTCCAAGCAATTAGCTAATTTCGTAAAAGTTATTAGCAATTTATTGAAGTCCTGAAGAAATCACCTGCTCTTCCTTCTACTTCTTTTACCTTCGTAGATGGTATAAAACAATCATCATTCGGAATATGACTTGGTTTTCATCTCAACCATAGCGTTTCCTGAACAAATGATGCCGCTTGGATGGATCCTTAGGCTTACTCTTATTCTGCCCCTGCCCAATAAGTTTATGCTTTCCAGTGCTGCAAAGCAAAAAGATTCGTATATGCTAGTTAACAAGTACCATTTAAAGTGAGTTAAAGAGAACTTACAGAAATAGGTCTTGCTCTTAGCCATCTTATAGGGAAGCTAGACATAGTAAGTAAAGCATGAGAAGAAAAGTGATGTAGACGTTATACCTGTATTCCATGTAGACCATTCCATTTGCACCTGACATTGCACTCATGGATCCCATAGAACGGCGGGCTTTGTGAAGGGCTATATCATCCGCGTCTTCTTCTAACTGCTCTAAACCAACTGCATCATCACCAGCAGCCAAGACCTGATGCATAAAACTTGTTAGTGACTACTAGCTCGATGACCTCTTAAAAATTAGAAGTGAGGAAAAATAAGTACCTTTCCTAGAAGGGCCAATTGGTCGTCAAGATGGAAGTAACTCAAGTCAGCACCAGCATCAGGAGGAGGCAAGCTTGTTATCACCTGTCAAAAATATACGTCAGAATCCTGTTATGCTAAAATATTTGCTTTAAAATTTTGTCAATTCATGCACCTTGTGAATCGCTTCTACAGCAACCAATTGTGTAAGCTACTTTCAAGAGTAGCACATATATAGTTTTGTATTACAATAGAGTAGCACATACATAGTTTTGTATTACAATAGAGTAGACCAAGTGTTAAGCATACAAATTACATAATAAATGATATACCTTAAAGCTATAACCTTGATCAATTAGAAACTGCTGCCTTTTAGTTGAGTAGTACATTTCCTGCAAAAAGAACCTGTTAAACATTTATTTTAGTTAAAGAAACCGTCATTTACACAATGCTTAAGAATAGTCCACGGCCTTGTAAAGAAAATAGATGCATACCTGTGTATCCGTAGAGACAAGGGAATAGAAAAAAGCATTATACTCCTCTTTACCACCTGCCATCCTATCTTCAAGTTTACCCTGTTGACCCAGATAAAAATTTAAAATTGATGCATGTTGCATTTATCAACTGATTCCATTGCCAACGTATCTTGCCAGCTAGAAAAGCAAAGATGAAAATTTTCAGATGCAGGATAAAACTGTAACACTAACCTTTGCCCTAAGAATACGTCCCAATCGCTGGGCTTCTTGACGTCTCGAACCAGCATGTGATGAAATCTGAATTATCACATTTGCCTCAGGAATATCTATTGAATTATCACCGACCTGTATATAGAAAAACCAACATAAGACCATTTCTCATGGAACGAAAGCAAAAGAAGCCACTTGGGAACAAAACTTAGCAGTCTCCAAGGCTCAATCACATAACACTCAGAGTTGCCAGTTCCCTAGTAGGAGTAATTGAAACCATGAAAAAGAGAATTTAGAACACTACTCAAAACAAGGAACTCACAATCAGCTTAAAGCAGGTGATGTTAACAATAAATAAATAATTATGCCCAAATGCATTTAAGCCTCCCATCACCATCCCCCACCCCCTCAAAACCCAACACAGACACAGACCCGAAAAGGAGGGGAGGGGGAAAAAAAAAAGAAAAGAAAAAGTAGAACTTGATTTTTTATGGGTGCAATATTTGTTTGTAACACTCAAACTTGCAAGCACAGGCGCATAACATTCTCTACACTCACTTGCAATACCAAAAGTAAAATGTAATGTGTTGAATACCTTTGAGAGGAAAATAGTGTTAACATCACGACTAGTTTTGAATGCCTGGAGAATTTTTGTCCTCTCGAGATGGCTGCACATCACGGGCAGATTGCCACTCAATAATATAAAATAATACAAAAAGGCAGACTTCAGTAAGCAATTGATGTTCATAAACAACCTGGTAGCACCATAGATCATAGGCTTGCGCAGTTTCATTGCATACTCTGTCAGTGCAAAAAGATTGTCGGCAAAGACAATTATCTTATCACCACGCTCCTGTTCATGGAACCGTATGAGAAATTCACACGCCCTGAACTTATTAGGATTCATCACATAAAGTGCCTGAAATGCAAGAGACAAATATTAGACGTGTGACAAAAGGAAGAAATTCACTAACTCAAGAATCCTATATAAAAACGATATTGTAACTATTGACTACTTGAAAAGCAATGTCCTGGTTTTCTTTAAAAAGGAAGAAACAAAACTAAATGAGCAAATTAATATATTGAATTCCAAGTAAGTGCTGTCAGAATAACAGCAAAACTCATAAAGAACCAAGAAATAAAAGCGAATAATTTAGATATCTAAACCTGTTTCTTCTTGGAATTTTCTTTCTTCAAATATTCAGCAAAAAACTCCTTTGTCATCGGGCACCATACTTCAGCACACTGTACATTTGCTATAAACCCTCCTTTTACTAGATCCAGCCAATTTGCTTCATATAATTTGGGACCAATAAGAAAGTTCAAATCTGTAATTCTTTCATCCTCTCTCACAAGTGTGGCTACAAATAGGATTCACATATTCAGTGGCTGAGAGCCAAAGATGCATTAAGCAACAAAAAAAAAAGAGGAAGTACCAGTAAGCCCCAGTTTGCAGTGGGATTTGGTGAGACTGATGACTTTCCTAAACATGTGAGCAGGGACAACATGCACCTGCCAGAAGAGAATGCTTTCTCTCAATGCATATAAAGTTGAAAATTTTCCTTATAGGTACAGAAATGACATGAATAATGTCAATTAATAATTACCTCATCCATGAGCAGCAGTCCCCATTCTCTGTTTCTTATCTCTTCAATAATCTTTTCAGATTCTTCAGACCGCTTACCACCAAAAGCAACCATATTATATGTTGTCACAACCACTCCAGCACTGCCACGGAATCTCTCTTTGCTGTCAGATGTAAAACGACAAATTTGATCATCCCGTATGGTTGACCAGAGCTTAAACTGAAAGGCCCATTGATCCACTGAAACTGCATTTGTTGCCAAACAAAGACAACTCTTCTTTATTCGGCTTGCTGCAGAAACACCAACTAGAGACTTTCCAGCACCACAAGGTAGCACAATAATGCCAGATCTTGCTCTACCTGCATGACCATATTGAAATTCAATTGAATTGTCTCAAGTCCAGCCCTTAACTTGAAGCCAACAAAAAAACAATAAGAGTTCTTTTGCATTATATTTGTCCAAAATGTGAAATAAAAACAAGTTAAAGTATTTCCATAATTTTCTAAAATAGAATGCCAAAAGTGCTCTAGCAACCAAGAAGTCATCTCCGCATTGCTCTTGTACCTTTTAAGTGACAGAACAACAATACAGAAAATTTTAAGCTAAAAAAGGCCTATAATTCTTTCATTGAAGAAGTTAAGGTGTCATCAATAAAATTTGAGAATACTAAGCACAATAACAATCAGCTGAACAAATTATAATATAGATAATCTCACCATTTCCAAACATTTTACTAAGACTCTTTTCCTGGTATGGTCGTGGCTGTGCATGAGGCTTCAGTTCCATGTCAAGGTCAGGATTGACCTACAAGTCAAAGAAACAATAAAAACTTCAAGATAATATCTGGATCTGGATAATATGAACTCAGTTACCACCATTCATTGAAAGCCACTTTATTTTTAGAGTCAAGGAAATGATAAATGTAACTCACAGTGTCATTTCTGAAATCATACTCCTCTAACATTGGATAATTTAAAGCATTTGGCAAGCATCGTTGCTTTACATTTTCAACCTGTCAATGGACAAAGCACAACGTAAAATACTTATATGTAGCATAATCTCATTTCATAAAGGTCAGTGGAAAAATTGCAACAGTATTAATTTGCAACAAACCATGAGCAAAGCATCTTCCAATAGTATGGTTCATCTAATGATATTCATTTCAACATCACTGATTTATTTCTATGATAAGATATCACAAGATAAGAATGCACAAACTTAAAGATGGCTAAACAGAACTCAGAAACGAACATATAGGTTGGCCATAAAAGCAATGAAAAAAATAAGGCAGCCTCTGCAGGCACGCTCTACCTGAAGTGCTTTACTTCTAATTAGTTGAAAGTTTAGCACGCTAACAATCATATCCCCAAGGAAATCACGCAACTTGAACTTGAAATATGAAGTCAAACAAAATTCAAAAATAAAATACCTGAGAAGGGTCAATTTCAAATGCGTGGGTTTCTTTCTCTTCAGCAGCAGCTGCCAGTTCTGCTTCATTAAGCAAACCATCATGGCCAGTTTCAATTTCACCCGCAGTTTTGCTGATTGTAAATCCATCACTTCCATGTGCACTCTGTATAGCACCCATGATGGATTGATTAAAGACACAATTACAAAGGGGAAAATATATAAAGGGAGAAGAGAACATCTCCTTAGAAAGTAGGAAAAGAAAATGAAAGTTAAAAAAATAATTGAAAAGCATCTAGAAGAAAAATGACAATCAAAGAACCAAGCAACTTAACAATAAACAATCCCTATAGAAACTCATGTGGAGGACACCTCCAGATAATGGTCCAAATGGATCCACTTGAGTCTCAGTTATTCTTTCAAAATGTTTCTCCTAAATCATTATTCATGGCTGGCATCTAAGACAACACTATGCAGAAGTAGCTTGAGACCTTTAAGTGAAGGAGTATATGGCGGGTACGGGGCAGAAACTGATTTGAATGAGAAATTATCATTTAGACCAAGAGCTAGGCAAGCTTTACTCGGAAAATATGGCTTTCAATGGGGAGAACAGCATAAACATTAAAAGAAGGCTGAGCCTATACCTCAACTGCAACTAAACAAAATAAATCAAATCAATTTACTTTATGTAACAAACCTCAGAAACAATCCTTGCTCGAGCTATAACCTCATCTCGAAGCAGTTTCTTTAGTACCTGCAAGGATCAACATCACCAAAAATCAATACCAAAGAACCCATAAATTCCAATAAATTACTATAAAATTACCAAGAACGCCAAAAGAACATATAACTTGCCTCCGGAAATGGGGATTCAATAAGGTAACGATTCTTCTTAAGCACAAGCTTCACTTTGCCATAATTAGCAGTAGAAGCATGTATGAAATCAATCATTTCTTTAGGAAGCTTAGTCTTGGACAATTTATTCAACACAGCGATAATAGTTTCCGTTTCCAAACCCACAGATACCGCAGCATACAAGGAATGCGGTGTTAGATTGTACTCGTGCATTGACTCTGGCCTAGATAAATTGAAAATTGACATCCATAAACATATAAAGGTACATCCAATGAGCATGCAATAAAATTTAAAATCACATTTTGATCATGCAGTCAATACCTGCAAACAGGTTCAGCTATAGCAATGAGAAAATCGTAAGCTTGCTTGTATAAAGGAGAGAATGTCTCCAAGAATATACGCCCATCAGCACAAGCCCATAATGGCCGATTATCATGATCGAGTTTCAGTTCTAATTTGCTAAAATCTCTCTTCTTTCCTTCTTTTTCACCTTCAAATTAATGACAAAACAACTAAAAATTTGTCCCAAACAATTCAAGTTCAATCCAGATAGATTGGAAAGCAAAAATAACAAAGAAATGGGTACCATCACGAGAATCGTCATCGCCTTCATCCGGAAAAAAGGAATATTCATCTTCAACAGCTGAGCTCCTGTGATCATCCTGCAAAAAAGCCAAAAAAAAAAAATTAAGAAAAGAAAATAAATCCCATAAATTTTATACAAAAAGTAGAGGATTCGGATGACCTTGACAGCAAATTTAAGCTTCTTGCTAGGTCGACCCCTTTCGCCTGAGAATCAATTAAATTTTAAAACTCACACAAAATCTAAGAAAAAATAAATCAAGAAAAATTGAAGGATTTTTGTTTTATTTTATTACCATGTCCCATCTTTGCTTTTATCTGTGTTAAAGGTTTCTTTTCTGGTTTGAGTCCAAGAGATGAAACGTTTTCTACTTCTTGTTTTTTCAGTACTTCCGTTGCCTGGTAAGAGAATTACTCTATGAAATGCTAAGAAGTCATTTCAGAAAAGCCGAATCCTTTTATAGGCCAACCGCCTCGAATCCACCGGTAATCTCCAAACGCAGCGTTTAGAGGTAGTCTGTTGTTACCGTTGTTCGAATTAAGATTTGGACTTTATGGCCCCGTCATGACCCAAAAAGCAGCATACAAGTCGGCTACTTAAAAATAATAAAAGGATTTACTATTCATTCACTAACCCAATCCCTCGGCCCAAAAGAACCCTAATTTGGTTTGGGGTTTGGACAACTGTCTATATTTTTTAAGGGGCTAAAAAACGCGCCTGCTTTCTTTCCCATTAATCTGAATAAAGTTTGGACTTAACGGTTCTATTAATCGGCCCAACAACAGGTCCGGTTACCAAAAAATGGCTTTCCAATTCTTAGAAAAACCATCGATCTGGTCTACTCTGTCTGGCTGTTGTTCGCCATTGTTTCTGTTTACTTTTTCTTCTTCGTCGACTCCAATCAACAACTAGAAGAAGAGGAGATCTCTTCGAGTGAGAAATGAGCGGTCACGATTCGAAGTACTTCTCGACGACGAAGAAGGGAGAAATCCCTGAACTCAAGGAAGAGCTCAATTCTCAGTACAAGGTACATACTTATCAATCCGTCCACATCTTTCTTGCCGATTCCTTTCTTGATCTGATTCTTTTATTCGTTAGGTTATCGATTTGGTATCTTTTTGGCGGATTAGTTCGTGTTTTCCGTTAGATCTATTGGTTTTACGCTTCGATTTGTTCTTTGAAGCTGTAAATTTGCGTAATTATGTCTTAGTTATGTAAGTTTTAGGCTTTTTGTGTATCAATTTCGGATTATGAAAAATATCTGGAAATTCGAAAGAAAGAGTCAGTTTTCTTGATTAGGATTAATACCACTTGATTTATCTGAGTAAAAATTTAACTTTAACCTTAATACAATTTTAGTCTCTCGGTTTTGCTCTAGTTAAACGTGTTTAGCGAAGAAGTTTTTAGGTTTAATCTAGTTTTAATCCTGTGGTTCTTAGCATGTCTAAGGACTGGAAACTGTGAGCATTGGAATTTGAATGCATATTTTCACATCTCTATTTTCGCATCTTATGGGATTGTAATTGTGCCTTTCTTTTCGGTGTTATGAAGGATAAAAGAAAAGATGCTGTAAAGAAGGTTATTGCTGCAATGACAGTTGGGAAGGATGTATCATCATTGTTCACAGACGTAGTGAATTGCATGCAAACAGAGAATTTGGAGCTTAAAAAGCTAGTTTATTTGTACCTTATAAATTATGCTAAAAGCCAGCCCGACCTTGCAATTCTTGCAGTAAATACATTTGTAAAGGTATGCAATTTATTAAGCCCTTTATCTTTACTATTTATCATGGCTTAAAAGAAAGAGTTTTTTTTTTTTTTTTTCATTTCACATGGATGTTGCTTTTACCATGATATAAACATGTAGAATTAGAAAAATATTTGTTGATTAAGATACTGGCATATTTTTATGCCAACTGTGTATTCTGAGCCTCAAACCTTTTAGGAATCTGGTAAGGGGTTCCTCAGACTTTGAAAGTGATTGTCAACTATTTGTGAGAAATGGATTTATTTTATTTGGGGTTTGCTTACAGGACCTAAGATATCTCTTGTCCTAGGACAGTAGTACACTATCATATTATTAATTTGATAGTCAATCGAAATCTATTTAAGTAGCAAAGGAAGATGAGTTACATAGATGAGTAAATAGCTTATAAAACTCCGGTCTTTACATTTCACTTCTTCTTGTGCTGATTTTCTTTTATTATTTGGGGAATAGAAACTTTGATATCTTTTAGTGTTAAAATAACAGTCATTGGTAATGTGATTATCACAGCATTTCTCTTCTGATACAAGTACATGTATTTGGGCTTTTAGAGTTTCTTTTCTAATACAAGATGTCTCTTCTTATATGAACACATTAACACATTGGGCAATTGCAAATTTGTCGCATGTATATTTGTGGTTGAAAATGCCTTTATTATGGAAAAGAAGAGGTTCAAAAATTGGCACTTCTGTCCTACCTATTGTCATCGTGTCTGCCTCAAAGATATAAAGCACAATATGGAGTTAGGATGACATGTTATGCTTGTTTAAGGTTTAGTGTAATGATGCTTTATGAATCTCTAATGAACTTTTGCTTATGTGAGTACATATGCAGGATTCACAGGATCCAAATCCTCTCATTCGTGCTTTGGCTGTTCGGACTATGGGGTGCATCCGTGTTGATAAGATCACAGAATATCTCTGTGATCCCCTTCAAAGGTGCCTTAAGGTCAGTTCCTGTTATAGTATATGGTACCGAGTTTTAGCAATTCATTTGGTTATTTTGTTTCCAACAATATCATAAACTTGCTTTATGCAAGTCACACCAGTTATTATGTATTTCTCTTTCCGTGTATAATATTTTAACAGGATGATGATCCTTATGTTCGCAAGACAGCTGCCATATGTGTTGCTAAACTGTATGACATAAATGCTGAGTTAGTTGAGGATAGGGGTTTTCTGGAATCTCTCAAGGACTTGATATCTGACAACAATCCAATGGTTGTAGCTAATGCTGTGGCAGCTCTTGCTGAGATCCAAGAGAATACTAGTATACCAATATTTGAAATCACTAGTCACACGCTCTCAAAGCTTCTTACTGCTCTTAATGAATGCACAGAGTAAGTTCAAAGGTTTGAAAAGTATGGCCTTGCTTCACCCCCTTTAATTTGATAATTCAAAATGATTACCTACAATCAGGGCATTGCAATGAGGTTGAGCTGTCTTTCTAATTGCTGCACGAAGTAGATATCAATAGAATTTTTGGCATTTTATATTTTCATCTTTTTGCACATTATGATTTCTTTTCCAAAAGTAAGTTTATATGTAATTAGCATGATTTTTGAGATGGATATGTTGCTGATATGTAATCTTCCAACAAGACAGCTTGAGCAAGTTAATAATCTAGTGGTTGTTTCTTTCATTGAGTTTTGGCTGGTAACCTTGTGCCTTTCCCATCTCTTTTTGGTAATGTTGCATGTCAGGTGGGGTCAAGTTTTTATACTTGATGCTCTCTCTAGATATAAGGCAGCTGATGCTCGTGAAGCAGAAAATATAGTGGAGAGAGTTACGCCACGACTTCAACATGCTAATTGTGCTGTTGTGCTTTCAGCTGTTAAGGTGCACTTTTGTTTCCCATTCATTAATTTGCTTAAACATCAGTATTGTCTTTCATCAATCTACTTATGAACATTCCATAATTTTGTGCCTTCTCCTTTTTCTTATTGCCTTTTAGATGATACTTCAACAAATGGAACTTATCACTAGCACTGATGTCGTTCGAAATCTCTGCAAAAAGATGGCTCCACCTCTTGTGACATTACTCTCTGCAGAACCTGAGATACAATATGTTGCACTGCGGAATATCAATCTTATAGTACAAAGGCGCCCTACAATTCTTGCCCATGAAATCAAGGTGGATTGATATGGAATAAAACATGTGCACGCTTGCCCACACACATGCATTCACATTTTTGCATGACAGCTTGTTTTGTATGCTTCAGTCTCAATGTAATAGCTTTGATTGTGTGCTTATTTATTCTTGCTAGGTGTTCTTCTGCAAGTACAATGATCCAATTTATGTGAAGATGGAAAAGTTAGAAATAATGATAAAGCTTGCTTCTGACCGGAATATAGACCAGGTATCCAAATTTTGGTGCTGATGGACTTCGTTGGTAGTTTTTTCTCCTACATTTAAGACATATTGGTTTTAATATAAAGTCATAGTGTTGGTACACGCTCTTGTTTTATACCTTTGTAGGTATTATTGGAGTTTAAAGAATATGCCACAGAAGTAGATGTAGATTTTGTGAGAAAGGCTGTTCGTGCCATCGGTCGCTGTGCTATCAAGTTGGAGAGAGCAGCTGAACGGTGCATCAGTGTTCTGCTTGAGTTGATCAAGATTAAAGTAAACTATGTTGTTCAAGAGGCTATTATAGTTATCAAAGACATCTTTAGAAGATACCCTAACACGTAGGTCCCAATTTGTTTTTCTAAAATTTTGTGTTGCAATATAATCCAAAGTATAAAACTCATGTCATTACATTTCTTAATAGTAATAGAAGCTTCATTTTTGCACCTTCAAAGCCTTGCTGATGATTTCCTACTAACCTTCTCAGGTATGAATCCATCATTGCAACCCTCTGTGAGAGCTTAGACACTTTAGATGAACCAGAAGCTAAGGTACCTTCGTGTCACAAGTTACAAAATTATTAGTACAATGTTTTCTGTTAGCTCATGTTTTGTCCTCTTCTTACCTCCTCGCTGCTAAGGCATCAATGATATGGATAATTGGAGAATATGCTGAAAGAATTGACAATGCTGATGAGCTCCTTGAAAGCTTCTTGGAGAGTTTCCCTGAAGAGCCTCCCCAAGTGCAACTGCAACTGCTAACTGCTACAGTCAAACTTTTTCTTAAGAAGCCAACTGAAGGCCCACAGCAGATGATTCAGGTCTTGCATTTCCGTTATTCATGCATATTTTCAGTCAGTTATCTGTTCTTGCTTTGTCCTGTTTGCATATGCAAGGATTTCACTAATGGTTATTTTCTTTGATTAGACATTATTTTTACCCAAAAATATTTTTGTCTGATTTCTCTCTATATGTGTAGAGGGGGTTGCAGGCAGTATCATTTTCATAGGAAACAAACAGACATACTATCATACTTTTCCCACCATAGATTACGTAATTTATGCCTTCATTTGCCTTATTTATCTGGTTATGAAAGTTGTGCTAAGCTGCTAACTGCTAATTGTTGATGTAGTTTATGAAATATTTTAATGTCTAAAGGATTATTTCTATCAATGTAAGTGTTTTTGGCCATGCATCTATCTCTATCTAGTGCAAAGAGATTGATTTTTCAGGGAAAAAATATAGTTTGTGATTTTCAGAATTATTTTACTGCTTGTGTATCCTTTTGCCAATGCAAGATCTTAGTTGCCTGAAACGAAAATTGCATAAAGTATTATCGTTAGAGTTATCAACATTGCGGTTGCCATAATTTTAGTAGTATCTTTCACTTCTTTTACTTAGCTACATGTGTATTATCTTGAGACATCACTTCCCAGCTAATTTTTGTTGTATGGGGTTTGTTTATAGGTTGTATTGAATAATGCTACTTTGGAAACTGACAATCCTGATTTACGGGATCGTGCATACATTTATTGGCGCCTTCTATCAACTGATCCTGAGGTGTGATTTTACTCTAACCACTTGCAGTTCATTATTCTATGAATTTAATCTCTAAATTTTGAGGAATCATTTTTCACTACATAGACATCTTTAATTTTTTTTAATTTCCCTTTCTTACCTTTGAGGGGAAGGGCTGGATAAGTGTTTTGCTTTAAGTGCCTTCATCTACTGAGTACTGCTTTTAAGTCAGCCATACTATAAGATTAAGCTGAGCTTTAGAATTCCTTTCATCATGTCTACATAATCTTTTTATTTAAGAATTTTTTCTGTCTCAATGCGGTGGCCTTCTCTGTCAATCCTCAATTCTCAGGTATAGAGGCTGCAATAGATACCCATTGTTGAATGCAGGTGTCATTGCTGACAAGAATGTGTCATTTAGAGGTATGTCTGGACCACATGCTGTAAGTTAATGTAGTTGAGCCTTTCTATTTTTCCCCTCAGGCAGCTAAGGATGTCGTGTTAGCTGAGAAACCAGTGATCAGTGATGATTCAAACCAGCTGGACCAATCTCTTCTTGATGAGCTTCTTGCCAATATTGCTACACTATCTTCTGTGTATCACAAACCTCCAGATGCTTTTGTAACCCGTGTGAAGACTGCAACTCAAAGAACTGAGGATGATGACTACCCTGATGGCAATGAAAGAGGCTATTCTGAATCACCTTCTAATGCTGCTTATGGTGGTGCATCACCACCGACTAGTTCAAGTGGTGTCCCATATTCTGCAGCTATGCAGCCAGCTCCAGTCCCAGCCTCAGCTCCAACTGCTCCTGCACCAGCTGCTCCAGTGCCCGATTTGTTGGGGGATCTGATTGGCCTTGATAACAATGCAATTGTCCCTGCTGATCAACCGGCCACACCTTCTGGGTAAGTATGCTGGAATGCATGAATTGTGTTGTTAGCTTTTCAGATAAAAGTCTCTTTTTGGCCACAAGAATATTTTGCTGCGAATGTGGTAAATGGTTTTTAAAAATATTTAAATTTTTAACAGCAGAACAAGTTTCTGGCTTTTCACTGATTTCTTATGTTATTGGAGTTATGCTTCTAGCTTATACATACATACATGCCTATATGTTGCACTTAATTTTTTTTTTTTTGTTTTACCTTGGTTGTAGCCCTCCTTTGCCTATTTTACTACCAGCATCAACTGGACAGGGTTTGCAAATCAGTGCAGAGTTAGCTCGACAGGATGGTCAAATATTTTACAGTTTACTGTTTGAGAATAACTCACAGATCACGCTTGATGGATTCCTGATTCAGTTTAACAAGAATTCATTCGGTCTGGCAGCTGCTGGACCTCTTCAGGTAATTATGACTTGTGTTCTTTAGTTTGTTATTACATTATTGGGGTTTAATCAATACTGTCTCTCAGGTTCCCCCTTTGGCACCGGGAGCATCAGCAAGGACATTGCTGCCTATGTTATTGTTCCAGAATATGTCTGCTGGTCCTCCTAGCTCTCTTCTGCAGGTTGCTGTGAAAAATAATCAGCAGCCGGTCTGGTACTTCAATGATAAAATATTGTTGCATGTGTTCTTTGCTGAGGATGGGAGAATGGAGCGAACTAGTTTTCTCGAGGTAAGAAGTTTGTTTCATGTTGTTTTGGCTTCTTGTGCTACAAAGTTGTCAAAGCCCTACATCATGAAGGATGATCACTGCTGAAAGGGTCTTTCACCAAGTCCTTTGGAGCATGGCTGACCATCTGTCATGTTTGCAGCGCTCGATCTTCCCCCCAAATCTTTGATATCATTGGTTCTAGCAATTGAAATTAAATGATTTCTTCGCATTATGCAGACATGGAGGTCACTACCCGATTCAAACGAGGTCCTAAAAGAATTTCCAGGCATTGTGATGAGCAGTGCAGAAGCAACCCTCGACCGACTAGCTGCATCAAATATGTTCTTTATAGCAAAGCGCAAACACGCCAATCAGGATGTATTCTACTTCTCTGCCAATATCCCTCGAGGTATACCTTTCTTGATTGAACTTACAACAGTAATTGGAAACCCCGGTGTCAAGTGCGCGATCAAGACTCCAAATCCTGAGATGGCACCACTATTTTTTGAAGCCATTGAGACACTACTGAAGTCTTGATTCTTTCCTCTTTGTTATTTTGCAACATCATAAATTTTGTCAGTCTATGTAAAATTCATCTCAGCTACCGAGGTTTTGGATTCACATTCTTGTTCATCTCTCCCTCTGTTGCCCTTCTCTCTTAGTGACAAAGAGGAAAGGGAGAAAGAACAAAAATTCACTGCATGTCTGCTGCCTGTATTCCTTCCAACTTCAGTTTTTTATCTCTATTTATTGTAAATTTTTTCCATTTTTAGTGTGTTAATTACATGTATTTTACTGGAAAAACCATTTTTACAATCAACTGTTGGATCTTCATATCTTTTAAAAAAAAAAAATTAGATTCGAATCTTCTGTTGTTTGTTTAAATTAAAAATAAAAGTAAAGACATTAAAATGTGCTGTAAAATAAGTATTCGTTTTAATGAAAGGATATGGAAATTTCAAAATTCACCATTACTTAGGTTAAAAACAACTTAATTTGATGAAAGATTTAAGTAATGGAGATTTTTATCCAAAAAATTGACTGCTATACGTAAGAAAAGATCTTTTATTTAAAAAAAAAAAAAAAGTCATATTTTCCTGTTTCAACAACTTTTCATAATCGTGGGTCCAATTGAAGCCCAGAACAAACCCAATCCATCCGGTATTAACACGTGAACTGCACATGTCACATTGTTTAATCATTAACGTAATGCTCGCGATTGCCCTTTTTATTCTTCTAAAATATTGGTTGATTCGATTGTCTTAGCATGGACCAGCTATAACCGAGTTAGGGCATCTGAGTTGACTCAGGCAATTCTCTAATCGAAAGGTTAGTCTTCAATTTTTACTCCGATTTATTGTAGAATTTTAGCGTTAGACTGTTTAAAACCTGTCCAATTTAGTAAAATAGCAATAATTAGAAAAAAATACCCTATACTTTCGAAGATTTTTAGTGTTTTTATGGCCGTGGATCTGAGTTATAAGTGTCATTTTTTTTTTCGTTTTTGTTCTAACATCAAGATTCAAGCAACAAAACTCATGAATATTATGTAATTTTTAATGGAAAATCATGAGTATTTTGTTGTTATAACTTCAAAGGCTGAAATTTTTGTGTTTGTTTGCTGAGAAAATGTCTGATAGTTAAGAAAATAATGAAAAGAGAAAGAATGGGAAGGTTTAAAAGTTTTGCGTTAAAATAGTTGCATATTTAGTGTTTAAATTTGAATTTTTTTCTTCTGTATTTGCAGATGACGTATTCAAGGGAAGGAAAGTGAGCTTTTTTTATTCTCTAAAGAATCTCCATTTTCTAATTTAAAGGTCATTTTCTTTTGATGTAAGTTAATTGAATTTTCCTTCAAAATGATACTTTCAGGTCAGTTTCACCGGGAAGAGAACGTCGGTTAAGGTCACTGTCAAGGTCTCGAAGGAGTCACTCCAGGTCTAGGTATGCAACCTTAGCTATTTAGTTATCTTAATACGTTGGTTCCTGTAACATATCACATATCAGTATCATGTTTTAGCTAGCTTTTTCTTTTTGGCAGTTAAAATTGTTGTGTTAATCTGTTTTCTATTGCCCCAGGAGTCGTGACTCTCAGGATGTAGCCAATCCTGGAAATAACTTATATGTAACTGGCTTATCCACAAGGATTACTACTGGTGATCTTGAGAAGTATTTTGGCAATGAAGGAAAGGTATGGAGTGATTGTTTATGAAGACAACTCGTTTTGTTCTTTCAAGTGCTCCTATTTCTTTTTTTGCCTTTCTATAAGGAGGTAATTTTCGGGTTGTTCTTCGAGTTGCTATATGATTTTCTGAAAGAGAAATCAACATGAAAAGGATATCTCGTTTTTCTACTGTAGTTACAATGAAGGTGGTTGAAGTTTATTAAGTCCTTGTATATTATCGAGCTTGAATATAGGCTCTTTGCCATTGGTACAGCTGCTGCGTTGGCTGTTTTTAAAGCACGAAACTTGAGACTTTATTTTATTTTTCTTTTAGGCTTTTCTTGGTAAAAAGGATGGAAAAATTGTTAATCCAATTATTAAGCTTCATAAACACTGTTCTACTTTGTGATTAATCATTTGATTAAAATTTTTTTCATCCTAACCCACTTTCAATCTTCTTACCATGCAAAGCCTCAGTGTTGCTCCACCTTGTTTAAGTTAAGTGTGTAAGTGGTTCCTTTGCCTTTGTAGAACCTCCATGATAACAGAAAAGTATAAAACGTTAAAACAAGACTCGCCTTAGGAACTATAAGCGGCTCTAGGCTGTGGTGGTGATCTGTCTATGGAGTTATATCACCTGACTTGAGTGTTTGTTCCAGGTTGTGGAGTGCCATCTTGTTACAGATCCTCGCACCAGAGATTCTCGTGGATTTGCTTTTGTGACCATGGAAACTGTTGAGGATGCAGACCGCTGCATCAAGTATTTGAATCGTTCAATTCTTGAAGGTCGATTAATCACTGTGGAAAAGGTATTAACTTATAGCAAGGATCTAATAGTTGTTTCATAGTGAGGCTAAAACATTTACATAGAATTTTATCTAAAATTATGCTTTCTTCAGAAGTGTTGCCTGATAAATTTTGGCAGCAGGTCTTGTATGTGTAGCTCCATCGAAATCTAAGCTCTTAACAGTTCAACTGTACCCTCTCACGACATCAGTTCCGCATCGACATTCCAAACTCGACTATTTTGCTGAGGGTTGTGTGCCCCATTTTACCTTTTCTACATCAGTAACAGTATCTGGAGAAGCTGTTTATAAGTTCTGTGTCATTTTTGAAATACCCTCAAGACATACATGTTACATCAATTTTTTTATCTTTTCATGCTTGTTCTTTGAAGGTGAATATCTTTTCTTATTCATTACAATAAAAGGACGGTTTAAAAGATCATTCAGCCCACATTTGAACTGCTTGCTGTAACAGCTCAAGGCATGCATGGTTGTTTAATATTTTAGAAATTTCTTGATGGTTGTTTAGACCCCCTGGCATATGTCTATATCATCAATGTGGGCAACTTCCAGGATCATCTTATAATGTGAAAGTTAGTTTGAAATTTTGCATGTTGTGACAATAATTGTTTTGAGTAAATATACCTGCCTGCTTTATGTGCCATATGTTAACTTGCTTTTGTGCTAACAACGTAGGCAAAAAGGTCCCGAGGAAGAACACCGACTCCTGGGAGGTATCAGGGGTTTCGAGACGGAAGAGGTAGATACTAGAATCACTCTTGCTATTGAATTTTCTTAGAAGATCTTTATGATGTTTTCGAATCATGTTGTCTTGAAACTTTGATCATGTTCAATTTTTGTCCCCTTTTCCTTATAAAATGTTGTTGACTTTAAAACAGGTAGGGCATTTGAACATCTTTTGTCTTGGTTGATTATTCTTATGCATTGATCAAGTTGCCAAATATATGCAGGACAAGGTCGCAGACGTTCTCGTAGCTACTCACCTCGACGATCTGATAGAGATTATTATCCGAGGGGTAGGCAAGGAAGATCACGTTCTCATTCTCCATATGGTAGGAGAAAAGATTATTCTGACTCGTATAGGAGGCGCAGAGAGCGCTCCATGTCTGGTGGTGGTGGTGGATATCGTAGATGAGAGAAAATCATTCTCATATTAAGTGATCTTGCCATCTCACTTATTTAGTAAGTAGTTCATTGGATAAACGAATGTGGGATCATTATAATTACTGCCCTTTATCTCATCTCTCTTGAATATTTGTATTATGATGTAACCAAAACATTGTATGACATTAACTTGTATTTGTTTTCGCAATTATCTATGATGATGATTGGTGAAGAATGAACCCAGAAACATTTGGGAAATGCTGCAATTGTCAAGAGATGAAGATATATTAGGGTATCTCAACGTTTTTAATCCAAAAGGATGCAAGTAAAGTTGAAAGTTTCTTCAAAAATGCAAGAAAGAATGTGTTGTGTGAACATTTGAATATTCGGGGGGCAGCAGCAAGCAAGCAATCAAGCAATAAAGGCTTTTTTGAGAGTAAATTTGACATGGCTGGGTAAGTTTGAAATTTGAATTGCAAAGATTTTTTGTATTTGAAGCGAAAGTATTTTAAATGGTTGGCAGTTGAAAAAAAAATTAAATTAAAAATAAAAAAGAGTTGGAAAAACCAAAAAAAACAAGAAAAAAAGGAACAATTGGGATGAGGAAAAGCGCCCCACACTTTGAATCATAAAATCTGGAATCGGGCAACGGGGTGTGCTCCAGCTGCTGCAAGGGCGGACTTCAAATCAATTTTCAATTTATTTAATTTCTTTTTTAGCAAAAAGTAAAATAACTTTTTTAGTTTTTTTTTTTTTTTGGCGTACCATAAGTTTATAAACAGCATGAAAAGTTCTCTGGGGCATTAATCCAACAAACATGAACGACTAAATATATTTTTATGATTTATTTATTTAAATTGTGTTTAGTAAAAAAATTTATTTTATTTTATTTACTTGAGTTTAATTTATTTAAATAATATAATATTTACATTTAATTCGTGTTTGATTTAATTTAATTAAATAAATTCATTCTTAAATATATTTACAATATATATAAATAATAAATAATTTATAATCAAATAAATTTTAAATGAATATAGACAAACTTTTAAATATAATAAATATATATAATAATAATAATATTATTATTATGAATTAATAATAAATAAATAAAAATAAATAAATTTTAAATGAATCTTAAATAAATTTGTTTATAAATATAAATCAATCAAACAAATTTTTATTAATATTTAATTTATTTAATAAATAATATAAAAATATTAATTAAAATTATTTATTAAATCTAATAAACAAATATTTAAAAAATAAAAATCAAACATATTTATCAACTATTCATCCAAAACTTTGTTTGATTACATCCTAAGCTTCCCTTACTTTTTATCCGTATGTATAGGTGTAATTATATATATTTTTACTTGCTAGCATAAGATTCGACAGCTGGGTCACTGACACGTGTACATCGTTGGCTCCTCCGTTCACGGAACAACCGGTCATCGGCTTGCCTTCGTTTGGGACAAATCAGCGGCTTGGCTTTTAGATAGCGTGCTAAATGACAAAGTTGCCAGTGCCAAAGAGACGACAGTGTCTGAGATAATCGATTGAATCCTAACCGTTGAATATCGTTGTCGGACATCTTGTAAACAGCTCTTGGAATAAGACATTTATGAACATAGATTGGAAGACAAAAAAAAAATTGTAGTTGTCCATTCCCTGCAGTTAAAAGAAATAAAAAAAAATTATTAACAAGTGTTAATTTAATTTATTAAAATTACTCTATTCGGTAAAAGTATTTTAAGATAAAATTTTATCGATGATCATTTTTTAGTATCCTATCGAATAAATTATTTCGTTACGAGTTTGTTAACTAGTGTTTTATGAAATTTTTTTTAATTATCATATTAAATAATATTTTTATAATATATTTAATTTTATAATAATATTTATCAATTTATATTTAGAAAATTATTTCTATAAATAGTATTTTAATAAACTTTAACAGTATTATTAAAATACTCGTTAATAGAACTCATAATAATTCAATATTAATACGAATGTAATGTAGTTGGTCAAAATCATGCTTAAAACACTTAAATTTGAATTCAAAATTAACTTGTAATTATCTTTAAAAAATAATATTTAATAATTTCATCTAAAAATTTAATAAATGAAGAAATAACATTAACACCAACAAAAAAAAAGATAGAGAAATTTAAGGCATAAATAAATATATTATGCCGATGTGAAAAATCATGAAAATCGTTAGAAAAATTTTAACTTAAACAAAATATGAAAATATTTTTATTATTTTGTAAAAAATAGTTTTTTTACCCATATGATGCATGTGCTTTTTTACTACATTTTTCATAATTTGAAAATAATGATTTCTTAAATAAATTTTATTTTATTTAAATTAAGATAAAATATTTTAAAATATTTGAATAAGTTTGTTTTTTTTAATTTTAAAATATTTTTTAATTAAATAAATAATTAAATAAATTTATTTGATAAAATTTTAAAATTAAAATATTATTTTATGTATTAAAATATATAAACGTATATGTAACATATTTTATTAAGTATTTATATATTTATAATATAATATATGATTACTTAAAATTTCATAAAGCCATCCAAAAAATTAGTGCTATTATTAATGAGACAAATATGGTTGGATCATAAGCTTGAGTATCTATAAAATGTCCATTACTATACATGCTAATGATTTATTTAAATGAGTGATGAGATTGATTCTAATAAAATTAAAAATAGCAAACGCAATGAGATTAATTATTGTAAAAAATATATTAAAATTACTAATAAGATATGTGTTTGGATGCTGATGCAATGATGACGGTAAGATTAAATATAATCATAAGAGAAAATGATAATTATGGATTTAATATTAAATTTTGTATATAATAAAAATTTTAAATTATTCGAAATTAATGAAATTAATAAATAATCAAAATTATTTTTATATCAAATAATAATTTTGTCAATAAATAATTAAAAATAAATAAAAATTATAGTAATATATTAAATATTTTAAATTAAAATATATATTGACTTCTCAACTTATAATATAAATTTAAAGAATATATAAAATAAATAATACTTTTGTTAAAATTTGATAATAATATATTGATATGTATTAAAACTCAACAAAGTAATTTTTAATAGAATAAATAATTTGATTATTTATTAAATTATTCATTAACTTTTTTACGGTTTTCTTTATATGATTATTTTTATTTCCAAAAAAGTCTTTATTTTTTAAAATAATGATATTTTACAAATCTTAAAATAAAAAACCAATATTTATTTACTTTATTATTTATGTAGTTATTTATTTTAGCTAATTACTTAATTATAAATATATTTGTTCTTTTCACTTACTAGTAATATAATTGATTATAAAATTGGCTATTTATTTATCAATTTATTAAATAATAATATAAAATATTTGTTAAATAAATTTAATAAAATTATTTGAAAAACTAAATAAAAATAAAAATAAAACAACAAAGAAATAAATAAATAAATAAACGAAGAAGACAAATCAAAGCTACATGTGATAGGGAGATTTTCTTCCTTACACTATAATTTTAAGAATAAAAAGTAACAAGAAAAGTGAAAACATGCGTGAAAAAGAATGAAATTTCTATTTACACCCTATGTATTATTCTATACACCCAACGTCTAAATATACTCTAAATTAATTTTTCAATTCTCTATTTATACTAAAGATACTCATATCCCTCGCTTTCTATTTTTCATTCCTCCATTTTCTCTCTTTTTCTCTTTTCATTTTTTAAAAATAAGTAAAATCAAAATTTTCAAATATCTATTTTGAGAAACTTTAAAATTTATCGGATATCAATTTATAATAAACCTTAAGTCTTATTGAAAATCTATTTTCGAAAAGTTTTAATGTCTCAGATATCAATTTTTAAAGAGTTCAATTTTATTTTCAGAAGTGGATTTCTTATCTTTAATAACTGAAACATTTAATCATAAGCTGTTTAAGAATGACTTAATTGAAAAATATATATGTTTATTGACCTATTTATTTGATTATGTATGTGAATAAATTTGAAATCAATAGTTTCAAATATACATAACACAAACTTATTATTTCTTTTAAAATTCTAAAAAACCAAAAAAAAAAAATTTGGTTTTTTAATATTCTGATTTTGTATGGGTGAAAAGGTGTTATTGGTAATCTGATCTCAAGATAATAATATTTTTTTATGCCTATGTATGCTTGAACACTAATATATTTCTAGCATTCGCACATATAATTAAGTAAGAAAAAACATATTAACGACTTGACCCCTCCCACCCATGCTTGCTAAAGAAATTGTCTATAATATTTTTATATTTGTATTATTTATTTTAAGATTAAATGTATTTATGTGTTTTTTGAAATAGATTTCCTATAATATGATGTAAATTGCAAAAATAAATTTTTGATAATGCAATTTAATTATTGAAAATAAAATTTCAATAATTATATTGTATTATTGAAAATCTATTTCAAATAATACAATATAATTCTCTCAATTGTTGAATTCAAAAGAAGAAGGGTTGAATGTAAAGAGGATTGAGGGTATTTTTATTATTTACTAAATACGAAAATTAATATTTGCTATATAAATATTTTTGGAATAAAATTTAGGGGTGTATAGAAAAGATTTTGTGATGTATTTAGAACATCCTTAATATATATATATATATATATATATAATAAGTCCCGTAAGGAGGACTGCTTTCACTGGACTTTTGAATGTCCAATAAACTATTTAAATTCTAATGCAATTGAAAGAGTTCAAATGTACCGAAAATTGTCTACCAAATAATTCATCAATGCAATCGGAGCCTCCAACTTCACCTTACCAATAAGAGTGTTCGTTTGATCAGTTTGATAAAATTTAAATTGAATTATCTAAAATTAAAATGATCAAATTATGTTATTTTATTTTTATTAATCGAACGTAATTTTTTAATTTTAAAAATTAGATGATCGAAATTAATTCGATTAATTTTTTAAATTAATCGAATAATAATATACATTAAATTATATTATATTTTAAATTATTATTTACTCATACATGAAATAAATTAAATAAAATCATTCAACAACAAAAAATTAAAATATTAAATTAAAAACTCTAATAACTTGAAATGAAATTGATAAATTCATATATTTTTAATTTTACATATAAATTTTATAATATTTTGATTAATTCAGTTTTTTAGCCAAATTAATCAAAAATAAAAAATTTTTAAAAATTATTTTTAACAGTTTATCAAAATTAATTCAATAATTAATCGATTAATTAAATAAAATAAATTAATTCGGTTAAAACTAAATTATGAATACCTCTACTTACTAAAGCTACGATCGAATCTAAATAGATCCTCAACCTTAAGCCTTTAAGGTTTAAACGAGATCAGGATCACTGACTTTGCAATTTGTAATTACCGTCACATAGCTTATAGAATCTTTGGTGTCTGATAAGTGATATTCACTTATTCAATTAAATTCCACTTTTAACATATATATATATATTGTAATATAATATATATAATAAGAATCCACTTATATTAATATAATTTTTATTTTATAAATTATTAAATTTAAAAATATTATTTTAATTCAAACAAGTTATAAATTTAATTTTGATTCAATAATCTAAAAAATATAAAAATTATATTATCGTAAGTGATCTCTACTCTTTTATATATATATATATATATATATGAAAAAGATCAATTTATATAATATAATATTAAAAAAGTTTTATGTATTTTTTAATTATTAATTTTAATATATATATACGAGATGAATTCATTTACGTAACGTAAAACTAAAATAAATTTTACATTTTTTTAATTATTTATTTTAATATATTTAATGGATGAAATTAAATTATTTTTTATATTTTTATTTATCCCTCTTATTCATTGATTTTATTAATATTAATAATTAAAAAATATATAAAGTTTTTTAATTTTATATTGTATAAATTGATATCGTTTATATATATATATATATTATATAAAAGCATTTAACACAGTCACAAGCAATCGCATGCCGCAAGTCAGTAGAATCATGCAAAACAATTTTCTCAACAAGCAAGGAATCCAGGGGCCCACAAGATCATTATCCACCCAACCCGTATAACAGTGGGTCCCACATCAATAATGCGACCATAAAACCCAACACTCGCAGCCCCGCTCCGCTCATCAGCCGTTAGCCGTTCCCTCCCTTCCCCCCCCCCCCCCCCCAAAAATAAACCAACCCAAAGGACATAGTGGATATCGAACCGGATACTGCCCGTTACAAAAGAAAAAGAAAGACTGACCGTACGGCACATGGCAGGTGGTTTCCATGGCAGTTGGTAGGCATTTAGTGTGCTTTCTCTTTATCTCTCTTCAACTCTTATTTATTCGTAGTTTGTACAGTATATTACCATTTATCCTGAATTTCAATTAAAGCCTCTCTCTTCTCTCAAAAGCTGTGCACGTCCGGTTTCTCTCTGCTCAATTTCTAGCCGTTTTTTTTTTCTTATCCATCTTTTAGTTTGTTCATAGAACATTCAGTTCAGATCCGTTACGAACCCGATTTTCTTACCCTGAAATCCAATATCCTCGACCTGGACTCCCCCTCCTCGTACTCTGTTTCCTTCCTTCTTTGAATCGTTTCGCATTTTTCTCGTGCTCTGCAGGTATACCAGTTTTTTGGTTGCTTTCTTTTAGTCAGTGTAAGTTTCTTTTATAACATAATCCTTTTGCTTGAATGGATTGTAATACTAAAGAAGCTTCTTAATTCTCGCTTGGGTTTTAGCTTTTTGATATTGAATTTGAGCAGAATTTGAAAGTGACAAAAATTGCTCTTTTAATACCAAAATTTTGAAATTTTTTTACTTTTCGCTCACTAGTTTCCTGGAAAATGCAGCAAAGAGAATTTTGGCTCTTCTGTCGCTCTCTTTCTCTCTGTTTTATTCTTAGAATTAGTGGTTTTTTTTTTCAAATATACCCATTCTTGATTTCTTGTTCTAAAGCTAAATTTCTTATGCTTACCTTATAATAGTTAAATGGGTTTTCTTCACTATAAACACCTTCTTTTGTTTTTGTTCTATAGTTGGGGTTCCTTATCTTTCCTTATAAAGTTAAATTCTCTCAGCAACCAAACATATTTTTCTTCCTTGGTCAACTTTAGTTGGCTATTGATATGTATAATTCAGCTTTTAGAAAGCTTCTTTTCCTCACGGGTTGATGATTAAAAACATGTCAGCTTTGATCGTTGCAAATTCTTTAGAATTAAGGGTTTTACTTCAATTATGCTTGTTTCAGGTGATATCAGAATGACTTAACAAGCAGAAGCTTAATGATGAGATAGCATCGGTCTTGTTTGTTTTTTGCGTTTCATTTATTGAGATCAATCCAAGTCTCGTGAATCAGTGATTGGTTTCTCCAAAGCCAAAAATTCGCATTCAACTCATCCTCAAAATATTCGTGTCAGTGACCAATCTTTCTCCACTCTGGCTTCATATTAATTGCTTTATAAAATCGGGATTCTCTTTGTACTTTCTTGAAGAGAAAAAAAAACTTTCTTGTATTCTTTGACAGGGTCATAAACGAACAGAATCTTCTATTAGAAAACCCCAAATCAATGTGAAGAGAATTGGAGCTGATGAGTTGTTGATTAGCAAAGTCAACTGCTATTTTGAGGATCTGGGTAAAGTTAGCTTAGTTTTGACGATTGAACTTTGTGGTGGAAAATGTTGGAGCATGAGCAGTGTTCTTCTCGCGTGCTGTCGCCGTTCAGGGAGGAAAGCGGCGATGAAGAGCTTTCAGTTCTTCCGAGACACACAAAAGTTATTGTTACTGGAAACAATAGAACAAAGTCTGTATTGGTTGGTTTGCAAGGCGTGGTCAAGAAGGCTGTGGGCCTTGGTGGTTGGCATTGGCTGGTATTTCCCTTTACTTTCATTATTATTTTATTTTTCTATAAATTCACTGTTCGTGCAAATTCTCCTTAATTATTAAGTTGTTTCTAAGTCCTAACCAAGTGGTTTTTAATTGGTCTAGATTATTCTCTGATTTTCTTAATTTTAATTAATTTATTTTGTTTTTTACTTGGCATTGAAATTGGTTTAACTGTGTAATATTATACTTGTATCTTTACTGTATAATTTTTTACACAATTAGTGAATCATATGATGTCACTTGAGTAATGAAAAGGTTAAAAAAATCAAATTTTTATGTATTTATTTTAAAAATTTGTAAAGATTATGTTTATTTATTAGTGTGTATAGAATTTAGACATAAACAATGTATCAAATATAATCTCTTTTTTAATTACTACTTACTATTAATTTATAAAGCTGAGATTTTCCCATGTGGAAATTATATAAAGCCATCTATTTCAGTCTAGGCTTAGGGTTTTTACTGGTTCCAGCCCCCAAAATCATCTTATAGTAGTTAAACCATCCATGGCTCACTCTGATGATGTAAGTAGACTCTTTTATGTGTCCAAGGAACTTGTCTTGCAGAGATGATCTACTTGTTATTTAAACTCAATGTTTTGAAGATCTAATAGTTGGACCCTGAAAAAAAAATCTGGTGGTTGGACCAATATAGAATTTGATAGAACACTTTTGTAATCCATCCAGTGACCAAATTTTGTTTTCCTTGCTCAAGGAAAAAAGGGAAAAGAAGATAGCTGCTTTTTCTGTTTGTAAATTGATTCTTAAACAGGTTATTCAATTTGTTTTGCACTCCAATTTGTAGCTTTAACTTTTGATTAGCTTTTCTTCTGTTTTTAGTTGGACAAGATGGACCAGACATCAACTTAGTCTATAATTAGATTGGTCCTTTTCTTGATTATTGAAATTGGCGTGTAATCTCTTTGCTACTAGACCCTTTATAGCTAGATAGCACTTACTCTGTCGCCTTTATTTTGTGGAAGAATCATACTTTGTGACACTAGTGCTTGCTGCTTTCAAGGTTTTGAAGAATGGGGTTGAAGTTAAGCTGCAGAGGAATGCATTGAGTGTGCTGGAACACCCTACAGGAAATGAAGTAGATGTTGATCATGATTTTGACAACTCAAGCAGTGGCTCAGACATTGGTGAGAAGGACCATGATTTCATGCCAGAAAAACACTCTTAACTAAAAGTTGTTTATGTACCTTTTACCCTGTGATCAGCCCCCTTTTTCTCCACTTTGGACAGCTAGTAGCATTGAGTTCCACCGGCCTGCCAAACCAAGAGTTCGACATACAAAACCATGGGTTCCATCTCCATCCATGAAAGCGACTAGTCGTAATGGTTATAGAGATGTTCGATCCATTATTCGTGCACCTCAATTGGTTAGTATCACACTTTGCACCTCAACCTGTTAGTACATATTGGGTGCCCTAGTTGTGGGAACTTTAACTATTGCAAAATGCCCATAATTTGGAAAATAATTGCAAGTGTATTTTATCATGTGTTTCCTGATTCTGAAGGTAAATTTGGCAAGACTTGACATCAACTCCTTGCGAAGATATTGCAGGCACTTCAAACTTGTAGGTTCTACTAACTCACCTTGATGAATTTCCTTTGAAGATCTAGATAAAATTATACTTTGATTTGTAGGGAGGCATCACTGCTTATTCGTCAAGGGAACAAATACTTAATACTGTGCAGAAGCATTTTGAGTCACAGGTCCATTCTATCTTTGACACTCATGCAAATGCATACAAACATGCCACATTACGCTTGTTTGCATGAATCTAACATCCATTCTTTGATACAGCCAGCACCGAATGAGGTACAGGTGATCTCGGAATTCATCTCCGCTGCTAAGAAACTGAAAACTGATGACACACTGAGTGAGCAACTATGAATGTTTTCAACATTGTATAAATTACATACATATTTTAGCTCTAACCTTAGATTAGATCTAATTGGAAGACTAATAGGATGAGTTGTCGATCGACCAGCCTGATTTCTTCCCCAGATTCTGACCTTGTAATATAGGGCTTGTGTCCTTTGTTATTTTCTAGTATATTTACTATTCCAATAGTGCATATGTACGCCACCCTTTCATGAACTTCACTGAATCTTACTACTGCTGATATGTTCTGAATTTCTTTTGGGTTTCCTTGATAATGGTGGCATGATGAGATCTTTCAAAAATCAAAACATCGGTGGAATGAAAATGAGCCAGGCTCCCAATTATGGGCTGATGCTGGTAGAGATGCCAGGCTGGCATTTGGAGTCACGGGTTCTGTGCAACAGTGGGTGATGGGGATTGGGGACATGTTTATATTCCCAAGCTGACTCAAATTCCAAATCAAGGACTCTGCTAGACTGCCAGTCAAGTGGATGTGAGACTCGTGAGACTCTGTTTGACCCCTTGAGCCCCATTTTTTTGGTGATGGAATGGCAATGTCGATTAACCATTCCTGGCTATAACATCCAAACATTTCATGCAAAAGAGCTTGCTTAGCCTTCTCCATTAAGCATTACATATTTTTTTAAAAAAATAAATTTTTACAAAATTGCGGTTTCCATCTTTAATATTTGTAATTTTTTTCCTAAGTTTTTGAAAGTCTTGGCATGTATTGTAAAAAAAAAAATTTTGTAAACGAGCCAATTTGCCTGTGATTGGACCCGCCTCCTATGGTTGACTACGGAATTTTATTAACACCGTAGTAATAATCTAGCTTGACCATTAATGTTTTGACAGCATCGTGGCGTGTGAGTGGAGTTGCACTTTTTGTCTGTATAAATCGTTATGATTGGATAGCCATGAAGTTTTTCTGCCAAGTTTATGCTTATGCCTAACATTCTTTGACGCGGAGGAATTAAATTAGGTTGTTTTGCTTTCCAATGTGGGGACTGTCGTCATTTTCTATTTTTTTTCTTGTAAATCTGTTGTAAAAGGGCTAAAATCTTAGGTTAATTATAGGTTTTGGATTCATCATTTATTTGGCTAATACTATTAGTCTGATGACTGCAAACTTAATGAAAAAACAAAAATTGAATATTTAATTATAAATTTTTAACTTTGGGTACTAAATTAAAAAATTGACTATAATTTGGATATAAAATGTCTAATTAACCCTAAAATCTTTTAAACTATTTGTTTTGGTTGGACTTAAACTATGTAGCTAAGAAAAAGGTTAATTCTATCTGGGATTTTCATTTAAATAGCTGGTAAAATTTTTTTTTATCATATCATCGTATTTTTTTTAAAATTAAATATTTTTTTATTGATCATCTAAATAAAATATTGATCAACCTAATATCATCTTTTCTCGTATTTTATCATAAATTAATCATCCTTCTTTTAGCATTGATTTTGAGGCCATCTCCATCTAATTGGGCCAAATAAAAGCAAACGTTCCCATGACTTTGGGAAAAACATTGGGTCAATTATGAAATGAACCTAATCATAAAATAGCCATTAGAAAATAAGAAAAGCCCAATTGCAACCCAAGTTTCGGGGTCCATTTGGATTCCCAGTTGACGTTAGTACAACTAAGAGTGTAATTGAATCGAGTCAAGTCAATACAGTAAGAAGTTAGAGTTCGAATTCGGTTTCTAATTCGAGAGTTCGATACTCGGTTCGAACTCGATCGAATTTCATTTTTCTAGCTCGAGTTCGATTCATGATTGAAATCTAACTACTCGAATTTGTTCAATTAATATATTAAAAAAAGTTCGATTTTTATATTTGACAAGAGTTCGATTATTTGTACTCGAGCTCGAACTCGAGATATTTTATTAATTAAAATAATAAAAAAATTTAAATATAAAAATTCGATTAGATTCGCGAGCTACTCGAGTCCAGTATAAGAATACTCGAATTCGATTCGATTGATAAGTCTAGTTACTCGAACTCTAACTCGATTCGATAATAATCGAATCGAATTTAAATTTTATTCGAATCGAATTCGAATAATTTATAAATATTAATGTATCATTTACACCTTTAAATATAAAGTGTATGATATCTTCCATGGCATTGATGATCCCTTTGGATCACCAAATTATTTTATGCTGTACTTATTTTCATGACGTCACACGTTTAAATTGTGACTGAATCTTAAAGATCCAGTTAAAGTTTTCTTTTTTTTAAAAAAAAAAAAAACAACGTCTTATTACACGAATTAAAAAAAAAAAAAGATTTAGTTCAAATCCAAAACTCTAATATTTTTTTAAGGCTTCTATGGCTGAAAAACGGAAAGACAAGTTTTCAATTATTCACCACAGTATCTTTCTCGTTATAACTTTTTTTTTTCTCTTAGAAATATAATGTAAAAACAAAAATAAGTACACTACTCAAACTTTTTTCTTTTCCTTTTTTTTATTTAATAATTTTCAAATAAATTTTTTTAAATTTAATATAAATAAATAATTTTTTATAATTATAGAATAAACTAATTAATAAATAGCTAAAAATTAATAAATACTTAAAAATAATAAATTTTATAATGAAATAAATTATTAGTAAATAAAATGTCAAATAATTTAATGTATAAATATATAAAAATAATTTTAACAAATTTTAATTACTTATTAATGTCAAAATATCTAATAATTTAAAAAAATTTTATACACAAATTTTAATCTAACAATTATAATAATTAATTTATTTTTTTACTACATTTTATCTTCGTATATTATTATATTATATTTAAATATATATCTCATTATTAATTTTAATCTTATTATTATAATAACTATTTTTATTATCATTATTTCTTTTAATTTTACTAAAATTTATCTCAATACCATTCATATGAACCTTCGGTTAGCTTCGACCTTTATTGTTAAACGTCAATCCAAACAAAAAGGGATTCCAATAGGTAGCTCAGGTCAGCTGCTAATCCATCACATTGCCAGATAGCGTACAAAAGTCAAACGATTGTAAATTTGATTTTTCTGATCATTGAATGAGAAAAGTCGAAAAATCAGAAGAGAAAAGTCATGCTTATCTTATCTCAATCAATTTTCAATTTTATCTGTCCAATCCCAATTGTTTGTCACCAAAAGTCCTGCTTATAATTATTTTTTACTAAGGTGAGTGGAATAAACAGGAGAGTTTGGCGCGTGGAAGGAATCCCAAAAAACAATTCTAAAAAATTCTGCAATCGTGGAAACAGTTTTAGTGGAGAGTCTTTCTTTCTCAGTGAAAGTTGTTTTTCCACACGAAGCATAAATTTTTTTACATAATTCTCTGTTATATATATATTTTTTGTTTTGAATTTTCAATTGGAATTCTGGGATTTGTTTCCAATTAAATTTGCAATCAACAGGTAATTTCATATCCTATTCAGCTTTTTCTTTTTTTTTTTGAGTTTTGCTCGCTCTCTATTGCTTAAATTATGGTTTCTCTAGGGTTTTACCAAGCATAATTTGATTTTTTTTTCTTATTAGCTATTGAATTGATGAACTATTGGTAACTTTTATGGGGTTTTTCTCAAACTTTATGGAATTTAGTTGTTTGGCTATGTCTTTTGTATCGGATATTACTATGATATTTATCATTTTTAGCTATTTCCATGCTACTTTTTTATTGGATAAAAGTCTGTTTTAGTACTAGTTGATGAAGAGTAACTGAAGGCTACTCTTTCTTGATTGATTTCTTATTGAATTTACCTGTTTCATTTGTTGTGACTATTGTTTCAGCACATGGGTTATTTAGAGTTTGTCACAAAAAGCGTTCTTTGATTAGAAGTTTGCCATTAAGATTATCCACCGCAACTATTCGAGGAGTGGAAACTTAGGTTGAGGTTTATTGCTGCTCCTTACTTTTTTTCAGTTATCACTATCTTGTTTGGTTTTCAATTTACTTAATTGGTCTATTTCGATGAATTTATGTTGTAGTTCTTGATATGGAATTATAGAACGACAATTGAATTGAGTCAGTGGGAAGGTTTTTGAACTTGGTTCATGTTTGACAGTCAGTAATGGATGTTGCTTTTGTTTTAATATCTATAATTCTGCTACTACTGTTGGTCAACATACAAACAGCATGAAGATAGCTTGGCTTTGTTTTAGGGTCTTGTGCGTGATTTCTATCTTCTATGTTTTTGTTGGTGACAAGTTTATGCGAGAAGCCAGATATAATTTTGTTACTTTCTGTTCAGTATTGCTTTTGCTCCACTAACTTCATGCTGTTGGCCATTTTTCTGGAACTGTCTATCAGAACTTGTGGGATTTGTAGATCAGTGCACTTGACTATAGCTTTTCCTTAGTGTTGACAATATTTTTCGTTTTGTCATGTGGCATTTGGCTTGTATGTAATTTACTGGATGGAATGGTATGCTGTTTATATCTCCAATAGTTATGTTAGTCTTTTCCTGATAACAGATTTTCTCACCTGTTGGTGGTGTGGGATTATAATGTACCAAGTACCGGTAGTTTTATATGGGCAGTGGACATAAGTAAAGGAATGGGAGGTTGCTGCTGTTGCTTTTCTAAAGGAGTTGAAATAAATAATGCACCACCATACTATTATGTCAGTATAATTTTCTTCCTCCATGGAATTGTTTTTCTCCCTCTTTTTCTTTAGTTTTTTCAGCCTAATCCTTTCATCCTCACCTCTCCTGTTACAATTGATTTTTTTTATTTTTGAATTTGGTTGCAACTCATCTCAAGTTCAGTGTAGAGTACTGTGTGTTTTATTGAGTGCCACACTTCAAAATTTCAGGGGGGGGGGTGCATGATGTGGCCAAAAAATTGAGATAGACTGTACTCTCCAGTGCACTTGAGAGGATCAAAATGTCTTAAATTCTCTGTAATCTGGGGCTTTTTTTTTGTGTCCTTATGGTAATAACTGGATGCAACAAATTATACAATGTTCCCAGTTGTTAATTCTCTAATTGCCCTTAATAAGTTCCTATTAATCATGATCTGATCACCATTACTAAGTTGCTTATGAATCACGATTTCTGCCTAGTGCTTAAACCTAAAATGGGTCAGAGTTAAACTGTAGCACAACCTGAAACCGAAAAATGATTATTAAAATTTCTTGTTGACCTGTCTCTCATACTGTCACACTTATTAGTTACTAGAAAATGGACTGATTAAAGACTTATCCAAAGGCAACACATAAAAGGTAGTTATGTCGAACTTATTGTTTATCACACATTGAATGCCTTTTCCTTATCTTTGTTGAGTTGAAGTTCTTTCTTTTAACAGTACCCCAGAGCCTCAGATGAGCATGGGCCTTTATCTTCTCACAGTGGTGCTGCCTCTGCCTTCTCCACTGGACTCCTGGTTGACACAAATCTGCAGGTATCATTTCCTGATGCTTTTAGACCTCCTCCTCCTCCAATACCATTTGATGCAGTTTTAGGACCTCCTCAAACTCCTTCAGTAGCCCAAGGAATTCATAACAGTAAGAGTGATGAGGTAGTGCAAACGACAAATGTTGATTCCAGTCAAGAAACGGTTGGTGTCAACATTCGAGAGACTTCTATAAAATCTGAGGACACTAAGGAACCCGACTGCAAAACACAATTCAGTACTGAAATTGAGTCACCAAAGGGGCTAGAAGTTGAACTTTCAAAACAAGTTGAATCAATTGTGTCTATAAAGGAGGAGGAGGATGTTTGTCCAACCTGTTTGGAAGGTCTGTCTTCCCTATGCAATTTATGAACTTTCTCTCTGCATCACTGCTAAAAATGGCGTTGCATTTTTTATGCTAAGTTGTGTTTCAACTTTAGAAAGGCTGTTGATAGACCCTTTTTCTGTTCTTTACTGCAGAGTATGATGCAGAAAATCCAAAAATTATCACAAATTGTGAGCATCATTTTCACCTTGCATGTATTCTTGAATGGATGGAAAGAAGTGACACATGTCCTGTGTGTGATAAGGTTTGTCTCAGAACTATTTTATGTTTTATAAGTGAATAGGAATTATTGTTATAACCTAAGGAAATAACAAGAGGATTTTAATTCTCTTATGATGCAGGAAATGATTTTTGACCTACCCGCTGATTAGTTTACTGGTGGTGGACTCAGCTTTAGCTGCTTGAAATTAAGTTTGTTGCAGAGGTTGCAGCTTACCGAAACATCAGAATTTCAGTTTTTACTTTTTCTCGCACTCATCACCCCGAATATTTAGTGGCTACTGCAGAGTTGGCTATAGTTTGGTTTTGGATTTCTTTCTCTTTTTTTCCTTCTTTTTTTGGGGAGTCATACTCATGCCTATTGTGAGCGTAGTATCTTTTTGCTTTTATAACTTGAAACTTTTGATACCATTTCAAAGGTTAATACTTGATTTACTGTGCATTTCCCTCAATGTTTAGACCAGCATGTCATTAGTTTCAACGTTTCTTCATCAGTAAGCCAGTGCCCGAAGTTGCATAAAAAGAGGGAATAAGAAGCTGCCATGCCGGTTTGTAGTGCCTTCTTTGTCCGGAAAACGTGCTAGTTACCCAAAGCAGCACATTAACTCTTTTTTCTCCATATATATTTCTTTCCATGGGTCTGCAAACTCAGATCCTGCGAACAGATGTTTCCTTTACCTCCCTTGGTTAGATTGCTTCTGCAAATGGCATATGGTTTCACTTATCTCCAGTTCATCTTAATGTGAAATTGTTTGATGGTGATGGATGTACTAGTTTTGTGATCAGTTTATGAAATCCTTAGAACGACGAGAATTTTACATTTGTAGAGAATCTCCTTTTTATTTTTAAAAGACAGAAGCAATAAATTGAATAGGCATTTTGTATGTCACATGATTGATGTATATAAAAAAATTATTTTCACATCAAAATTTCATAATTGTTACATTTGTATCAAAACATATATCTTCGTTACTCAAGTACCTCTTGATCAGGGTTGAATCTGAAGGGATGAAAGTGCATCTGTCTCATCATTCAAAGATGGAGACCAAATACCTTTCCATGTTTCAATGAAGTGCTTGAGAAATTGAGTAATGCTACAGTGTCAACAAAATAATATTCAAGCTGAGAAAATCCTTCTAGGAAGAAAAGAAAGTCAAAGAAACTTGCATGAATTTTTCCACCAAACCAAACAACGGTTAATGTTTATTAAGAATTTTTAAGTTTTAAAATTATTAATATAATTAAACTATTGCATTATATACAAATTTTTATAAAAAATTTCAATATTAAATATTTAATTGTTTAGAAAAACATTACACAAATCCCAAAATGAAGTGCGAGTTGTTATAATTTTTAATTAATTTTTACTTTAATTATAGGTTATGGTGACCTAGTTGTTTAATTACTTTCCATTTTTATAATAACAACCAATTAATATATTGCTTAGATTCTTTCTAACTTGCCACGTGAACAAAAAAATTTCTCATTTATCCTGTTTTTTTTCTTGATTAAGCATGTAGATTAATGTAAACCACCTTATTATTTTTAGATTGGACAATCAAATTACTAACAAATACAACTGATAAAACAAAAATAATACTAACATACCATAAAATATTAAAATCGATAAAAAAAAAAAAAAAGAACAGGAGGTTGGTGTTAAGGTTACAAATATAGGCAAAATATACCGTCTTCTAGGGTAAAAAATGAGAAAGTTACTGGAGTTGATATTAGAATTACTGCGGTGACTACCATCTATATAAACTCCTGGATTCACTCGTTGATGTCCGAACCACTTTTGGGGTTGCTTTTCTTTGTGAAGAAACCTCATTTCCTCCTGTTTTTCCTCTTTCAAGAGTCCCAAAGACCAAAAAGAAAAAAAAAAAATGTCTTCTCCTAGCAAACGGCGAGAGATGGACTTGATGAAACTGTAAATTCTTTTATTTATTTTCCCCAAGTTTTAGTTTTAAGAACAAATTATTTGTCGTTATCTTTGTTTTTGTTAATTTGCTTTTGATTTTTTGTTTTTTTTTTGTTGGATTGATTTTTACTAGGATGATGAGTGACTACAAGGTGGAGATGATCAATGATGGCATGCAAGAATTTTATGTCGAATTCAATGGACCAAAAGACAGTAAAAATCGCTTCTTTATCCTTTTCTTCCTTCATTTTTCATTCGTTTCTATGATGTATCTCTTTAGTTTTTCTCAAGATTTACTTTTCTTTCTGGGTTTTTCTCATTCTTCTAAAAGTTCACTTTTTTTTTTCTTGGAAGTGTGCTGACCATTTGGTACTTGTTATTGGGTTTTCTCTTTTGATGAATTTAATATTTGAAGATCAATATGTATTTGTATTTGTTATCCAATTAATCTAAAGTGATATTTTGATTATTTGTTCTTATCTAAGCTGCCACTTTTTATGTATATGTTTATTTAGTTCTTTGAATTTTCTGAATTAGAATGGCGTTTGTTGATAGATTTTGCTTGTGGGTATTTTTAAACAAGAGCAAAATGAGATGATTTTTGTTTTTTCACAGATTATCTAATATGTAATATGTCAGGTCCTTATCATGGTGGTGTGTGGAAGATAAGGGTGGAGCTCCCAGATGCTTATCCTTATAAATCTCCATCGATTGGCTTTATAAACAAGATCTACCACCCCAATGTTGATGAAATGTAAGTTTGTGGATGTTAAAAAGTTCTAAATTTCGCTGCTTTAGCTTTGTCTTAGTGGTAGCATTAACTTGTATGAGGTAATTTAGAATGAGTAATTTGGTTTTGACTTTTAAATGTTCTGTTATCATTAATTAAAATAGCTTGAACTATGAGTTTCAGGTCTGGCTCTGTTTGTTTGGATGTCATCAATCAGACTTGGAGCCCCATGTTTGGTATACCTAGCACATTGTTTGTTTTGCTCATTCTTTCTTGTTTTAAAGTTGCTGCTTTTACTCTTGGAACTTGACAAGCAATTTAAGTTCTTTTTTTAAACTTGAGATGTTCAATTTCAGATCTGGTAAATGTGTTTGAAGTTTTTCTTCCTCAACTTCTTTTGTATCCCAACCCATCAGATCCATTGAATGGAGAAGCTGCTGCTCTTATGATGCGTGATCGTACAACCTATGAACAACGAGTGAAAGGTAGCATTTGTCTATAAGCATAAGCTTTTTATTTTATTTATGCATTTTTTTTGTCTCAAGACTGCCCTGCCCAGAAGTTGAGGTATTTATTTGGATTTCTTGCTTTTTGGAAGCCAATTAAGTGAAAGTCAAGCAGCGGTGAGCTTACAATACTTTTTCTTGATCACCATTGTTTTTGAAGGAAATTACTTGAGATCACAAATCTCAGACGTTGGTAGCACGAATTGTTTTATAAGTGCAATGCAACCTCTTACCCTGTTTAATTTGTATTTAGTTGACTAATGGCCATTTTATTGAGTTGTCAACAGTCTTGAACTTTATCATTAGTCTAAATTAGGTAACACCAATCTTGACCATCATCATTAGTCTAAAGTAGTTCTAGTTTTAGTTTCTAAATGCCTTGGCATCACAATTTTGAATAGTAACATGCTTTAAACCATTTAGTGAATAGGTTGATAATAGTAGTAGACTTGATGTTTGAAAATTGCTTGGCCTACACCAACATTTCTTTGTTCTGCATTCATAACTGTTGCTTATTTGTGTTTCTAGCCATTCTTACTTATTTTTATTCTGTCCGTAGCATTTGAGGGGATACTTGCTTTTCTTTTCTTGTTACCATATCCTTGCTATTAGTGCAAGCAAGTTCTGCTTCTATTTGGTGTTTTTGGTGTAATTCTGCAATTTTTTTTGGATAAGTAACTTGCAATTTTACTTTAGAATAGTCATCATGCAAATTGAAAACAAGTTGAATATTTTTAATCTTTTTTTGACCTTGTGAAAAAAAATTTTTTCTTCATCTTCTGCTAGCCTGGAAGGAGGTGGGTATGTTGCTAAATGTGACTTAAGTACTTTGAAATTGGAAAATCTTTGATTCTTTTTAGGTTTTAATTTTAAAGAAAATAATACATGCACTGTAAACCTGAAGGTATTTTGATTGGACTAAGAGTAGAAAGATTTTCTTAGAGATAATGCAATTAGCAGGTATATAAATGGGTGCAGCTGTTTGAAAGCATGGAACTATGGGTTACTTTTCTAGCACATATGAAAATTAGCGTTTATGGATTGCAAATATTATTTCCAATTGCTTTGTCACACATCTTCTGTGTTTCAGAAAGAATTCCTTGTTTGTAATTACATTTACTGCTCAAGGAAGACTTTCTGAGTTTCTTCGCGGAGGTGCAACCGTATGAAATAGATGACATATTAAAGTTGCCGTTAATTTATTGTTAATCATAACTAGAAGATGACTCGGAAGGAACCCTGTGTGAGTTCCACTTGATCAGTCAAGGAGAATTACTTGTTGGGCCTCGGAGAGATCTATTTTCTCCTACTGCAATCTTGCCTGCTGTTTTCTCCCATTGCTGAAACTATTTATCTACTCTTTTGATTTGGGGTTAGAGTATGCTAGAGTTCAGAAGTTTTTGTTGTTATATTTGGAAAGGGGAGGTTGCAGCTTTAAAAGTAGGTCATTTTCAGTCAAAATAGGATAAATAGTAGCTGGCAATAGACCCACTTGGCCTATTTGTTGTGGCCATACCATTTCGCCTATTTTCTCAGTTAATACATCTTCCCAAAGAGGTTAATCAATTCAGCTCAGTGGTAATAAGTTGTGTCTAACCGCTTTTATCATCCCTGACAACATGCAGAAAGAGTTTAGTGGCATTGCAATTATTGTTCTCTCAAAGTGTGATCTGCAATTTTATTTCAGCAGCAATATGCATTGCTTTTCCTCCTTCCATTGTCATTTTAAGGATGCAGTCATTGCAATGCTTACGACTTATTGTCATTTCCCAGAATATTGTGAGAAATATGCTAAGCCGGAAGATGTTGGAGCAGCAGCAGCAGAAGAGAAGTCCAGTGATGAAGAGCTGAGTGAAGATGAATATGCTGCCTCTGACGATGAGGAAATTGCTGGAAAAGCTGATCCTTAAGCACATAATATGCTTCGCTAGGAAATTGTCTGTGTTGTACATGATATTCAGCTCCAGGAAAATTTGAACTTGACAAAACTGGGGTCATATAGAAATATTCCTGCCCCTTTCTGTCTTTATTGTCCATGGATGTTTTGTGTAAATTAACGCACTTTGTTTAATATTCCAAATATTCATATCCACTGTTTAGACTAAAAACCCGATTTGCTTATGCTTCTGCTCCTCACGTGCATGTATCAATTAAACTTCATCACGAAAATGCGAAAATGCGTTAACCCTTTAATTGAGGTGATGTTTCAAATTTACTTGCTACGTGGCAAAAGGTCCACGACTTTGAAAAGCTGATCTGATTGCATTATTCATTGTAAATGTTTGATGGGAAACAATGTAGAATTCAACTTTGTGATGGCTGGATGCCAAGGGAAAGCATGTCTTCTCAAAACTTGTTTAATGATGGTGAAAAACCATTGCCATGGCATTTGATTTACTCTAGAAATTGTTGGATGGTTAGGCCAATCCGATCTTGTTAAGGAAAAAGGTAGATCGTCGAATTTCTGATAATTAAAGATTATAATTCCCTCTCTTCTCCAGAAAAGCCCCTATAGCTCAGTGGTAGAGCGTCAGTCTTGTAAACTGAAGGTCCGTAGTTCGATCCTGCGTGGGGGCATAATAGACTTTTTGTAACATATTTTTAATTTTCCTTTTTTTTGTAATTACTAGATCTTTGGTGGATCTTGTTCTGAATCTGATCTGATCACTTTCCGACAAAACGAGGTTCAGCACAAAACCTGTAGAAAACTAGAAGTGTCAGAAAGTAGACAATCACTCCACACACTGACAAACACTGTCGTGTCCTCCAGACGCTGCCAATTCGTCGAAAATTCAGGAAATCCAAAGCCTACAGTGTTCAAACGGTGAATCTGGTGTGCATTTGTTATCCGAACTTGATTATAAATTAAAAAAAAAAAAAAACTTTTATCCGTCGCTAAAAAAGACCATTCAAAATTTGCTTAATTTCAATTTTAGCGACACTTTGTTTCAGTAAACCAAATGATGTGTGCCACCTCAGCCAAACCCAATATGACCATCTTAATATTGAGCCACAAGTTAAGGCCATATAAGCAAACAGCCTCTTTTTCTTATCATCAAATCTTAAAATACCCAAAATCAATCGGACAGATCGTCTTATAGTCTTATATATATTAATAAAAAAGTATCAGTAGCAACTAAACGAGTTCCCTATTAACCAATAACAGAGTTACACGTGTGCTTTTAGATAATTGTCAAGATACCATTTTCACTGTGAAAAATAAATAAATATCTTGTTTGTGGGTCAACACTCTTTGGTTCTAACCAACATTTTTCACTTCCACAAATCCTCTGTTTTCCTCTGCATCTGATACGGTAAAATCTCCGCAATCTATTTCCTTCAAATTTTAATTTAATTAAAAAAGCATATTATAGCCAGGAACCAGCCTTTTTTTTTTTTAATTCACTTGCAATTTTTTCTTGAATTTTCTTGTCTACAATTTTGTTTTATCCACATGTATCTTTTTCTTTTTTATAAGAAGCCTCCCCTGTCCTGTGTGACTCTGTTTTAGTGCTCTGTTTTTCTCTTGTTGACCGTCTTCAATTTGGGGTTTTTGCCATCTTGGGTATATATTATTTTAGTCAAAGAAACTCTTTTGAGATCACAGTATAGTTTATTTGATCTCATCTGGCGGTGTAGTTCATAAAATATAGGGGGTGTTGTTGATTTTGAATGGCTCGGTTGATTCTTCCTTGCAAAAGTTCGTGTTTGGCAAGGACCAGTCTTTTGGGTTTGATCTCTTCTACTCCAGTGATTATCCACGGCATCTTTCTTTATGAATACCCTTTTGTTTACTTATATGGGTTTCAGTTGCTTGCCATTGAAACTCATGGTTTTGAATCCATTGTAACTGATTACATTGCATGATGCTCAAGTTCAAAAGTGCATTTAGATTGGTATTTTTGATGGGTGGCTTCTAGCAGTTTGTATACATTTTACAGTTTCCTTAGACGTTTGCTTCTGCGTGTGCAATGATGCGTGCACATAGCAAATAGATACACTGTTGCTGGCAGTTTGAAGGGTGATTATTGAATGCTAATTTTGGCATCATGGATTGTTTTAAGTATTTTTCTGTCTGATTGTTTCCTTATTTTGCAGGTACAGGCTAAAAGTAGTGTTAGTTCCTTTCAAAGTTCATTGAAGAATATCTCTCGGTATAGGTGTTTCTCTGTTTTAGAGGTTTGTGCATTTTGTTAGTTCTATAATATAGTGTACCAAGGCGGTAGGGACCCTCTTTGTTCTTGGAATAATAATTTTTTATCCTGACTTTATGCATTTTTATCTGAAAATTTTCTTTTTTAATTATTTATTTTTTGGTGTTTAGGCAACCTGTAGAAGGAATTACAGGTTTCCACATTCTTCACATTATGTGTGTTGCTATGCTTTGTATTTAACCATTTTTGCTCCATTCTAGTAATGCATACTTAAATGCATGTATGCATTTATATGAAAGCACATAAATAGTATACTTTTGTCTTAGTCTTCATGGATGTTTCTATCATGGAATATGATGAGGTCTCTTATGGTTGCTTTTGATATTTTGTTGATTTGGAAACATTATTTCAGAGGCCAAGGGAAGCCAGCAGAAGGCTGCTTTGTTCAGTTGCTACTGAACCTTTACCTAAGCAAGTTGAAGAATCTGAAATGGACGCACCTAAAGAAATCTTTCTTAAGGACTACAAGTCCCCTGACTACTACTTTGATACGGTATATATTGCAATTAAATATTATGCATCTGCTAGGATTCTGAACCTTTTTATGTGGCTTTGGCACTTACAAAAATAGCATTTCAGGTGGATTTGAAATTTTCACTGGGTGAGGAGAAAACAATAGTTGCTTCAAAAATAACTGTGTTCCCCAGGGTTGAAGGTATTGTTATCGTAATTCTTTGCTTCTAATACATTAAACTATCATTATTAGACCACGTCTCTTTTTTTACACTGGTGGCAAGAAGTTTTGTTCTCTCCAAGCGGTAATTTACGTTTTGGCTCTGCATTCTTCTTCGATGAGAATCCAGTGCTCAAGTTTTATGTTGAAAGCCTCTTTTCATCATAATTCTTTTATTTTATACTAATATATCTTGTAGAACAGGTTCTTCTTCTCCACTGGATCTGAACGGGGTAGATCTAAAGCTAATTTTGATCAAGGTCAATGGCAAGGAACTGAAGGTATACCATTTATTGTAACTTTCTGAAAGTAGGCTTGGAGCCATATGGTTCTGAAGCTATAATGTTTTAATATGTTTATTTTGTCATTCGCAGGAGGGAGATTATTATTTAGACTCACGCCATTTGACACTTCCATCACCACCAAGTGGCAAATTTACTTTGGAAATCGTTAATGAGATACAACCTCAGAAGAACACATCATTGGAGGTGAAACATTATTATGAAGTCTGTTCCATAATGTACAATATTTTTGCCCTAATAACCATGTTATAAATTTATTTTTCTCACTCTAGGGGCTTTACAAGTCATCTGGGAATTTCTGTACACAATGTGAAGCAGAGGGTTTCCGGAAAATTACATTTTATCAGGTTAAAAATGTTGAAACATAGATTGGCTTTTATTATTTTTTATTTTGATGTATGAATCTGTTTTATACCCCATTGACATATTTACTCTGCGAATAGGACCGTCCTGATATAATGGCTAAATACACATGCCATATTGAAGCTGATAAGTCATTGTACCCAGTATTATTATCTAATGGAAATCTCATAGAGCAAGGAGACCTTGAGGCAAGCATCACTTATTATGTTAGTCTCTTTTTGGTTAATTTTGAATGGCGTTTATTATTATTTTTCTGGATCCATTGCAGGGTGGCAAGCATTATGCTGTATGGGAAGATCCCTTCAAGAAACCATGTTACTTGTTTGCCTTAGTAGCTGGCCAATTGGAGAGCAGAGATGACATATTTGTTACCCGCTCAGGCCGACAAGTGTCCCTAAGGATCTGGACCCTGGCACAAGATGTACCCAAGACTGCACATGCCATGTATTCACTTAAAGCAGCTATGAAGTGGGATGAAGATGTCAGTCTTTATATCCTTGATTGATTTTACTGTGGTGTTGAGATTCTTCTATTTCTTTATTTAAAATCTTAATATCTTGTAGGTTTTTGGTCTTGAGTATGACCTGGATCTCTTCAATATTGTCGCTGTTCCTGATTTTAACATGTAAGATGCTTTCTCACTTAAATGAAATCGAACATTTGATGTATATGTGCTATCCTTTGCTTCTTTCCTGGTTATTATTCAGTTTTTATATCTGTCAATACCAATACACTTTTTTCTTTTTCTGATGTAGGGGAGCCATGGAAAACAAGAGTCTGAATGTATGCCTAATGGCTTATCTGGTCATCTATATCAAATATTTTTACTGTTCTGTTTTGTTGACATATGTTTCTATTGCGTCTTAGATTTTCAATTCAAGGCTTGTTTTGGCTTCTCCGGAAACTGCTTCAGATGCTGATTATGCAGCTATTTTGGGTGTTATTGGTCACGAGGTTTGTTGTGGATATCTATTGAAAATGCCCTTTCACAAATTTGCGTATTTGTTATAGAACAATATGATATATTGTGACTTGATTTTGTTTATTGCTTTCATGCAGTATTTTCACAACTGGACTGGCAACAGGTTGGTTTATATCCCATCTAGGCTTATTGTTTGTTCAAGAATTACATCCTTGCTTTTTGTTCCTTACTGTTTTATGATTTGTTTTTTGAGGTCTGGTCTATCACAGATGCGTTCTTGGTCATTAGCACATGTGAAAGATTATGTTTTATGTTTATTTAGCTGCGGGGTTCTATATTCATGTAGGTGGTTTTAAAGACATGTTTATCAATTTTAAATCTATTTAAAACAAGAAGGATAAATAAACTTCAATATAACATCAGCTGAAACACTGCAGAGTGACATGCCGGGACTGGTTTCAGCTCAGCTTGAAGGAGGGTCTTACTGTTTTCCGTGATCAGGTATGACTCTTTAGTTACCAAGGGGGTAAATGTAGGCTCATGACTATAAAATTTTTTTTATGGTTGTAAGTAATCTTGGTTGTGGGTAGGAATTTTCATCTGACATGGGAAGCCGTACAGTGAAGAGGATTGCTGATGTTTCAAGGCTTCGAAATTATCAATTCCCACAGGTTGTTTATGTTTCTTGCATGACTTGATGTTGACCTCATATCCAGTTATATGAGCAATTATGTTGCAAGTTTGCTGCTACTCCAAAAATCTACTGATATATCCTTCTGCGTGTGACATACTTGATTGCTGACTTGTCTCTGTTTCCCAATTTTCAGGATGCTGGTCCCATGGCTCATCCTGTTAGGCCACATTCTTACATTAAGGTAAAGTTTCTCCCTTATTTATTGGCCTTTTCTTTGAGTTTTCACTTGCTTGTGACCTCTTAAAAGTTTTGCTTCTCAGCGGTGTTAATGTTTTCCCCCTTTTTCCCCTTTTTCCCCTTTGACAGATGGACAACTTCTACACAGGCAAGTTTTTGTTATATCTAATAGAAATGTGTAATGGGTGCATGGATCAGTTTCCTCTTGTTATATTTATATTTGATATCCTTTTTTAACGTGTGAATGTGTGGCTTTTTTGTATGATCTTGTTGTATATGAATCTGATATGGGGTTATCAACAACGGCAGTGACGGTAAGGCCTAGCACCTTGCATTTGGATCTTTTTCTATTTTGTTTTCTGTTTTTCTTTGACAAGGCATCTAATTTTCCTAGTGTTTTTCTTGGTCTTTTTATTTTCTTTTTCACAGGTTTATCAAAAGGTTTGAATATCTTAACCTGAATTTCTCATGTTTATGTGTGTTTGTGGGCAAAAGCTATATTGATGCATCAATGAATTTTCCTTATGATTCAACTTGCCAGGGAGCCGAAGTTGTCAGGATGTACAAAACACTCCTGGGAACTCAAGGGTTCCGAAAGGTAAAATTTTAAGCATGTTTATGAGTTTGAACTTAAGTGTATCTATGTGAAGTTGCTAATGTTGGACTGATTTGTTCATGTTTCAGGGCATGAATCTTTACTTTAAAAGACATGACAGGCAAGCAGTAACTTGTGAAGACTTTTTTGCTGCCATGCGAGATGCAAATGATGCAGAATTTGCTAACTTCTTGCATTGGTATGGATCAGTCATCTCTTCCTTCCAGTTACTATGTCTCTCTGGTAATTTTGATGCTTATGCTTTTGAAACTCTCAGGTATTCACAAGCTGGGACTCCGGTAGTAAAAGTTACTTCATCTTACAATGCCAATGCTCATACTTTTTCTTTGAAGTTTAGGTATACAGACTGTAAATTTTGTTGCAAGAATGATCATCAATTTTCACCTAAAGATTTTGCTGCTGATTTTTATGCTTGATTTGGCATTTCACAGTCAAGAGGTACCCCCAACTCCTGGGCAGCCTGTTAAAGAACCCATGTTCATTCCTGTGGCTGTTGGTCTACTGGATTCAAGTGGAAAGGACATGCATCTATCCTCTGTGTATCACTATGGGACACTGCAGTCTTTTGTAAGCAACAGTCAGCCAGTCTTAAGTACTGTTCTTCGATTAACTAAGGTCAGTTGAGAATCTTCCTATCTCCGAGATATTTTCATTACGGAGGAGAAAAAGGCAATGAATTTGCACTCTTCTTTAGGATGTCTAAAGACCTTTCAGAAAGTGAAAGACCATGATTTAAGAAGCAAACTGTTCCCAAGCTGTCGTATTGACAAATAGGCAGCTAGCATACCTGTTGCATATCTATATGTTTTATGATTTTCATTTTTTCTTGTTGGTGCTGAGCAGAAAGAAGAAGAATTTGTGTTTTGTGATATATTTGAGCGGCCAATTCCATCACTATTGCGAGGTTATAGTGCTCCTATCCGTCTCGAATCTGATCTCTCTGATAGTGATCTATTTTTCCTCCTTGCACATGATTCGGATGAGTTCAATCGGTTTGTCACTCAAAGCATGAATATTTTAATCTAACAATTGAGGAATAAATGAGATTTATTCACTTGATGGTCTTTTGTTTTTAGTTGGGAGGCTGGACAATTGTTGGCAAGGAAGCTCATGCTCAGCCTAGTTGCTGATTTCCAACAAAACAAACCATTGGCCCTGAATCCCAAATTTGTGCAAGGTCTCAGAAGCATACTATCTGATAGAAGCTTGGATAAGGTATGATGATAGTTCTCTTACCTGAAAATATGCGATCCTTATTGTTTAAAGTTTCCTTCCCTGTGTTTGAATGGAGAGTGTGTTGTGCAATAAATAAAAATCAATGCACAATTCATTTTCAAATGCCTTTTGTTATCCAGGAATTTATTGCTAAAGCAATAACACTCCCTGCTGAAGGGGAGATTATGGATATGATGGAAGTTGCTGATCCTGATGCTGTTCACGCTGTTCGGACCTTCATTAGGAAGGAACTTGCCTCACAACTGAAATCAGAGTTTCTAAGCACAGTAACAAATCTTTATTACTTTACTTTTAGACTAGTGCCTGTTTTGTAAATCCACTTGATTGTCTTTTTCTCTTTTTTCCTTACTTTGCAATTTAACAGGTTCAGAACAACAGAAGCTCAAAAGAGTATGTATTTGACCATCTTAATATGGCCCGGCGTGCTCTCAAGAATGTTGCTCTTGGTTTGTATTGCTTGAATTGTATATTTGCAAGATTTAAGTGGTAAATTTCACATCATCTAATTGCCGTACATTTGTCTATATCCAGCATATCTTGCATCCCTTGAAGATCCAGAGATAACAGAGCTTGCACTACATGAGTATAATACCGCCACAAATATGACAGATCAGTTTGCAGCTTTGGCGGCCATTGCCCAGAAGCCTGGTAAAACTAGAGATGATGTTTTGGCTGACTTCTGTAGCAAGTGGCAGCATGACTACCTGGTAAATTTCCAATTCAACTTCCCTTTGACTGCTAGAATGTAGTTTGAACTTCTTTTGTCACTTGGATAATCCTTTTCCTTCTTTGTTAGGTTGTAAACAAATGGTTTGCCCTTCAAGCCATGTCTGACATTCCTGGTAATGTTGAGAATGTTCACAACCTCTTAAATCATCCTGCATTTGACCTGCGCAATCCAAACAAGGCAAGTGATTTCTCTCTCTTGCAAGCAAATGTGTAGGCACATGCATAAACATACGGTAGTGCCATCTCTTCAGCTTAAATTTGAGCATTGTAGTGAATGTGTGTTATTTTACTAATATAGGTATACTCACTCATTGGAGGATTCTGTGGATCTCCTGTGAATTTCCATGCCAAAGATGGGTCAGGCTACAAGTTCTTGGGTGAAATAGTATTACAACTTGACAAGCTAAATCCTCGGGTTTGCTAATAAGTCCCATTCTTGCTTCCTTTGTTCTTTTGGGTGAAACACGAAATACCAATTTCCTTTGTTGGGTCACTTGTCATCCGGATGGGATGTTCACTTTCTTTTCCTGTTCTTCAGTAATATTATTGCTTTTATCTGTTGTAGGTGGCCTCCCGCATGGTATCCGCCTTCTCAAGATGGAGGCGTTTTGATGAAAGCAGGCAAAAACTTGCCAAGGTAAGTAAGATGGTAGCTTTTATGTGTACATAATGGCCTTTTTAAAAGTAAGATATGAAATGTTTTATTCCTCTATATCCATCAATGCTCAAAAGAGTCTGATGCTGCAATCATATATCTACCATTGTGGATACTGTTTTGGTGTCAGTATTTCTCAGTTACATTTTGTGATCAACAATATAACTTATTGGAAGGATTACAAATTGATTCATTTACTTGTGCCATGCTGGGATTATTACCCTAAAAAGCGGACGTTTTGCAGGCACAATTGGAGATGATCATGTCTGCCAATGGGTTATCAGAGAACGTGTTCGAGATTGCGTCAAAGAGCTTAGCTGCTTAAATGCCTTAATGACTTCCGCTGCTTCCCGCTTGTGTTATAGACAAACAAAAAATAAAAGAAAAACTTTAACTGCATTTTAATTATCTCGTCACCGAATTAGATATGACCAGTAGTTGTTTTGTTATTCAGTGAGTGGAATTGAATTAAGAACCAAAGACCCAAGCTTTTCTACAAAACAAAATGAGGAAAAGTTCTTACTTTTATTCTGTTTTATAGGGTGGGTGACTTGAACTACTAAAAAACTCAAAGCCTCCAAATTGGTTTCAGAAGTTATTTCATAGTATATATTCCCAATTCTCATCTTGGTCGGGTTGTATGACAAGTCATTTGATTTAACTTGCTGCAAATCTGGTTGGAATTAAATGGAGCTTGACATAACTTTGGTCTATTGAGATGAGAGTGTAAGATTTTCTGAAATTGATCCACGTGAGAAGAATAAGCCCCATAAGGCCATAACTTTACTAGGAAATGTCTGACTGTCAACAGCATCAGTCAACTTTCCTTTCATGTGTAGAAACTGCTGATTTGATCTTGCATTTCTCTGCCTTCGTCAAAAGTAGGGCATTGCTTTTCAGCTCAAACTTAATTCGGTTCACTCTTTCATCATATTTCTTTATGAAGGCTTAATTCTTATAAACCATTTGCTTGCCTAATCTCTCCATCAAGCTTTTTGGGGATCTCATGATAAATTAAGTTACACCTTAATTAATCTAACACTAATTGCATATCCCCGGCCAAAAGTACTTTCAAATAATCTGCTTTTAATCATTTTTCCTTTTACCCCAATAATCATTCACCATTCACAGCATGAGTGAAACAACTTTCTCTAAAGCTTTAAGGCTATGAACAAATGGATGAAACTCAACAATAAAGTTAAACCCTTTTTAGCAAATGAAAAGGAAAAGCTAGTCATAATTAAAGCCAAAGGTAAAGATCCATTGCCACAAGTCCCCTCGTGTGAAATCTAGTACTAGTATCTATAGTGAAAATCATACATGTAAAGGCAACTTTCCTGCTGTCGAGTTTAAAGAGAATGAAGAAAAAAGGAACTTTGGGGCATGGACTTCACAAAGATTAAAGAAAAGGGTAGGTGGCTACATATAGTGAATAAAAAAAGAAGCATTTTTAATGAGTCAAATAAGATTAAAAATAGCTCTTTTGCTATATTTTACTATGGAAAGGATGCGATGAGAGCTTGTCCTGCTGTCGAGTTTAAAGAGAATGAAGAAAAAGGAACTTTGGGGCATGGATTTCACAAAGATTAAAGAAAAGGGTAGGTGGCTACATATAGTGAAAAAAAAAAAGCATTTTTAATGAGTCAAATAAGATTAAAAATAGCTCTTTTGCTATATTTTACTATGGAAATGATGAGACGAGAGCTTGTGGGCATAAACTTCACTAAAATTGTCATTTTGTCAAGCTATAACTATTATATAGTCGAAGAAACATTAAAAGGTTCAATCTTTTTGCCCTTAGAAACGGGTAAATCATTAGACTCTTAATGAAATTGGAATAAAATCGTGGATAAACTATCTCAATAGAAGGTGAAAGGGAATTACTCTGTTGGGAGAGTGTGTTTAATTCTTTTGAAGAAAGGGTTACAATGGGATAAATTTTTTTCTAAAGGGAGTTGACTGTTTCAATTTTGAATGTTAGACTTAGAAACAGTTCATCATGGTTTGCAAATTATTTATTCAACTGTTTAAGAAGGGTATCATTCATTATCTTTAGTTTAAACCTTTAGTTAAAGAGCTAAATATTAAATTATTCTAAGATATTTTCTTATCAAGTATAATTTAAATTTAAAAAAAAAAAAAAAAAGGAAAAGAAAGATGGGGACCAACAGCGGGGGTTAGTTGAAGTGGCGGGTAAAGGGGGAGAATTTTAGAGGAGAGCCGATGGGACCCTCCACTTATTATTTTTATACATATCGCAGTGGGGGGGTGTGCGCACGAAAGCCACCGCGAAGTGGATGTGCACACGTGAACACCTTTGACAATCACTTCATTAAGACAAACAATCAATCCTTGCTTAAAATTTCTATCTCCTAAAAAAAAATTACTAATTACCAATTAAAATAACACCCCAAAAAAAAATACTAAGCGGATAGAAGTGCTTTATTTATATTTAATTTTGTGATGTTAGTAGTTGTTCCTTTCATTTGACTAAACTACCCTCTTTAGTCTTTGATTTCAAGAAAATTTAATTTTTTTATATAAAATTATAATTTTGCTAAATATTATTATTTTTTAAAATAATTATATGAATTAATTAAATTTAATTTAATTTAAAAATATTTAATTTTATTTTGAAGTTTCGAATGAATTCTCTTATAATAATGATATTCATCAATTTGATTTATTGGATGAAAAAAAAAAAAAGTAAAAGTTAATTAGGTTGAGGAAAAAACATTTCTTCACCTAAAATTAGAGAAATGATTTTTTACCGGTTTTAAAAAGCTCTTTTCACATCTATTCTCTAAACTCAATTAAAAATTTATTTCTTGAATAATAATCTGTAAGTAAATATAAGTGAATGAGAAGGGCATCTAAGTAAATGTAAGGGGATCTAAAAAACATTAGGCTAAAGTCTGGGTTTTGCGATGATCGCACAGAATTTGTAGAAAATCAAGTCATTGCCGTGTCAAAAGCGTTTGCTTATGCAAATATTTCACACAATATTGCTATATTCAAACCAAAAAAAAAAAATCTCATTACCAAAATAATAGTAAGTATAAAAAAGAGAGATTTATATTTAAGAATTTAACGATTTGATTTTTTTTTTTTATCATTTCTGATTTCGCTACGGAATGCTTCTTCTATAAATCGCAGCTTCCTTCGTTTCTCTGGATTTTCTTTTCTGGAGGAAATTTGACATTTTCCGAGGGAAGAAATTTTTGAGCTGTTTGTTTGGCAAGAAAAAGAGAAAAGTAGATATGAGAGGCGCAAATGGAGAATCCAGAGCTATGAATAACACTTTGGAGACCATACATGCTGCTGCTAACGCGATCGCTTCAGCTGAGAATCGTGTTCCACAAGCTACGGTTCAGGTGAAATTTTAATTTTATTTATATATTTTAAATTTCTGTTTGTTTTCTTGGATGTGATTGTTTTAATTGAATTGAATTTGATTTGATTGAGTTTCCTAAGTGTTTCTGAGCTTCCCTGATATTCATTTTGTGATCCGTTTTTGCATGATTTGAATTTTTTTTTCTTCTTTGATTATGTTATCACGATTTAATAAGCTTTTATCTTTAATCTAGTTTAGGCTTTAGAAAATGGTGAGTTGAATCGTTGCGATTTTAGGCATAGATTTATAATTTATTGAAGGTTGACTTGTTCCAGAATCAAGAGTCTTTAACTGTAGCTTTTGGTTAGATTTAGAAGTTGAAGTTCTTGCTTTTATAGGTTGTTTGTTTGGTGCTTCAAGTTCAATACATGCAGGGTTCTTAGCTGTTGAACTTGACAGCTCAGGAATCAAAGGATAGTCTGTGATGGTGAAACAGTGTTTATTTATATATATATATATATATATATATGGTTTCACTGATGGAATTGTTGAAACTTTTAAATTTTTTGGTTCCTTATTTACCCAGAAAACATCATGATCTTAGTTGATCTTATTCACCTTTTAACTCTGGTTTTATTTTCATTCAACAAAAGTCCCTATATCAGGAGTAAAGAAAACAAGAGAAGAGTAAAGCATACCTGATACTATACGGTTTGGAATTTGGATATAGTTGTTAATTGGACTAGGTTGTCTTTGAATTTGTTCATATCATGCTCTTTTTATGGCCAGGATGTGGGAAGAGTTAATTAGAAGGTTTCAAATGGATTGGGATTTTGGAAAACTAGAAACTTCTTTACATCCTATTTAGCTGGCAAAGATCAGGTTAATCCCATTTTGACATCCAAATTCAAGGAGGATAATCAGTGGTTTTGAATAATGGAAGCTGCTTTCTTCTGTCTGTAGATATGATTTCCCTTGTACTGGAGGTCTAGTTGAAGAATAGTCATATATAATCACTGAGGAAAAGCTTCAGAAGTACTTAAACAAGGGGGTAGTGCTTCAGCTTCTTGACCTTAGATGGTAAAAGGGCATGATTAAATTTGGGAATCTTCTAGGGTAAAAGTTTTCCAATAGAAAAGAGTGTAGCATGCTCATACTCTTTCTGCCAAAGAGTTGGAAGCACACTTTTAGCACAATGTCCAATAAGTTTTGAGCATATATGCTTTAGCATGTTTCATTACTTGATACATTTTAGTAAAGCTTCAATGAGGAAGTGCGACATTATTGGTGTAATGTATCTGTCTTTCTAGGACAAAAGTTTCCAAGTAATTAATTGTATTGTCAATTTTTTTATTTGTTAACTACATAAGAATTTGGTGTAATTTCCCGTATTAATTCATTTTATCTTAAATTTGGTGACATTCAGAAGAGAAGATGGGGTAGTTTCTGGAGCATATATTGGTGTTTTGGATCTTACAAACAAAAAAAGCAAATTGGGCCCGCTCTTCTTGTTTCTGAAATGAGTGCTTCCGGTGCTAACGTGCCTACTGCTGAAAACCCAACCCAAGCCCCTGTCATGGGACTTCCCTTTGCTGCACCACCCTCCTCTCCTGCATCTTTCCTTCCATCTGAACCCCCCTCTGCTACACAGTCTCCAGTTGGTTTAGTGTCTCTCACCTCTATTTCTGCTAGTATGTATTCTCCAGGGCCTGCTTCTATTTTTGCAATTGGCCCTTATGCTCATGAAACTCAGTTAGTTTCACCACCTGTTTTCTCGACCTTTACTACCGAACCTTCAACTGCTCCCTTTACTCCTCCTCCTGAGTCAGTGCACTTGACTACACCTTCCTCACCTGAGGTGCCATTTGCTCAGTTGCTTGGCCCCAACCTCCAGTATGGAGAGGCTGGACAGAGATTCCCAATATCCCACTATGAATTTCAGTCTTATCAACTTCATCCTGGAAGCCCTGTTGGCCAACTGATTTCCCCAAGCTCAGGCATCTCAGGTTCTGGCACCTCATCTCCTTTCCCTGATGGTGAGTTTGCTGCTTCTCTACTCTCTCCTGAGTTTCGAATGGGTGACCCTCCCAAGCTCTTGAACCTAGATAAGCTTTCCAGACGTGAATGGGGATCACATCATGGTTCTGGCACTTTAACCCCAGATGCTACAAGGTCCACACCTCACAACGGTTTTCTTCTGGATCATCAAGTCTCTGAGATTGCGTCACATCTGCATGTGGATAGAGGAAAGCAAACTGGTCAGGTTGCAGTTAATCATAGAGTTTCATTTGAGTTGAATACTGAAGAAAATATAAGATGTGTGGAAACGGAGACAGCAACACTTTCACAAGCTGTGTCTGGATCTCTACAGAATGAAACAACAAGAGAGAAGGTAGAAAGCGCTACTAAGGTGGTGGATGATTATGAATGTCGTGTTGGTGAGACATCCAATGAAAGACCGGAGAAAGCTCCTGCGGATTGGGAAGGCAAACCACAGCACCATAAGAATCAATCCATTACACTTGGGTCAGCTAAAGAATTCAAATTTGACAATGTTGATGGAGGTGATGCCCATAAGCCTATTGTTAGTTCCGATTGGTGGGCCAATGAGAAGGTAGCTGGAAAGGACGATGGTGTACCGAGTAATTGGTCCTTTTTCCCCATGATGCAGCCAGGTGTAAGCTAACTGGGAATCGTTTTAGCAGATGCCTTCTTATTTCCATTATCATTTTAGGAATTTAGGTGTGGCTTTGGGGATTCAAACAATTTGGTAACAGCAACAGAGCGCAATTATTCAGTCAAATTATAGATAATTTTAGGGTTTTGACTCAGATTGTGACTAATAAAAGGGTCTTATAGGAATGTTTCTCTTGTTTAAATATGTATTATATTTCACTAATTTAGGCAGATAGATATAAAAAGTCTTTGATTTGAGCTCTCATATTGAAGATATTAATAATAGAATAGTGGATGACAATAATAGTAATAGCATTGCAGTTAAAGAAGGAAACAAATATATGTCTACTTAAAGATGTTTTACTGTTATAATGGGATAAATGGAGTTAGTTTTGAACTAATGTAAGGTGATATTCACGAAATTGATGTCATATTAATGCTAGCATATAATCTGTTCATTTGTTTCTCCATGTAACCCTTGCTTTGGTTCACTCTGGAGGCATAATTTGGGCAGACTATGAAGTACAAAAAATATTGTTATTTCTAACCCTATTTCTTGCTTAAGTTTAAGACATGTTGGGAGGTTTTTTTGAAACCAATGAAAAGTTGCAGCTGGAAATTAGAACCAGTTGCTAACTTGTGCTGTTACACGAGGATGAAATGAATGATCCATAAAGCAAAGGTTGAGACGAAAGTTCTGCGAAGCCAGTGTGGGCTGATGGCCTGTTTGGAGTCCGCACTAACCCAGACGCCATCTTGGATTTCAGTAACCAATATTTGGTATCTTACGCTAGTGAATATATATTGCTTGCAAATATTCGAGTGACCTTGCTGACCCGTAGGACTAACATGATTTGAACAAAATTTTTGACAGGATTTGAGCATAGGTCCTACCAGAGACATTGTTTTGTTAATATAAGAAAATTTTTAGTTTTAATTATAAAATATATTATAATATTAAAAAATCAACCAGTTTCAACTCTATGAAGAAACCAAATTCATATCCTGAAGTTCCAACTTTTAGTTTCTTGGCCATAAAGATTCCAACTTTGTGGACCGAACAACGATCACAAATAGCCAAAGCAATAATCAAAATAAAAAAAAATAAAAACGAACTTGATGTAACGATCTAAAACTTTTGTCTCATAGAATTAAAAAAAAAAAAAAAACATCTTTTAAGATCCTGTATTAAAATGGTGACAAAAAAAAATTACTTCTCTTGTCCTGCAAATAAAAAAAAAATACAGCATTCTCATTCTTTTATCTGTCTTTCACACAAATACCAAATATATAGATGGTAGTCATTTGTCCATGTTTGACGACTGGTTTAGCCATCAGTTCATGAAATCATAATATCCGTTCCAAGCTGAGATTTTGTCACTTTTGTCACCTTACACGTAACCTATCCCTTTGAACTTCTAGAACACTTTAAAACTCCCCTTTCCTATGTGCTGTCACTCCCCAAATTCTCCTTTCCTTTCCACAAAATTAGGGTCCATCTCTCTCTCTAAACTAGTGAAAGGCTGAACATTTTCTGGGTTTTAATCCCTCTAAAGGTCTAGGCTTTTTTTTTTCTTTTACTCTTCAGGGTCAATTTTGGAATTTAAAAATCCAAAATTTCGTGAAACTATGACATCAGTTGCATTGGAATTTTTGGGAACAGAACCGGAGTTCAACAGCAATGTTGTAATGATCAATGTCGGCGGCCACATTTTCCAACAACCAAACAAACCCTAATGCAAGCGGGCCCCAAATCCCTCCTTGCCCAACTCGAAGAAACGACTTCCAACCGTTTCGTCGACCGAGACCCCGATTATTTCTCTCTCTTCCTCTCCCTCCTCCGCTCTGGTGCCCTTCCTTCCAAAGTCAAAGACTTTGGCCTCCGCGACCTCATCGAAGCATCCAGATTCTATGGCCTTGAGTCCCTTTTGACCAACTCTTTGACCAACCCTTCCCACTTTGACGCTTTTGCCCTCCAACGATGGTTGATAGTACCCTTGAACCGCCGCGACTCCCCTTCCGCCATTGCAACGACGCCGTTTGGTTCCTTGCATGTTTCCCACGGTAGCAAGATCGCGTCTTTCGATTGGTCGTTGACTAGAAAGTCAACAATTTTGACCCAATCCACTGCCATGGATTCCTTACTTGCAATATCCAGTGATATCGTGGCGGCCGTTGCAACCGACATATCGGGGCTCCATATTCTTGATCTCCAAAACGGGTCCATCAAACAAGTTCTCCATTGGGAGAATTGACCCGGTCCGGTTCAACGGTTCAAGCCATTGGTTCAAGCCATTGATACTGTTGTAAATAAGACCGAATTGTATCTTGTATTGTTTATAGATTTGGTTCTTGGTGATTGAATTGATATCAACAATTGATACTGTAATACTGAATCATGAATGAGAAGATGTACACATTTTCTGCTTAGTCTATTAATTTTATGCCCTCTGCTAACTAAATTTGTGGTGAATTGGCATTATGCCAAATTTGTTGTTTATCATTTACCTTGGGATCTTGTTTCTTGGTGTATTCTGAAGTTTTATGGCTTCAAGTTCTCAGCTGGCCTTGGTGGTAATGTTTTTTCAATGGCGTAGGTCATTAATGCCATAATAGCTATTTTCTGCAATATTCTTTAAACCGAGAACGCTTATTTTGTTCTCTTGTTGTATCAGGTCTCGTATGCTCTGTTGATAGTTATTTAGTTTTTTCTTTTCTGTGGAATGTTCAGTACATGGCATTGAAGGGTTGACAATGTCGGGAAATTGCAGTGATCGGCCTTGTAGCCTAATCTTGTCCTCGCAAACATCACTTCAAATGCTTTAGATGTCTCTACTCATTGGCCAGCTTACTAGTTCTACCAGTAACTAAGTTTTATTAGAATCAATCCTCAGCATGACAAATGAAAACTCGACTTTAGATATCGTCTTACCTCCGGTCGAACCAATTATATCTAGTTGATAAGAATTTTATTGGTCTGAGACTTGCATGATAATCACTCGCAAAACTATGCTCAAGGAGTGGGGAAGTAACGTTAAAAAATCGAGAGGATTGTTATGAGTTATTGAAGAAAGAAGCAAGATGAAGGATGAAGATGTGAATGAAGCAGCATAGGCAGAATAAATGGATAACGGACAGATAGGTTAAAGAATAGGAATGTAAAGGTTAAACTGGCAGTATAATTCTTCCTTCTGCATGGGCAAGTCATCCAGCTGAATTTTGAGTAGGCTTCAAATCATGTGATTTCAAATCTATAAATCGGTAATGACATCCTTTGCTAAAAGAAAAGGCCTTTGAAGTTTGAACATAACAAAGCCTTAATTCCAAAATATGGCGACAACATCTAACCCTTTTCTTCTTAATTTTTACCAAATAGGGACTTAAATATCTGCATTTCTGTGATGGTCAAAGAACATTATGGCAGAAGTAGTATGTGTTCTGAAGAAATACCAGGCCTGTCAGTCTGTCAATGGCAGTATTGCTTCACTCAGGCACACTAGATCAAGAATGGCAGCTCACCAGCCACAGTTTTCCAAAGATTAAACAGGGTATGGCTGAAAAGTGAAAATAGTTGCCTCAAACCTGTCAGGCTGTCGTCGTAAGATACAACTGACCTATATTTTATTCAAAATATATTATAGTTACGTTTCATTAATGATGCCTCTACTAATATTAATTTAAATTGTACCTATATTTTATGATATCTTTAATTTTTTCAATTTGAAAATGAGGGCGTTAGTTGTGACACTGTAATTTTTGCTGTTTAGAATTAGACTATACTTTGCTCGTTCTAGAGTCATTTAAAACTTGGGGTACTCTCCATGCCCATTGTCACCAAAATCAGCTTGAACCAATTTGGGGTCGATTAATTCTGCTAGTTAAGAGCTGCAGATTTTGGTTTTTTCCCTTTTGTCCTTGTACACGTTTCTGGAGAGTCGGTGGAAACCCGTAAACAAAGTCTTATTAACTTAGTTTGGTTCACGATGTTATGATATGATAGTATAAAATAATATTATAAATAAAATTATATTAAATATTATTATTTTATTTTATATTTGATGTGTATAATAATTAAAATAAAAAAATTTATATATCAATCAAAATTATCTTTCATGAAAATTTATATAATTTTTAATAGTATAATATAATATATAAGTTCAATCTCATGGAATCTCTTTGGGAGGATTAATCATCCTATACTAAGATTTTATTTGGATGAACGGTGAGATTAATTCTAGCAAGATTAAAAATAATAATAATAATTATTTTAATTGTGTGAAAAAAAATTATTATAATTACGATTAAAAAAAATTTAATGAAAAATTTATTTTGAATAAATCTCACTAAAGTTGATATTTGAATTCAACTGGTGGTGCGGTAACCTCAGTCGCACTGTACTGAAAGTGCAGTGAAATCTAAACCTAAGTTAAAAAGATAATTAATTTTACTTGTAATTTTATCTATTTTTTTTATATAAATAAAATATAATATAAAATGATTATCATCCTATGCATAAAAAATACTTAAATCTATTACCTTAGCTATTGATTTCATTTAAATGAAATTTGAATTTCTGTTAAAATTTTCAATATGTGTTTCTTCCATGCTTTGTCATAGCAAATAAATGTGATTGATAATTGTGGAATACAATAAAACCATGAGCTGCGAACGTTTTGAAGATGCAATCCGGTTTGGTCCTGCAAATCACCATGGAGCTAGCCTTGTCCGAAAGGCGTTGATATCATTAAACGAATAAAATAGCATTTCAAGTTGTTTTAAAGCACTCTTAACCATAACAAGAAAATAGAAGTGAGAGAATGAAACGATTCTTGAGCTTTGATATAAATATGCGTTAAAATAAATCTTACTGGAAGTATTTATGAGCTTTAATCGGTGCTGGAAACATCTCATCATAAATAAACATGTTTTAGGTGAAAATTTATCATATTTAAATTAAAGTATCATGTTGTACCGAAATTTTTTTGAACTTTTGTTAACACATTCAAATGTTACAGAAAATTTTTATATAGAATGTGAAATTTTATAGAGTGAATGAAGTAGCATTGGCAGGATAAATGGAGAACGCACAGATAGGTTAAAAAACTCGCACTATAATTCTTCTGCATGGGCAAGTCATCCAGCTGAATTTTGAGTAGGCTTCAAATCATGGGATTTCAAATCTATCAATCGGTAATGACATCCTTTGCAAAAAGAAAAGGCCTTTGAAGTTTGAACAAAACAAAGCCTTAATTCCAAAATATGGCAACAGTATCTGACCCTTTTCCTCTTATTTTTTACCAAATAGGGACTTAATATCTGCATTTCTGTGATGGTCAAAGAACATTATAGCAGAAGAAGTAATATGTGTTCTGAAGAAATACCAGGCCTGTCAGTCGGTCAATGGCAGTATTGCTGTTTCAACTTTAAAGGTTGCTCTTTTGGCAGTGACACTAATATAAGCTTCACCATGCAGGAATACTTGATCAAGAATAATGGCAGCTTCATCAGCTACAATTTTCCAAAGATCAAAGAGGGTATGGCTGAGAAGTGTAAACAGTTGCCTCAAACCTGTCAGGCTGTCGTCGTAGGATACAACTGCAAACATGAAGCAAGATCATTTTGTATTCAATTTATAAAATATTGTTTATTTTAATTCAAAAATTTTATAATTTTTTACATAATGAGATTCACATCCACTATATGAAAATATATATTTTTTTTTGAAAAATCTCATAATTTTATCCTATAAAATATACCTCTATTAATATTTATTTAAATTTTTCCTTATATATAATATATAATATGATGTCTCTAATTTTTTTTTTAATTTGAAAATGAGGGCGTTAGTTGCTCCTTCTTGAGTCATTTAAAACTTGGTGTGCCCTCGATGCTTACTGTTACCAAAATCAGCTTAAACTAATTTGGGGTCGATTAATTGTGCGAGTTAAGAGCTGCAGATTTTGGTTTTTGCCCTTCGTCCTTGTAAACGTTCCTGGACAGTCGATGGAAACCTGTAAACTAACTCTTATTAATTAATTTAGTCCACTGCACAAGATTACGATGTCATAGTGCGCAAAATGATATTATTAATAGAATTAAATTAAATAATATTATCTTATCTTATATTTAATGTGTATAAAAATTATGATAAAATAATTTATTTTAAAATTATTTTTTTTAAAGTTTATATAATTTAAATTATTAATATAATTTTTAACGAAATAATAAAATATATAAGTTCAATCTCATGGATTAAAAATAATTTTTTTTATTTTGAAATTATTAAATTAATCTTCCTTATAATCATACCTTTTTTAAATATAAACTAAATATAATATAAAATAATCATCACTCTATCTTATCTATCATTTTATACATAAAAAATGACCTGCGTCTCTTAACTTAGCTATTGATTTCATTTAAATGAATTCAGAATTTCTTGTTAAAATTTTCAATATGTTTTCTTGCATGCTTTGACATAGCAAACAAATGTGATTGACAATTGTGGAATATAATAAAACAGTGAGCTGTGCACGTTTTGAAGATGCAGTCCGGTTTGGTCCTGCAAATCAATATGAAGTTAGCCTTGTTCAAAGGGCGTTGATATCATTAAACGAATAAAATTGCATTTCAAGATCTTTTAAAGCACTCGTAACCATGGACAAGAAAATAGAAGCGAAAGAATCAACCATTCTTGAGATTTGATATAATTATGTTTTAAAATAAATCTTAATGGAAGTATTTATAAGCTATAATCAATGTTAGAAACATTTTAAGTGAAAATTTATCGTATTATGTTGTACCGAAAAAATTTTTACATAAAATGTGAAATTTGATTGTTGATCTCATAACATTAAGATATCCAAAACAAAATTTCAAACAAAATTTTTTTTAAAACTTGATCATTCAATTTGTTTTTAAATAAAACTCGAATTTTTTTATTTATTTTTTATTTTAAAAATGATTTATCAAATTTTAAACATCATTTATTCAACACAAATACAAAGGAAATGATTTACAAATCTTTATTTTATAAAAGACGCTTAAAATATTTTTAAAAACATGTATATATGTTAATAATACATGCAACAAATTTATGATACTTTCGTCTAGAGACAATGTACTAAGAAAAAAAATTAATGATAAACAATGACAACCAAATTAAAGCCCGTAAACTTAGGTTGAATCGATAATGCAACCTCAAACCAAAAAAAAAATGCAGGTTGAATCGATGCACGTTTTACGTCTGGATTTGTCTCCACCACAACCAAACCCATTAGAACTCATTAATATTGTGGGATAAATAGATTATTATTTTAAGCCATGTAAAAGTTTTGCAGCAGGATAGATTGGCAACGGCAACTCAAGCAAACAAATCCTTGCACTGTTCTTGGCAGCCATTAATTTCTTGCTGTGTCTGCCTGGTACACGTGTGTGTGTGGTCTTGGTGTTATGTAATTTGTTAAGATAGTATTATCTTATATCTAATAAATATTTAATTTTTTATAATTTTATATTCAAATTAAATTTTTTTATTTATAGTGAATTGATTTTAATATTAAAGTTACAATTTTATTTTGTTGTTCTTTTTTAATTTAATATGTGATAAGTTTTTTTTATTTTTATTTATATACGATGAAAATCTATTAATATAATATTATTTTATATTTAATAAATATTTAATTTTTTATAATTTTATATTTAAATTAAATTCTTTCATTTATAATCGATTAATTTTAAATTAAATATTTAATACACTCAAAATCAAAAGTCCCCACGTTGAAGAAGGTACGAGCAAAAAAGGAGTATCAATTTCGGTGAACATGAAAATACTGTAAGAAAATAAACGATTGTTGTGCGGGAAAAAAAAGTTTATAATTAAGAAGTGATCGCAAATGCCATTCTCCAACTGTTTTCTCAGATAGAGATCGTCTTGATAATCTCTCCTACCGAACAAGGTACGAGCAAAGAAAAGGAGTTTCGTTTTCGGTGAACTTGAAAATATTGTAACGAAATAAATGACTGTTGTGTACGAGAAAAAGTTTATCGCATATGTCATTCTCCCACTGTTTTCTCAGACAGAGATTGTCTTGATAATCCCTCCTGCATGACCCACAAAATGTCATTCATATTAATTGCTTGGAGGAACAGGAATTGAAGTTACCGACAGAATTGAAATTACTAGCATCCTATTCTTATATCAGTTACGAAAGCTTACCCTAACAATGGATATGATATAAGATGGATAGAGTAATTTTGATTTTTGATTTTTAAATTTTATGTATTTTATATATATTTAATAAGTATTTTAAATTTATTTTTATGAATATTTAATGAGTATAAATAATTTTTATATTTATAAATTTAAAAAATAAAAATTTATTTTTAATTTTTATATTTATAAATTTAAAAATAAAAATTTATTTTAATTTTTATATTATATATTTATATAATTTTTATAAATATATATAGTAATATATTGTTTAAAATAAAAATATATTAATTTTAATTAATCTAAAATAATAATCTATTTATTTATTTATTAAATATGTATAAATATATATGTAAGGTATAAGATGGATGTTATATTAATTATTTCCATTTTTGTATCTATAAAAATTTAAAATCATATCAATTTTCATCTCTATACCCACAATATAATACCCATTTCTATCTTCATTAGAATAAAAAATCAAATTTTTCACTAAATATAGATAAGATTGATATCTTTAAGTTTAGTTAAGACATTAATAGTACTTAAATTTTTATTTTATTGATCAGAATTTAAATTTTACTAGCTTCAAATATGTTTACAATTTTTATATAATCCACTAATTTATAACATTTAATTAAAATCTATATAGTTGCATGTTGATTTATAAATGTATGTCTAAAATCTAGTGATTAATCTTAGACATGATTAGGGACGGCAATCAAGGCCGTCCCCGACGGGTTTCGGCCCGACCCGACCTTATAGGGTCGAGTTTTTTTTTTTAATTTCAGGTTTTGGGTCGAGGTCGGGTCGGGTTCGGGTATGCCTAAAACCCGACCCGACATTATTAAAAAATTATTTTTAATTAATTAATTAATTAATTATATATATTTATATAATAATATTTTTAAATATTTATATTTAAAAAATAATATTTTATATTTAAAAAATAATATTTTATTAATTTCGGGTCGGATCGAGATCGAGTGCGATTTACATGGTGTCGAATTAGGTCGGATCGTGTTCGAGTATTAAAAAAATTCGGGTCGGGTTCATGTTTAATAAACATATAATCGGGTCGGGTTCGGGGCGAGCAAAACCCGCCTCGAACCCAACCCGATGTCTTCCCTAGACATGATATTATATATATGTTATTATTGGTTTAATCTAACTTAAAATCCCAAGTTAGTGAGAGAAGATAAGAAATAGATGGAAGACAATGCAAGTTGGGGGTGAAAAAATTATAGGAGCAAAGCTTCTTTTTAATTTTTTCAAGTTTGAAGTTGAATAATAATATATACTTCTAATGATGCAAATAACAAATGATAAATAAAATTAAACAAATCATTCAAATCTTTATTTTCTAAGAAAAAAAAAATTCATATAATTATTTTGAATTAAAATATAATCCTCAACTCAACACTCAAAATTATACTAAATCTGATTATACGTCATCTTAAACTACTATTTTTGAATTGAAATAACTATAATTATACATGTGCAGTCAATATTAGTTTTAAAATAATTATATTGTATTCGAATTTTAATTTAATGGATTCAAATAATTATTTTTAAAAAATAATATTTTGATATATTTAAAATTTTAACATTTAAAATTTTTTTTAGTATCTTTAAAATCTATTTTTTTAATAAAAAATAATTGCATTTTATAATAAACATTGATATTTTAGAAAAATTTAATGAATTCTTAAAATAATATTTTAACTATTAAAATTTATATCAGTAGGTGCTCCTAACCAACGGAATGACGGATATGCCGACATGGTTTGCCACTCACCAAACATTATAACCACTTACAGGTGGGGCGATTTTCAGCGCGTATTAGCTATTGTTAAAACGATAAAAAATAAAAACCGGTCGAGTACTTCCCTGGATCTTAACCCTATGCATGGTTTTATACATGTTAAACAAAGTATGTGCTAACAAATATATTATTTTAATCTATATGTGTAATTGAAAAAAGAAAAAATAAAAAATAAATTGATGTTATCTCAAGTAGTCTGGTAATTAATATTGAATTTTTTATCTTATATTTAAATTAAACTTTTCATTTATAACGGATTGATTTTATATTAAATATATAATACGATATTAGAGATTAGATTATGTCTTATTATTTTTATATATTACTTTTTTTGCCTATTATTCTTTTTAAATTTATTATGTAATTAAATTTTATTTTTGTTTACACATTACGAAGATTTTTAAGTTTATCACATGATAAATTTTTAGCTTCATCTACACATAATGAAAAATTGTTAAAGTGATGTTATCTCATATATGTTATATATTGAATTTTTTATAAAATTAGATCTTTTCACTTATTATTAATTAATTTTAAATTCAATAGTTATCTAAAAATATTTGGATATAGATTCTAGTATCCATCCCTGGTTTTATAGATAATAATACTATTCTCATATACATAAAATTTTTCATGGATACCTCAAAAATTAAAAAATTAAAAAATTTTCTATTGAACCTTCGGAATTTTTTCATTAACACCCTTTTCATCAACAAAATTGATAAATTATAATGGACATACTTGAAAAAAAATTTTGATTCGTCGTTGATGAGTATTTTGTAATATTAAAAGATATATAGATGAATTTAAAAAATAAAAAGATAAATGAATAAAATAATGGTTTTTAATGTAAATATATCAATATATTATTGGTAGTTAATATAAAAAATTTGTCCCCATTGACTATAAATCTTAGATTCGTCCATTTATATAACATAAAAGGAGCATGGTTGTTCAACCATCTTGTTTACGTCTACATCTTCATTCAATGCTGCCATAGTGGAATTTGGGGAGAAGCAGTTTGCTGCAAAATTAGGTGAGGCATTTTTCTTCCTAGGACAATTTATTTAGAAAACAAAAATAAACCCATAGTTTTCATGACTTGATCCTTTCTTAGTTTTTTGCGTGTGTGGTTAATTTTTATATTTGTTGCAAGGTCTTTCGTGGGGTTGTTTTTTCCTTACTATGATTTTTCCAACGACTCCAGTCGTCCATTAATGGCTGCGTGTTTTCAAGCTGAGTTAGTCAGGTCCATTCACAAATGAAAAACAAAAAAAAGTGAGTCTGTAAGAGAGAAGGAGAGAGACATATTCTCAGCAAATCAAGCTGCATATATTAATTGCTTTGCTTTCTGGCTTGCTATGTTATACTTATTTCCCTCTATATAACCCTTTCGTCTTCTTTCCTTTCCCTCCACTCACAGTCACAGACTTCTCGTCTCTCCCTTCTTCACATTCTGAGAAAAGTCTGTTTTTCTACTCTTCGCTCCCTCTTTCATCTTCCACGCACATTCCTTGATCCTGTTAACAATCCAATAAACAAAACCAGTCATTCTTCTCAAAACAGGATCTGGGTTCCATTTAGTTTCTCCATTTTCGTTCAGGAGCTCAAGAATCAGTAGCCTCAGTTCAGATAGATATAGTAATACAAAGCTTGAAAGTCGAAAGTTGAAAGTTACGTTGCAACAATTGCAAATATTTTTTGTGTTTCGTGTAAACATTAGTAAAAGAAATTTAAAGTTTCTTGTTTACGTGCAGATTTACTTGGTGGGGTGCTGATCACATGGATGCATCAATGTCTTTGTTGATCTTATCGGCCATACTAGTTTATTTAGTATGGTTCAAGTTCATCTCACGGTCGCTCTATGGCCCACGTGTCTGGCCTCTATTGGGCAGCCTCCCAGGGCTAATTGAGAACTCGAATTGCATGCATGAGTGGATCGCAGACAATCTAAGCGCGTGTGGCGGCACGTATCAGACATGCATTGCTGCAATTCCATTTTTAGCCCGGAAGCATTGCCTCGTGACTGTCACGTGCGATCCGAAGAACTTGGAGCATATTTTGAAGGGCCGGTTTGACAATTACCCGAAGGGACCCAATTGGCAGGCTGCGTTTCATGATTTGCTTGGCGATGGGATCTTCAATTCTGATGGTGACACGTGGTTGTTCCAGCGGAAGACGGCCGCGTTAGAATTTACTACACGGACGCTGCGCCAAGCAATGGCACGGTGGGTTAGCAGGGCCATCAAGCATCGGTTTTGCCCGATTCTTGAGACAGCTCAGCTCCAAGGGAAGCCAGTTGATCTTCAAGACCTCTTGCTTCGACTCACTTTCGATAATATATGCGGCTTGACTTTCGGCAAGGACCCTCAAACACTATCTCCCGGGCTTCCTGAGAATGGCTTCGCAATGGCTTTTGATCAAGCCACGGAAGCCACGCTCCAGCGCTTTATTTTGCCTGAAATCATTTGGAAGCTGAAGAGGTGGTTTCGGCTTGGGATGGAAGTCAAGCTGAGCCAAAGCCTTGAATACATGGATAAATACTTATCCGAAATCATTAATACACGTAAGATTGAGTTGGTGACTCAGAATCAAAGTGGGACCCAACACGATGACTTGCTGTCCCGTTTCATGAAGAAAAAAGAATCATACTCTGGCGAATTCCTCCAAAACGTGGCACTGAACTTCATCCTAGCTGGACGTGACACGTCATCAGTCGCCCTGTGCTGGTTCTTTTGGTTGGTCAGCCAAAACCCAAGGGTGGAAGAGAAAATTCTCATAGAAATCTGCACCGTTTTGATGGAGACACGTGGCACTGACACTTCCAAATGGGTTGCTGAGCCGCTAGTGTTTGAAGAAGTTGACCGATTGATATACCTTAAGGCAGCACTGTCGGAGACACTAAGACTCTACCCTTCGGTGCCACAAGACTCAAAGCATGTAATAGCTGACGATGTCTTGCCTAATGGAACATTTGTTCCTGCTGGTTCGAACATCACATACTCAATATATTCAACTGGTCGGATGAAGTTCATCTGGGGTGAAGATTGCCTGGAGTTCAAGCCAGAAAGGTGGTTATCCGAAGATGGCATGAAAATTGAGGCAAAAGATTCATACAAATTTGTTTCGTTCAATGCTGGTCCTAGAATTTGTTTAGGGAAGGATTTAGCTTATCTGCAGATGAAATCAATAGCCGCTGCAGTGCTGCTACGACACAAGCTTACAGTGGCAGCGGGCCACCGGGTGGAGCAGAAAATGTCACTAACATTGTTCATGAAATATGGGCTACTGATGGACGTGCACCCAAGAAACCTGAAGCCTGTCGAGGAAAAACTATGCAAAGCTGCTGAAAACTGATGTCCTGCTGGAGTGGCATAAGGGTATGTTTCAATTTTGATGAAAATTTGTGAATATAATATGCTTAATGAAGAACTAGAAAATGAAACAGTCATGTGAACTGTTAATCAATTATTAAAATTTTAATTTTAATAATTAAATTTAAAAACTGAAAATCTCAGGTAAAAAAATATTGTAAGAGAATAAGAATTAAGATGATATTACCCTTTATTTTAAGTCATCTGTAGTTGTACTTTTGCAAGTGAAATAAAAAAAAAAATCTGTAAGATTAAGAATTAAGATGATATATTACCTTTATTTCAAATTTGTGTGTTTTTATTTTTCCTTTTTTTTTATTGTATAAATTCCCATTCTAGTACACCTTTTTCTATGCAAAGATTAGGTGAATTTCGCCTAATGAACTATAAATAATCCATGTGGACTTTGTTTATTTTTCAAGCTTTGTTAACTTAAGATTACAATTGCATTCCATTAGTAAAATGTGGTTATAGTAATGATTTACAGCCAAATAATCAAGGTTGTTACTATACACTTTGCCCTGAACCCAAGGCAGTGTCGTTTTGGGATTTTGTGCCATCCCTTTAACAAAAGAGGTCTATAATTAAAGAAATTTTTAAAAAAATTGTAAGAGATATAGATGGAATTTTAATATGCGAGAATTTACTTTTTAAATGGGATGAATAAATTATTTAAATTAAATCTCAATTTAATTTTTACATTTTATTATTAGATTGAAACACTTGTTTAAGAAAAACAGAAAAAAAAAAACTATATTTTGTTTCAAAAATTCTTAAAAGGGGTTAAGAAAAATCGATGGAAGGCCTCAATTCAATTTCGAAGGCTTGATATAAGAGTAAAAGATGAAATTATTTTTTAATAAAAAAGTATTAAATTCGAATTATCGATGATTATTTATTGAAATCATATCAAATATATGATTTGTAATTACTTATCTTAAACTGTTAGATACGTCACACTTATCTTGATTTGAAGGATTGAATAATTTATCTATCATCAAATTTTTTCTTAAAAAAAAAAAAAGTTGCTGTAAATAAATCCAAAAGCCTCTTGTTTGCTTGCATGATGTACTCCTTGTTGGCAGCGTCAAAGACTACTAGAAAAACATGTACCATGTATTATAAAGTAATTCCTTCAATAATTTAAAATATGATATAATAATATAATAAAAAATATAAAAATAATATATTTTAAAATTTTAATAATAATTATATATAAATTTAATAATAAAATTATATTTTTGCATCGACATTAACTAATGCACATAATTTTTATGTAAAATATAATATAAATATATAAATTTTAAATATTTTATATTATATGAATATACAAGTCATTATATTTATTTTAAGATAAATTAAAATAGCATATTATTGTACAAGTGAAACTGACAGACAATTTTTTAGACAGAGATTTCTTCCATATTCAAAGCTTGTATGGATTTATTAATTTAATTTGGATCCACACCAATCAATTTCAATTCATGAACACTTTTAATTGATTAATTATAACTTATAATTATGCTAAATAATCTAAAAATTAAAGCAGAGAAACAAAAATAATTTTAATATCCGTAAATAATACTATAAACTATAAGAGTAACGAATTTTATAATATGTTTATACTTTTGAATCTTTTATCATTTTATAATTGATATATTAGTTTAAATAATTTTTTCTTGACCGTAAAAAAAAAGAAGAATCGTTTTACCTAATACGCGCTTAGATGAGGTGTCACAAAGATTAAAACAAAAGAATTATATTAGGTAACAATTTCAAATAATCCAAAGCAAGGGATCTTCTCTCGATAGCCTCCAATGGGTACCAGTTACTTAAATATATTCTTCTTTTTTTTTTTTAACATATGTTTATCTTGCTTGAGGATAGTGATGTCAACGGATTGGATCAGAGTGAATTTTTATTTGTTTCGAATTTGATCTGATTTTAAATATATAAAATTTGTATCTGTATTTGATCTGATAAATTTTTTATTTTTAATATTCGAATCGATCCGATCTGATATTATATAAAATCAAATTCGATTCGACACGACTTGAAATTAATAAAATATTATTTTAAATATAAATATAAAATTAAATATATATAAAAAATATATAATTAAATATAAAAATAAAATAAATAATTAAAAAATAATTTTTTTATATATATCGGATCGGGTAGAATCGAGTTTACCTAAAATTCGACTCGATCCGAACTCAAAATTTTTTTTATGTCATATAACCCTACCCGATCCGATATCTAATTTAAAAAAAAAAATCAATTTTAAGAGGTCGAATCAAATCGAAATTCATCGATTTCGAGTATTTTTATCTTCTTTAAAGATTTGTGGAGATTTAAATTTCATTTATAAGATATTTTTTTATTTTAATTCAAAAATTTTATTTTTTATTTTATAAGTATAAATTTTAAAATTTTACATTTATAATCCGATGTTCCACATGAAATTGAGGATTACATTATCTTCAATAAAATAAAATAAAGCACACTCAATTGCGTAAAAGCACATATGGGTAAATGATAATGGGAATATATTTCAAGAAAGTTGCCGTTAGAAAGAAATAGAAAAGGAAGGGTAATCGATCCAACGCATCCGTTAGCATGATAACCACAAAAAAACTTCATTTTCTGTCTCGAACTTAACTGAAAATCATGAACGTTGCGTCATCAAAGTCAAATCATACGGCCCTGATCCTACTTTAAAAACGGTGTATTCTAACATCAGCTATATCACGGGAGGATTTCCTTCTATTTTCAAATAATTTATTTTTCCAGTTCTTATTACACAGATTAAACGCGCAAAGACAGTAGTACAGTACTATTATTTCGATCACTCAAAAAAAAAAAAAAAAAAACTCTCTGTAAAGAGTGTTTTTTTTGTTTTTGTTTTTAATAGTGTATCTTTCATTCATTTTAGAGCCTTTTGAGCTTTCTCTTTGCCATTTCTTTGGAAACTGACGCTTCTTTTAGGGGGGGGGGGGGGGGGGGGGGCTAAACTTACACTTCACTGTAAGTAATGATTTGGGTTTTTAAAGTTTTTTTTTTTTGGTTTTTTGAGCTGAAAATTTTGGATTGATTTGAGAACTTTTAAAAGTTTTCAGCATTTGATTTGTTCATTCTGTTCAAGTTTTGAGCTTGCTGAATTGTTGGTTACTTTGCTTTTACAGTGTAATTTTAGCGTTTCTTTTTCATTTTGGACTAATTTTTATTGTTTTAACTTATGGGTTTTTAAGTTGTGGTGAATTTGGAGTTGTTTTGTTGCGTAACTTGTCAGATTTTGAGTTCTTGGTTTTTTTTTTTTTTTTCTTGTTAATCATTGTGAATTCGTGTGTTTTCTTGTTGGATATATGAATTGTTTGAATTTGTAGATCCATGTTAAAAAAACTGTGTTTTGGGTTCTTGAGATTGAGTTTATATGTGGAAAAAGGGCTACCCAACTCTTGGATCTGTTTTGGTAGTAATAAATTGAGTATCAAGGGCCCTTTTTTTGTTTGTGCAAATAGTTCTATAGCTGCTCTATTTTTAGCTGTATAATTAAGCAGGAATACTCTATAGATTAATTAAAAGTAGTTTTGGACTTAATGGTCTAGCTAGGAAGTCTCTTCTGGATGTGGACCAATGATTAGTTAAGCAATAAATTCAAAGTTATGACTTTGAGATGGAAGTTAATGTATCTTGTATGGCTGCTTTATCAAGGAGAGGTTAATGCCGAAATTTTTTTAACATCCTATCAAGATTTTTGCATTCTGACCAGATTCTGAACTTATGCTGCCTCTGTGCTTGCGAGGGGTCCTCTCTGCATTCTATTTGCATGTTATCATTTATCTTCGGACCTGCATATTTAGTATAATTCTTATTTATGTTTTTTTTATTTTGGTAAATCCTTGACTAGAGGCTCATGATGAAGCTTTTATACAGGTTGTTACAGGCTAATGTATTTTTAGAGAATGCGACATGCTTCAACCGGCATACGGCATACCCAGATTTATGTCCTTTTCTTTGTGCTTCTAAAATAATTATGTTAAGGAAAAAGTCATCGGACTTGGTTCAAGTCTAACCAGCATGTTAGCAGCAAGTATGATCACGGATGTTGAAGTATCGACTGTAATTAAGAAGAGGATCTTGTAGTCTGAAAGTTACCCTGTGTTAGTAAATATGCCTACATGGTGGGGGAAGTCTTCATCCAAAGAAGACAAAAGGAAAGCAAGCAAGGAAAGTTTCATTGATGCTATAAACCGTAAGCTTAAGATCAGATCTGATGAAAAATTCACTAGCAGATCAGGGGGCTCTCGAATACGCCGTAGTGATACTGTTTCAGAAAGGGGATCTCTGTCTCGAGTCCCGTCAAGATCGCCATCACCCTCCACTAAAGTATCACGCTGTCAAAGTTTTGCAGAAAGGCCTCATGCCCAACCACTTCCACTTCCTGTTATGCATCATGCTAGTGTTGTGCGTACTAATTCTGGAATTAATGCATCAATAAGACCAGGATTTGACAGAGGTTCAAGCCAGTCACTGTTTTTACCTTTGCCAAGACCTGGACAACTCTCTAACAAACTGGGTCCTATAGATGCTGATGGAGATATTGCTACTGCTTCTGATTCTAGTGATAGCTCCATTGATAGTGATGACCCATCTGATTCTCGTCTGCTTAGCCCCCTGACATCTGATTACGAGAATGGACAGAGAACTGCTGCAAACAGTCCTTCTAGGTGAGTTTTGACTCATATCATTTCAACTTATAGTGTTTCTGAACTGTCCCCTTCTTACAACTTGTATATCATCCTGGATTATCATTTTTTATTTTTAATGAAGCATAAAGCACACAAATCCTCTGCCTGTGGTCAATCAGAAGAACTCAAAAGAGATACTGAAGCCAGCTAATATATCTTTTAATAATCAGTACCTATCCGCATCACCTAAGCAAGGACCATTGAGCAATCGTGTCCAGAATTTACAGACTCCTCAACGTGGTGTTTTCTCTAGTGCTCCCGACAGCTCAATGTCAAGTCCTTCTAGAAGTCCTATGAGAGCTTTCTGTCTGGGGCAAATTTGGAACTCTGGTCCATGTACAGGAAAGCCTTTCTCTGACATAGCTTTCCTGGGATCTGGACACTGCTCTAGTCCAGGTTCAGGCCATGATTCAGTTGTTGGAGATATGTCAGGACAGTTATTTTGGCCACAAAGTAGGTGTAGCCCTGAGTGTTCGCCAATACCTAGTCCTAGAATGACAAGCCCTGGTCCCAGCTCCAGAATACACAGTGGTGCTGTCACCCCTTTGCATCCGTGGGCTGCAGGGGCTGCCACTGAGTCACCTACAAGCCGATCTGATGATGGGAAACAGCAAAGCCACAGGTTGCCTCTTCCTCCAATAACAATACCTAATACCTGCCCCTTTTCTCCTGCCTATTCAGCAGCAACATCTCCATCGCTACCCCGAAGTCCTGGTAGGGCAGAAAACCCAGCAAGCCCTGGCTCCCGCTGGAAGAAGGGACGATTGCTGGGGAGGGGTACATTTGGGGACGTCTATCTTGGTTTTAACAGGTTTGTCAAATGGGTTATGCTCCACTCTTTACCTGTTTCATATTAATGTTTTTCTGTTCATTTTTGGGTGCTGCATTTGTGACATTATTTGTTTTTTTCATAGCCACAGCTTTATCTTTGAAAATCTGTATGTGAGATTGAACCCAGTTATTTTTTCAATCATAATGTGTCTGATTTTGGATTAATCCTTGTTAAGTTTATCATCAAAATTTTGAATGTGCACATTCCTTGTCCAAAGTTGTTGATATCCTTCTTTTCTTACTCAAATTAATTGGTCTAAAATTTTGTTGCAATTTCCTTACTATTTCAATGCTTGATTTGTTTTCTTTCTCCTTTTCTTCTTCTTTTTGTCTCTTGCTCTAGTGAAAGTGGGGAGATGTGCGCAATGAAGGAGGTAACTTTGTTTTCTGATGATGCTAAATCTAAGGAATGTGTACAGCAGTTGGCACAAGTAAGTTTATTTCTTCTAGGTTTTTTATTTTTTTATTAAAAAGAGATTTGTTGGAAATTTTTTAGCTTTTAGAACAGAAATCATGTTTTCCCTAATGTTCGTTTGAGTTTTGATTTTCTTTTTTGGTGCTAATAGTTTTAGTTGACCTTTTATACTCTTGGATACTCTTTTGGCAGGAAATTATGCTGCTAAGTTGCTTACGTCATCAAAATATAGTGCAATATTATGGATCTGAAACTGTGAGTTTTTTGTTCTTTTGATTTTAAGACCTTGTAAAGGTGTCCTTCCCTGTAATTGTTCTCTGATAGTCTGCCATCAGTAGAAGTTCTCGTCACATTAAAAGTATAACTAGATGAACAGGATTGGTTGATGCATTATGCTAATTCCATTTGTTTGCCTTTTATTAATGAACAGGTAGATGGTAAACTTTATATATACTTGGAGTATGTTTCTGGTGGCTCCATCTGTAAACTACTTAAAGAGTATGGTCAGTTTGGTGAAAGTGCCATTCGGAATTATACTCAACAAATTTTGTCTGGGTTGGCTTACTTGCATGCTAAAAATACTGTTCACAGGTGGGTTTACTTTCTGCTGATACTTGGGTTGTTCACGTTGGGAATATCATAGTATATCATTGTGTCAACCATACTGGAGTATCATTTGTTATAGTGTGCAAATTTTTCAGAGACATAAAAGGAGCAAACATATTGGTTGACCCCAATAGGCGTGTGAAATTGGTGGATTTTGGGATGGCAAAGCACGTAAGAGCCCTTATCTTCAGTTTTATAATTAATGGTTTTACCCTCAAAACCAAAATAAGTCATGCTTATGTTGTTGTTATTACCTGAACTAGATCCTGACATAAGATAATATTGTAGGATAAGTAGTTTGAGGAAAAGTAATCTGTAATTTGCTACTAGTTGCAATACTTTGTGCACATATTTCATGTCTCTAGATTCTAATATATGTTATTTGAAATAATTGCAGATTACTGGGTCATCTTGTCCATTGTCGCTCAAGGGAAGCCCCTATTGGATGGCACCTGAGGTCAGCATGGTTTTATCGTTATAGTCCAAGGTCATCATTTCTATGATGCTTTCAGGTAACATTGTTAAATTCCATTTTACATTCAGGTTATAAAGAACTCAAATGGATATAACCTTGCTGTTGATATATGGAGCCTTGGGTGCACAGTTTTGGAAATGGCTACCACAAAACCGCCATGGAGCCAGTATGAAGGGGTTAGTAAATTTTTATAGAGGCATGAAAATTTTATTTTGTCAGATAGTTTAAAAAAATAATTGTCATCACTAATACAGCAATATACATTTCCCTTCTATATGAGATTCTAGTACCACATATTCCTTGCTGATGGAGAATGCCACATAACCAATATGAAAATTTTTCAAACTTCTATTTGATTTTTGATACATTTTCTTATAATACTTCAAAGGCTGCTGCTATGTTCAAGATTGGCTATAGTAAAGAACTTCCGGCAATTCCTGATAGTCTTTCAGATGAGGGAAAGGACTTTGTGAGGCAGTGTTTGAAAAGAAACCCATTACATCGCCCTACAGCAGCTCAGCTTTTAGAGCATCCTTTTGTAAAAAATGCTGCACCATTGGAAAGACCCATCTTTAGTGCTGATGCATCAGACCCATCACCTGCAGTTACCAATGCAATGGGAACACTGGTATAAAGATAATTATAAGTTTTGTATATTTGACCTGTCTAATGATTTGATTTTGTTGATCAGCAGTGTCTGTATTGGTTTTTATTGTCATTGCTGACTGCTGCATTCTCTTTTTAATATTTCATTAGGGAATTCGAAATACAAGAAATCCTTCATGCATAGATTCAGAAGGGACGGCTAGCCTTCCATTTAGAGATTTAAAAACAGGATCAGCATCCAGGTTTCTCTCTCTCTCTCTAACATGGATGCACATGTTCACGCACATGTAAACACCCACTAGCACTTATACGTGCAGCCTAGATATGCATGCTTAAATGTGCCCTGACGGTGGTTAATGTGCATATGAGTGGGTATGATTATGCTGTATACCAACTTGAGTAGGTAGAGGGTCTTAGAGCTTTGCAGCTTAAAATAGCAAAATTTCTAAAAGGTTGGGCAAAATGCTGACTTGTGCTATAAAGTTTATCATTCTGCTTGGAACCATGGGGACAATAATGTTGTTGATCTCTAAGGGAAGTTAACGCAAGAAACACTATTCCAGTTATCACTTCTGTGACAGTGACATAAAAGTATATGTAGTAGTCATAGATGGGTCAGCATCCAGTCAGTGTTTAGAATACTTTCTTTTAACCTGACTCCGACTTGATGTACAATGATTTCATGAATGATAATAGAATGTTCACATGTAACTAAGGTCTTTTTTCTGCCAAATCCTTTTGGTCTTAATATCTTTGTCCCCCTAGATTCCTGAAGTTCAAATTTATCTACTTTTCTGATTGCATTTACAGAGAAATAAAGCCATTAGCTCTAGCTTGAAGGCTGCTTGATGTCTTGCTTGATCTGATTCTAAGTAGAAAATGTGTCTGCAACTGAGTTTTTGATGTGTCAACAGTATTTGCTCTCATCTAGATATGTCATTATCTGTTGGTCTTATCATGATTTTCTTTATTTATTTCTGCTCAATTGCAGTGATGCTCATACACCTAGGATCGTGTCATGCCAAGTTTCTCCCATTGGCAGTCCTTTACTATGTCCAAGGTCACCGCAACATATGAGTGGAAGGATATCCCCCTCTCCTATATCTAGCCCTCATACTGCCTCTGCTTCATCAACTCCTCTTACTGGTGGTAGTGGTGCCATTCCATTTCATCACCAAAAACAGCCAATGACCTACTTGCATGAAGGTATAGGAATAATCCCAAGATCCCAGAATAGTTTCAATGGAAATGCTAGCAACCCTTATCAAGAACCCAAGCCTGACCTGTTTCGAGGAATTTCACATGCCTCTAATGTTTTCAAAGAAATGATTTCATCAGATAGTGGTGCTTTTGGAAAACAGTATGGACGGCCTGGCCATGGGGATCACGGGGAACTTTATGATGGACAGCCAGTCTTGGCCGATCATGTTTCTCAGCAACTCTTGAGGGACCATGTGAAGTTGAAATCATCACCGGACCTCAATCCGAGTTCATCAATGCTTGGTCGTAATGGAGGAATCTAATTTGCTCCAGAATCCTCTCTCAGGGGAGGGCTTCCAGGCATTTTAGATGCTTTTTGGTGCTCAGTGTTGTTTTGTCCTCAAATTAAGAGCACAGATTCCAATTTCCACGCAGATAATACATGCTTAGTTCTGGAAATTTGAGTGGAAGAAGGAGATATGATGTTGAAGTGGTCCTTTGCTTGGTTGTTCGATTCTTACAGCAAGCAACAATCAACATGCAAGATGTTCTTGGAGGCTGGATGTTAGCTGCAGTCTTAAAAATGTCTCGTTGTGTCAGTGACCAAGACTCTTCACCTTGCTGGCACATATTTTCACTATCATAGTTGGCAATCTGTGTCACTTATTAGTATATTGTGCGATGTCGAGGCAAAGAAGATCGACACCAAGCTCACCTCTGGAGATTGCAGTTCCTTACAAATGAACGCATCTGCTAGTGTAAAGAGAACTGTACATTTAATTACACCTAAGAAACACATAGTTAGAAGAGCTATTCTTTTCCAATTTTTTCCCTTCCTCTATAACTTTTACAGGTGGAAGGACAGTGGTTGGGGATTATAAAAGTTTTGTACAGAAGGTGGGGAACCAAAACCATATCTATGTTCTGTGAAGATGACTAGTGAAATTTGCCGAGATTGATTCTGGTAAAAAAAATTTTCCCATCAGCCTTTGCAGTTAAGCCAAAAACTTTAACTGCAGCTGCTGATATTTGATGCATCTTTATCACACTGGCAGCAAATTGTTAAATTCTACTTTGACTTGGATTTACTTTCCAACATTGGGAAATGAACTATATGCTGTACATTTTCCGGACATAACAATGTTGAAAAATCGCTAGTCTTGCCTAGATTACTTCATTATTTGCTTTACCCAGGTTGAGTACCTAATTCTAGTAATTGACCCATGATTTACATGTTAAGGTGGAAAGGTGGTTTAGTTTTGTTCCAGATAACCGACCCAAATTGTTACTCTCTCGTTCAAACTAAAAATTGGAGACGATAATATGGAAACATGAAAATGGTGAAGACGAAGAAACTGATAAAAAATGAAAACTTAAATCTGATCGAGTTTGTTCGTTCATTTTGAACAATGTGTTAGCACCATTCAACATCCAAGAGCAAAGTAGGAATCTAGGATTGAGGAGAATGTGGGAAGAGAGATAAAAAGAATCCTCCATTGATAAGTTTAATCAACTGAATACAGCTAATTTACACACATTAATTACCACCATAACACAAAATGCAAATAAAGGGACAGAAAAAAGTTGAGGAGCATAACACAGAAGTGGAGCAGAAAAAAGAGAACATGTGAAAGAAACCATGCAAGACCCAAGGATCATGATTAATCTTTTTCAAGCTCTGGTCTTGAAAGGAATAGCCCTGATGACTATCTGATGGTAAATTGCAGCAAGAGCAGCTCCAATGAAGGGTCCAACCCAGAAGATCCACTGCAAGCAAAGAGAACTTTTAAATCAATCTCTAACAAGGTCAACAAAGAGGAAGAATGGTGAATGCAGTCATGCAGAGAAATACTTACATGGTCATCCCATGCCCGGTCTTTGTTATATATTATGGCAGCTCCAAGACTCCTGGCTGGGTTAATACCAGTTCCAGTGATGGGAATGGTGGCCAAATGAACCAAGAACACTGCAAATCCGATGGGAAGGGGAGCCAAAATCTGCAATGTAGTGTGAAGAAAATACATTAAAAAGGCCTACACAATTCAAGTACTTCACCAACAACAGCCCTCTAATTTTAAGTAAAATTTTGCAGAGAGTGGAATGTATTAGACAGTGAATCCCAATCCTTTTTCACCTTGATGTGGCTAGTATTTAGTTTCAAATACCCAAAAAGCAAAACTAGAATTTCAATTACTAAATCCTTGCCACGTCAGCATGAAAAAGGATTCGGGACGCATTGTACAATAAATCCCACCAAACTCCTTAATGTACAAACTGTATATCTCTTTTGCTCTCCAATATTTTTGAGCATAAAAGGACAGGCCAATTTAGAAGTAGATACAGAAGAAATAGGATGGGGAGAAACGAAGAGATAGAAGAGAATCAAAGAAAAATTAAGAGAAATTCTAATTCAATATATCCCAACACCCAAACTAGGTAAAAATAACACTAGTAAATATTCATAATTACTATAAATATTTACTATTATCATTTTTATCTAGACTTTGAATGTTTGGATATTGAAATCATTTTTTCCCTTTCTCCTTTCCTCAGTTTTCTCCAACTTCGAACTTCTCCCCCATTTTTCCAATTATCAAAACCATTTGGTTTTGAACACACCTAATCATTGTACAAGAATCATTATAGCATCACTAACATATGGCCATTGAAATTCTATCCCATCCCACCAATATTTTGACAAAAGCAACGTTTGTCTCATACTACCAATGTGCTGCTTTTATCTTTTGTGGGAAAATCATGGTAAATTAGGGTGGCCATTTATGAGTGATTCTAGATTTTGCATCTAACAAACATAAAACAAACATATATGTAGGTTTGGAAGTCTCAATCCAAACTGAAGGGGGAATAAGAGGGTATATGTAGTTAGGTCATCATCTAGGAGTTCATACAAGAGGACCTCAGTCTTAAACTTTTTCCTTTTCTTTTTTACAAAGCTCCCCAACTTGGTCTGCAGTTGAACCTAGATAAAACTTTAAAAAAGTAGACATTGTTTTGCACTTCAAAACCAATTTATATGTCGTGCTTAGGCACTAAAAGTCCCCTTCTACTTGACATCTCTAGAATAATACCCATACAGATGGTTAGATCCACTACAATTAATAATAGATCTTGCAAAATTAAGTTATGTGAAACGAAAGATAATGATTAAAAGCAGATAATCTACGTCATGTAAATTAAGAGCCAAGTAAAACATAAAAGGAGAAGAAGAAAATAAGACATACAGGAACATGAGAGTCTCTGGCGTTTCTCTTGGCATCAGTAGCAGAGAGAACAGTGTAGACAAGAACAAAAGTGCCAATGATCTCAGCACCAAGACCATCACCCTTGGTGTAGCCATGTTTAACAACGTTCGCTCCACCACCCAACATCTCATACCGGCTGCCTCCTTGGAATCCCTTCACTACACCAGCTCCACAGATGGCACCAAGGCACTGCATGATGATGTAGAAGACTGCCCTTGTAAGGGACAGCTTCCTTGCTAGGAACAGCCCAAAGGTCACAGCTGGGTTGATGTGACCACCTGAAGTTACAAAAAAAAAGCAGATCTGGTTATTAAAAATCTTTTATAAAATAATCTTAAGCATCCTCAAGAACTTAGGTTAGCCTAAGGTTTAATATGCAAGAAAAAGTTAAAGCTTTGCACTTAGCCAAAGAAACCAAAGCCAAAACCTTTTTTTTTCCCTTTTTTTGGGGGTTGGGGTTTGAAAAAAAGTAGCCACAGAAACCAAAAACTGCAAACTACCCATTAAAAGTTTGAGCAAGGTGACCTGAAATTCCAGCAGTGCAGTACACAAGAGCAAAGATCATGCCACCAAAGGCCCAAGCAATGCCTTGAATACCAACAGTAGTACATTTGGTCTTAGACTGAGACACACCCATGACAGTCAAGATGGTGATGTAAAGGAACAAGAAGGTGGCTACAAACTCCGCAATGCCAGCTCTGTAGAAAGACCATGACTTGAGTTCACCGGGCTCAAACAATGGTGCAGGTGGTGGCTCCTTGTAGTCCTTGTCTGTCTGGGCTGATGTCCCAATAGGTTGCCTCTCTGGAAACTTGTTTGCTCCTAGCCTAACATCCTCCTCTTTGCCCTCCATCTTTTTCACCCACTCAACAAGCAAAGATTGAAGGCTTTTTTTTTTTCTTTTTCTCTCTCCAAAGAAACCCAAGGCAGATGAGTGCAGCTGAGAGAAAGCTGAAGAATATGGCGACTTACATGGTAACTTTATAGATGAGACAGTGTAGTATTTGGCTCAAAGCAAAAATGGGTTGTCTTTAATTTTCTTTTTTGTCTTTTTTATAAAAAAGTGATTATTTAATTTATAATTATAGTATTTTAATCTTTTTAGTTATTGTATTAAGGGTATGATTAGAGTTTTTGGAAGGATTATCTGGAAAGAGCAGAGGATGTTGACAGGTTTCCTGTTGGTTTGTATACCTTTGTCCTTATCCTCAACAGAGTTTCTTCATTTTTTTTAATCGAAAAAAAAACTTCATTTTTGTTTCAAATATTTTTAGCTTGATAAGCTGTTCTGAGACATATGATTATCTACCTAACATCATAATCAGAATAAAAAAATTTCTATGGAAATTATGAGTTCGAAAGGGTAATATTTATTAAAATTAATTAAATTAATAAAATTAGATTACAAATTAAAAAAAATTGACCCTCTGACTGCACCTTTCAACCCTTTGGACGGGTGTGATTTGTTTTTCCAAACTTGGTTTGAGAATGTTGTTTCAGCATTTATGTCACTTTTGTGAAGTTATAGGGACAAAATAGTCATTTTTGGGCCCCGGGTACCATTTTCAGTTCCGCGACGAAACGGGATTTTTTTTGCTTTAAACGGTAGGAAAATGAGAGCCACAATCTAAAAGGTTGAAGGAAAAATGGGAAATAGAAACAAAGAAAAGAAAATCAAACGGTGGATAAAAATTGACCGTTTAGGTTACCGTTGGAGAAAGTGACAACCACGTGGGAGCGGGCAACGGCTATTTGTGGTAAACTAGTTGAGAGTTAAATTACTGTTTTATCCTTATCACCTGACATCGTACATTACATGGACGGGGTCCCATTCGTAGTTGGCAATGACATTATTGGACCACCAAAAAAATCATGAAAATGGTGTGGCATTTGCCATTATTACAAGGGGAAAGTTCATGAGTGGTGGAGAAAGACTCACTGCATTCCTTCAATAACTCGAGTACGAGCATCCATGACCAAACTGTGTGCTAATTACCTTTGTTTACAAATGGATTCAGCTTGGTTAACCCTAAACATGATGAAAAACAAGAAAAAGAGAGTTTGGAGTTTGGACCACATATTCATTTTAAAGTAACTTTTTTTTTGCTGTATTTATTCCTTTAGCCAGTGAGGGACTGAGGGCAGATCCTCCACATAGTGATCCTCTTCTTTTTAACTTTTTATGTATGAAAAAAATAGCAGACCAATCATGGTAGACAACTCATACTCATAGGATACCCTCACATGATGCATTAGCCCCACACCCTGCATGCCCTTAGCCCCCTTGCCAGCTGAAACCAAAATACCCATTACAAAAAAAAAAAAAAAAACACCCTACAGCTACAAATCATCACCCAACGAACCCCTTTTCCTTTGACACTTGGCAAATATCTTATGTCCAACAAAGTGGCAAGTAGGTGTCAATGAAACACGTGGCAATCACCTATTGGTGGCCTTGACTGCTAACAAAAGTTATTATCCCGCCAGACCCGGCTAGATTAGAGTATTTGTTTTGGGAATATTATGAACCGGCTTCCTTGCCTCCATGAATTTGCAACTTTCGTTCTTTTTTAATTTTCATGCAAAAAAACCGCCATCATTGGCAATTTTGATTGTACTTCTTTCTTTGAAAAATATTAAGTGAGAAGCTGTTAGGTAAAGTTATGCCATAATAATATGTGATTATGCGTTATATTACGAGAATTAATATGTTATTTCTTTTTAATTTTTACTTCATTCAATAATTTCAGCTGAAGCTCGTGCAAATTATTGAAGCATTCTTGTCCCATGAAGGTTGAAAAATGACCAATCATTCATTTTTAAGCCTTTAGAAACTCATGCTCGTGAATTCAACTTTGTTGCTCTGTTATACTTGAGCTGTCGTGATCGTTTCAAGATTTTGGATATCAAAGTTTATTGCTGTTATTTGCTTCCACAAATAAAAGTTTATGGCTGATAATGACTCTCTTGGGAATATTTGAGAATGTTGATTCTGATTCCTTCAAATTCCATTTCAGTTCCACATGATCAGGAAGAAAATTACTCTAAGATAAATTTTAGGGATGAAAATTTACAAATCAAGGAACCATTTCAGCATTGCAGCAGGCCAACCCAGAAATTATATTTTAGCCACAAGAGAAAGTAAAAGAAAATTTAGAAAGAACTACATTTGTTAGGTTAATTCTCTTAAAATTCCACCATTGAATATGTGTGCCACACACTACAAACTCTACAATGCATTTAAAAAAAAAAAGAAGAAAAAAGGGTATTACTTTTTGTCGTTAAACGCTTCGCTATGTTGGGGTTCGAGCTGGAGATGGGGGCAGGATCTTTCTGATTCTCCTCTTTTCCAGAGAACTCCTGGATCACCTTTCTTTCTTCCTAGAGTCAAAAAGATTCCTGCAACAAGGTGTGAAATTTTTGTCAGCCGATGGTAAAGGGACTGAGGCTTTCAACTCAAACTGGATTGGACCCAAAAGGAGGGACGAAGAAAACTCCTTGTAGTAACAAAAATTACCAAATGTAAAAGGGACTACGTAAAGGAGTGCTGGTTGACCGTGACCTTCCATCAAATTTAGTGCCACGTATGGAACAAGAAGCTCTGCCATGGGTGAAAAAGGAGTAGAAAATTGCCATTTGCAAGACCAAGGTAACTGATGATTATGGCAACAAAATGAAGGAAATTTTCAGAAGTTGTCTTTTATTTATCAACAAACAAACCTTGTTTTCACAGTCACTGTAACAATAAAATATGGTTCTTTTTGTGTTTTTGGCCCATTCCATAATTAGTTGGCAACTAGTATCAGCAACGGCCTTTCAAAATGCTTGATGTTTTTTGAAGGACGAAATTTACTTTCATCCATTTTCAAATAAAGAATCAGATGGAAAACAATAAAAAAACATCAATTATGGTTTATATAGATTCAAGGAGGAGGGAAAAAAAAGACCAGACTGTCGAGGAACATCATGGGACTGAAATCTATTTACCTAGAATAGTTTTTGCTACATAGGAAAGGCTGACCATTTTTAATGTTTTGGATCTGATATAAGTCTGCCATCACGTTTATAAGCTGGATGGCTATGGTGATTGTTTGCAGCAGTATGTTCTGGTAGATTATAGCTTCCTCCAGAAAACATAATAGCTCCGCCATTCATCCTCAAACCCAGAGGTTTGCTAGTTTCCTGTGAAAGATATTGTTGGTTGACTTGTCTTGGAATGCTTAAACCACCATCTATACCCTGATGAAGTGGCACAGGAAATCCAGTTTCAATACCTGCAGTTGGGGTGTTGCTCTGATTGCAACCCATATTTCTAAATCCCATTAATGCAAAGCTTCGAATTCTTTCTTCTGGCGGGATAACTGGAAATGATCCTTGAAAAGAACTTGGTTCCAGCATTTGATTCACTCTTTCTGAATTGAAACCTCTTCTCTTCTCAGCAACCCTTGGCAGAATATTATTGCACATTGAAGCATCAAGCCCGTGATTTGCAACAATGGGCTCAGTTAGAACAGTGGGTAACGTTAAATACATCGAAGAAGGTGCCTGAACAGAGGAACTAGATAGAAAATTTTGAACAACAGACGATCCCAACTTTTCTCTGTTAGTACCGGACTCTACAGTTCTCATAGCTTGGCCATGACCACCTTGATCTTCAGGTACTTGATAGATATCACTGAGATAAACGGTCGTATTTAATTTTACACTTCTCTTCAAAGAACCAGCATTGCTTTCTGGAATTTCTCTAGCCAATACAAAACTCTTATGACTCTGGACTTGAACATTTTGGTCATCACAACTTGTTTGAAGATTTGGCTTCACAGATTTTGACGAAGTAATGAGCTCAGTTCCTTGTCCAGAGTCAACTCGATTTCCTAGTGCATTAAAGTAATCAGTGGAATCAGCAGCATTAATACATTTAGGAAATCTTACTGAAGATCTATTATTGCAGTTCTGAGTTCTCATGCCATATCTGAAGTTATTCTGATGTTGCCTGTCAATATTCTCCTCCTCTTCAAGCTGCACCTGCAGTTTGACGTTCTCCTGAAAGTTGCTATGGTGTTGCGCAAGGACTGTTTCCTGGAAGTTTGTTTGGTGTTGGACTTGGATACTTTTCTCCGAGTTATTCGGATGCTGGAATTGCATGCTCTCGTTGTGGGTTTTTTCATGTTGATCTTGAACTTCCTTGGATTTTTTAATCTGCTGCAACTGGACCTTCTCCCCTTTATGGCCACTTTTTCTCCTTTTTGGCTCTGGAGTAGTACCATCTGCCACTAATTTTTGCATTTCCTCAATCATCCATTTAAATAAATTTTCTCTTGTAACTTTAAGATCCTGTAGTAAGGAATCCATGAAGTTTTTAAGATCATCCAATGGATCAGGATCATAAGCACTTCTTGTTTCACCCTTCTCTAAATCAACTTCTTCAGGAGAATCCTTCTTCATTTTACTGTTCCGCAATTTGCTGCTTATGTTCCTGGTTTTCTGTTTCTTACCTTTCCCAATATTCATTAGATTCCCTCTTCCAGGATTCTCATTGCTTTTCCTCTTAAGTCTACTAGTTTCATCATCACCACTTGAAATCAAGCTTGATACCAGCTTATGCTTTTTGAGCAGTGGTCCGGAACTTGATTTTGAATCATCGCATGAAGAATCAATGTCATTGTCTTCGTTCCTCCTGAACTCCCAACGCTGCTGAAATTCCAGTTCTCCCATTTATGCTGGGGGCAACACTACAACCAGAACTTTGCAAAAACTTAGGACCATATAATGACTCAGAAATTTTTAAATCACCAATATATCACATATCACATTTCGAGGCCCCCAAGAGAATCTAAATGTAAACAATTAGCCCACTTATCATCAAGGTCAGAGGAGATTGATAGTAGTATGATAACTGTTATACACTAGAAGTGCTGCTCAGTGCTTATTTCAAGATCAAATCTGCAACTTTCAGTACAACACCCTTTGAGGCTTTGACAAGTTAATCCTGCAAAGTAGAAGTAAAGTATTAGATTGTTATGGCATAGCAAAGAACAATCCAATATGAGTGAGAGTGAGAGCATATAACTTCATAGTAAGTGTAAAAGTTCAATAATATCAATCATATGACTATATGAGTCAAAGCAGGAACTGAATGAAGTCTGACAGATTCCCTTATTCTAATTCTGGCAGGAACTTCTATCATTGAGAAAGATCCAAAAGAATGAAAAACTAAATGCAATACACAGAGAACAAATGGAACCGAGATGTTAAAGCAAGGTGAAAATTCAGTTCCTTAAAGACTAAATACCTACATTTACAGGGAAAGCTCAAATTTCTACATAAACACCTACAGACAATCAAGTGATTCAGTGAAATCCGGAAGCCTCAAGCTTTTTCTGTCAGAAAAGACATAAAGTTGCACAACAAAGTACAAACTACTCGTGGATACAATATACGCCACTAAGCCACCTTAACACATAATCTGAGCAGCTACAAATTAAAGAGTGTTATCAATTAGTAATGAAAAAGGATTGACGTTAATATTCAGAACCTAATAAAAAGGAATTCAAGTTACAAGAAATTTCTTGTTTTATGATCTTATGGACCCAGAAATATGATCAGAGGTACTACAGATAGGTATAAAACAATAAAAAACTATAATAAGTCACAGCAAATAAAAAAAAAATACTTGGGTTGAAGTCACCAGAGGAACGAGATACATGATCACAGGAATTCCAAAACTATATCACCAATGGAGAAAAACCAACACTTTTTTTTTTTTATAGTTCCAGTTAAAAGAGAAGATTTTTCCTTACCATAAATCAGTCGATTAACACTGAGTTCAAACCAGGATGATTCGTCTCCTCTCATCATCAATCATCATAAACTCCATGTGTCACAACTTACTAGCTAGAGCTTCTCTCACTTTCCTCTCTCTCTCACTCTCAGCATTTATGTCTACAGTCCCTCTTTGAAAGGAAAGAAATTATGCATTTTTGTCCTTCTCTTGCTGCGTCATGTTGCACAGAAAGAGGAAAAAAAATGAGTCAGCGAGTTCGGTGAAGTATAGCAGAGAGAGTAATGGGATAATTTTCAGGCGGATGATTGCTCAAGCTTAAGCGTTTGAACACTTGCGTTTCACTAGTATTACTTAATATATATATATATATACACACACACACACACACATATATATTAAACAATGCATCTATTAAGGTTTTAGGCCATCAAAATCAGGGCACGAGTTGGCTTTTTCCTGTCTTCGCTTTCCACCAAACTTTCTGTTTTGTCTTTGATCTTTTATGAATTAAAAGATTTACCTACCATGTGCATTTTCCAAGATAATTCTCTAGCCTTAGTTGGAGCTTTTACTCTCTTCCACTGATTCCCTTTTACAGAACTAGGGCTCATGTAAAGCTCCAGCTGGTAAAAGATTTTTTCTTTTTTTACTCGTACCAATGTTTCATGTGAGAAATAAATGGGTTTTTTCTATTCTTATTCATGATGAATATAGCGGGCAATGCTTTAATTTTCTGCTCAAATATGCAAGGATTTTTCCTTTAACAAGAAGAATTTCCTTTGCTTATCTTCTAGTTATAGCTTGCCCTTTATTTCTCCAATTATAGAAACGTGTTCCTTGGATGATAAGTTCAAAGATCTAAGTTTATGTTGAGTTTTTAGAATAAACGTAATTGCATTTTAACCAAATAGAGTTAATAAAATACAAGAACCAACTCAGAATTTAACTCAAATGATTTATGTAACAATCTTAAAATATAACATCCAGTAGGTTTAAAATTCAAATTTAAGCACTTGTAACTTTTTCTTTTATCCTCGCTTGAGGACTCTTTGTTAAAAAAATTAAGTACAACCATGCTAGTGAGTTGAATACTTGAAAAAATGATTGACATGTTCTAACAAACGACTGAGGAAATCAATGAGACTTTTAGGAATGTCTATGATTCTTGGGACAACTTGATTAACAAATTTGATTGCTCATCATTTTTTGCAATAAAATTCTTATTCATAATGATTTTAAGATACCTAATATGCTACTTTATTTTTATTTGAGTTTTCACCCTTAACATCGATTGAAATGGAAATTGTTTAAGGTATTTCGTGGGTTCCAGGCTTCCAGCTTAGCAGCAGTGTACCCCTGCTAAAGATTGCAGCATGGCATTGATGTTTTAGGGACTGCAAGTATTTGCAGCTTATTGCATATCTACTATTATTAGACACAACTATTTGCAATATGAAATCAATGTCTGAAACTAACACTCATCCTTACAACAAAGCGTCACCAAAGCTGATTAAACGTTGGCTCCTCATTCAGGATTTTAGGATAGAGAAAGGTGGGGATGGAGAGAAGAGAAGAGAAGAAAAGAGAGAAAGCCATTGGAGAGAGAGAGAGTTGCAGTGAGGTTTTAGGACTGGAATATTTGAAGCTGCACGGCGTCGTTTAAAGGTCGAACGTTTTAAAATTGTTTTAAGTTTTTGGATTTGAAAACCATGGATTATCTTGTTGGACCTCAGGTCCATGTAATCGTTGGGCTAAAATTAATTTCATTATTTTTTTTAATAAAGATTTTTAGGTTTTATCTAATATATTTTTTATCTGTTCAAAAGTCGTTTCATAAATTTAAATTTAAATATCATCTTATATATCATAATTTATAACTTATAATAAAAGCAGAACCAAGGGATGTTTTAAAAAAAAATTGAAAGGCAAATGCTGGAAACGGAACTAAGGGGAAAAGCTTCTAGATTGAAAAACAAACCAGAAGATGCTGCAGCTAACAATTAAAAAATTTAAAAGAGAAAAAGGGAAGGAGAAAGAAAAAAGGAAAAAGAATAAGGAAGCTTAGGTTTTAACTGTGGAATGAAGATGATATAAGGAGGTTTGACAATCACAATGAAACTGCCAATCGGAACCACTTTTTCATCTTCGCCTCTGCCTCCGAACACGAACAATTTGATTTGCGATAGTGTGGGGCATGGGTGCGGCCAGGAAGGGGAAGAAATTTTAAATTTATTATGCTAAGGATTTGAGGATTCTTCGTCCTGTCTTCTTTCACTCTTCTTTTATTCTTGGTATATATTTAAATTTAAAGTTATTATTTTCTTTTTAAATTTATTAAAAAATTGCTTTTTGGATCGTTTAATCGATTGTTTTTAATGGAATTAGTGTATTAATTTTTGAGATTATGGTTACGGTGAGCTGTTTTGACTTTTCATATTCCAAGCTAATAGATTTCAAGGTTCGGCTGAAGTAGCTGACATGCATGCTCTTAAAACCCCCTAAATCAGTTTACATCTGCTTGGTCTACCTTTCACTCTTCTGATCTTAAACCCAGATCACCAGCGCTCACTCCTTGCTTCTTTTCTACCAGCGACCCACCTGTGATGTATGGTAATGTTTTTTTTTTGAACTTTTTTTATCATGATCATTGATTAATTTTTCATTTTCTTGAATTGGTGATGTTAGGATTTTTATTGATTTAGTACCTGAAATTGAAAAGGTGAAGGTTTTATTAATTTTTATTTATATTTTTATTGACTTAGGACCTGAATTTGAAAATGTGAAGGTTTATGGGTGAAATATTTTTATTGATTTATTGAAATTTGGTTTTCCATTTGTCACTTCTTGTAATATCTATTCTTGAAATATTAAGAGGGAGGACGAGACACTTGAATTGTTTCTGTGAAAAAAATTTTTGCAGATAATATTTTTGGTAAGGTTTAATATGTTTAAAAAACATACAGTGATTGCTCCTAGGTTCCATGCATTATACTTGAAAGCTATGATCAATGTATTCACTGATAGTTCAGAAAGAACAACACAGAAATTTGAAAAGCTTTTAGATGGAGAGCATTTACGTGGAGGAGATGCAATTGAGTTAGACCTTGAAGCAAAGTTTTCAAGCTTAGCTCTAGATATTATTGGACTTGGTGTTTTCAATTATAATTTTGGTTCTATTACAGAATAGTTTCCTATGATTAAGGTCCGACAATACTTTCTAGAAAGCATTTTTTGCGTCTAGAGCACCTCAGCATGGTACTCTATTTCTTTTAACTAATGGATAACGAATAGCTGAGTAAAAAAATAAACACTAACATGTATGAAATTAAAATGGTTTCTATCCTGCTTCTCAATTTTATTTCGTGTTCATGTAGTTGGCGTATCTAATTAGCTATTAATTACTATGCCTATGTCATACCTGTGCTTACTACTTAATTCAAATAGTCATGTGAAGAATTATATGATCATTCTTACCATTGTGAGTTGCTCAATCCTTTTCATGGATGACAATTTCTCATACTGTCTTAAACTTTTCTCATCATAATCTGATGAGCAAATTTGAGATTTTCTTATTTTTATCCTGTCCCATCTCCTATATGCTACTTATATTGTATGCATTCTTTCCTCTCTAATAGTTCACATTTAACCTATCCATTCTAGGCCTGAGATAGGATGCACATGGCATAGTCGAGCATATGGTTTATAGATGTTGGTGGGATTGTGTTGTTAGGTGCTAATTAGGACTAGCAGAAACTACAAAAGAGTTTGGGCTAAAGTTTTGATGCAACTGTGGCTAATTATGACTTTATAAAAAAATTATTTTTGTAAAAGAAGGGAAATATCAATTGATGTTGGTTGACTCTGAAATGAGGCTTTGTTGATTAAAGTCCTGCTTTTTTGTGATTCAGTCCAGTAATCTGTTTTCTTAACTTGCTTTTTTTTTTGGTACGGAAATGAATATAGCTATAATTTAGTTGAGTGAAAGAAGAAAAGATCAATAATCATAGTAGGCGAATGAATGTTACCATAATAAGGACATATAAACATGTGGTAATTGTGTGTGATAGCTCAACCATTTGCCATAACATTTTCCTGGCTAGGCTCTTATGCCATATCTGTTATTTTGGTAGAGTGAAGCATGTTGAAACCGATGCTTCTGGAGGATCCAAACTTGGCATGGATCCAATGCTGTCATCCATTAGTTAATATGAAGTGAACAAATCAAGTACCAAGCTTTAAATTTCTTTCAAGTGATAATTATTTGGGAGTTCAATCTATAGAATAGATGCTTGGGTTCATTTTTATCATGGCATAAGTTTCTGCATTAATATGTGTACAGGTTATCATTTTTGTGAACAGAAAAACTGTAACTTTGGATTTAAGTCTCATTTCAATACTGTATTTTTTAAATTTATCATATATTAATGAATCTTTATTTTATTATGTCCTTTATGGAAAAATTTAATTTCTAAAGTTATCTAATATAAACCTGTAAAATAACAAAATCATTATATTTTCTTATAATATATTTTGTTGCTTTTTTTTTTTTTAAATTTTTACCATTATTTTAAAGATAAAACCCATAAGATTTTGACTTTGTTGTATCTATTAACATGAAAATTTTTCAATAGATTGTCAATGAATTGGATTTCCTCAAATGAAACTTTTCAAAATATGAATTTGTGTTTGATGCAGGAGATTGATAGGTTATCTTTGGTGGTAGCATTCATTGCTCAATTTGCTGTAAATATTTTTCAAGCAAGGATGAAAGAGTTCACCTTGAAGGTATTTTGGAAATTTTGATTCGATTTCTTTTTTAATTGTTTTGCAAGTTGATATCTTTCATTGGTCAATGATGATATTGGCCGTTTTTTAATCTTTATTATTGATATTTGTATGCTAAACTTCTCTTAGATGAATGGATATTGTTGAGCTTATATTGTTTAGATAGAAAAACATTCAAGGCTATGTTTATTTTAAGTCATATACATTATATAAAAAAATACAAATCAACATTCATTATTTTATTTATTTTGAATATATTATATATTTTTTAAAATATCATTATTCTTATTTTCACAACGTAACGCGGTCATGTATTTTATTAGATTTTTAAAGCATTCCAATATAAGATTGGAGTGTCACACATACATTACTTTCGTACAAAAATTTTATACATCAAAGTTTTCATTGAATGATTTTCATTGTAATAAAGGTTTTGAGAACAACTGACATCAATGAAAATGAGATTAAAAAAAAATAATTTATTATTATTATGAGCCCATGCTTTAAGAGTGAATTTTGAAATTGTACTTCTATTTATTGAAATTTATATTTTAATTTTTTAATTTTTGAATAAAAAATATAATTGAAGATGTGTATAACAAAAAAAGTTATTAATGCAAATGACAAATTTTATTAATGTACTTTCAATTTCATTATTTTTGGAGAAATGTAACTGAATTTAAATATTTCACAAAATACATAATGTCAATGATAAATTTTTATCAATTTCATCATTTTATATAGAAAGAAATAAAATTAAAATATGATGACAAGATAAAATATTGATTTTTAATATAATAGCAAATTCAACCTTAATTTCGATCAAAATCATTAAAATTTCTCATGTCTCATCACGTGTTTCATCAAGTTAACATTGTATTTGTAATGCAATTTACGAACAATAGGTCTTTTGTTTTACTAAATAAAAAAATGTTACCATTTGAATTTAAAATCTTTTTATCAAAATTCCAAGTTCAAATCCAAGTGGGAAAATCGTAACAGCCTTTTTTTTTTATTATTTTTTTGTTGCTGTCGTTGTAAATATGGTGGATGTGGTAACAGTTTCGGGGTTGTTATGAAGTGTCAGCAGCAGCAGTGGACCGGTGGTTCCTGCGTTGGTTATGTTGGGGCCCGACTCAAACGGTCCCCAAAGCCCGATTGGTCGAGAAATGGACGGCTTACCCAAAACGTAGGCCATTGATTTCTTACATGTAATCAATTGGTCGTCCTTTAGGCTTTCACCGTCGCTAAATCTTTTTTTGGTGGCTCAACATATTTGAATAACGAACTACATTTCTTGTAAATCAAACAATAAAAAAACCATAGGTTGAGACTGTAGAAATATTTGGTGTCATTCTTGAAAATTTAAAAATATATTTATATAAAATTTGAATTTCAAATTTGTGTTTAGATTGGTAAGATCTTAGGAGTGCATTAATATATTTATTTATAATACCAATTATAAATTGTTCCATAATAAATTTAGAGAGAATATATATTTGAGCATTTGATTAAGATTTTTTTTTTTTTGAGAAATAAATTCAGCTTCAGAGTTCAGATCATCTTCAACCTTAATTGGGCATAAATCTTTTTTATGCCACATGAAGGACAGCAATTTTCAAACCAAAAAAAAAATGTGAAACAAGTTGACAACGATAACAATGTCACTCTACCAACCTCTGACAGCAACGTCTCTCCAAAATTAATCCTTAATCTAAATTTCCTCTATTTATTCTTTTTCCCTCTCTTCCATGGTTTTAATAACTCTCCATCTTTTCTTCTTCGTCTTCTCTTCTATAGGTTGTCTCTAATGAACCCAGTGCCAGAAAAGCACTATAACAAGAACTGGTAAAAAAAAAGTGGTCATGTGGATAGATGAAGGGATGGTTTTTTTTTTTTTTTTTTTGGGTTTTGATTGGCTTTTGGAGATGATGAGAAACGCATGAAAATGGGAAAATGGTTCAGACATGAATAGAATGCCATAAGTGTTTAGTATACTGAAACAGGGCTGGTTTATTCTTTTCTTCTTCTACTACTCCAACACAAACCATTTCAGGTACTTTCTCTTCTGTTTGTTTTTCAAATTATGTTTCTAAGGGGTTCATAAGTATAGATTCCATTCTGTGTATGATATGTTGTGCGCTTTCCGAATTCTATCTTAGCTGATTCAAATGGGTACTGAAAAGAAAATGGAGTTACTTTTCTGTCATGATTTGTTTTATATTCCCGATTTGACTTGTTGTTTCGTGGAAGCTTCGGACTATTAAACTTAAACCAGCAGACAGAAATAAACTCATTTTCATTTCTCCATCACATGACAGTAGCAGACTTTTACTTTTTTTCATTTTTGTTTTCTGGGGTCTTAGGTGGCTTGGCTTCGAATATTTTGCATGATGTTCATTATCAGTACAATCAGACACTTGTTTCTAACGGAAATTTTCTGCAATTGTACTTTTACCAGTGTCATGGTTCTTCCACCACCTTTGCCTAGGTATGAATGCAGAGTGTAAATAATGAATAGCTCACCTCAAATTCAAATTCTATGAGACGAAGATAATTACCTCAGCACAAAATTCAAATTTAAATGTCTTTTACTTTTCGATTTATTTCTGATGTCATGCAATATTTGACTGTCTCTTCATTTTTTCCCTGGGTGATCTCATGCTCAGGTGTTTATCTAATCCTTTGTGAATGGACACACAAAATGCGCCGTAGTACTAATCCACCCAAAATGGATAGGAGATTGCCCAGGAGCCAGGCACTTAAGAGCCCTTTGCTCTCACCTAAAAGCCCTGCACTCTATGAAAAGTACAAGTCAGGATGTGCCTGGGGATTAATTCACTTCTTTGATTTTCGCCAAGTTCATTGCCATGGGAAGCTCATTTCTGACAAGAAACTCGCAAAAAGACGGGCTAAAGGTAAGAACGACTCATCTTTGGTTCGTTTTTGGCATTAAATGAAATATAATTTCATTTCCAAAAAAATCGTATGCATTGATAAGTTGTTTAAAGTGGATTATTTGTTCTAATATTTTTTGATAATGTTCACATGTATTTTTTAAGTCTTACAGCTGTCATGTCCAACTAAGTTTAACTATACTGAATTTTCATATGCAGGTGATCGTTATACAAAGAATAGGCCTAATTTTACCTCTAATGAGGAGAAGGATCAATATAATGTGAGTTTGGTAACCTGCTTTTATAATCAAATTCAATGCATATTCTGAGTACTACTTTTATGAAGAAGGAAATAATATGTTCCTTTACTAAGCCTCCTCTAGATGTTGGTAATTTGTTCTTTCTTTACAGCAAAGTGCGAAAAGATTATGAGATTCAAACTTTGATTTTTTTTTTCAGGATGCACTTGATAACAAGAATCTTGCAGTTAATTCTAGGCAGCCAGAAGTTAAAAAAGTTATACAAGAAAAGATGTTTGTGAAGCATCGGACAAAGAAAAATACAGCCATTGCTGAAATGCAAACTCTACAGTCTAACCCCAAACTTGTTGGCCATTCAAAGGACCATAGGAAGGCAAGCAAGAGTTCCAAGAAATCCTGTTGTCTTCCTTCTCGTGATTATGATGCAGCAGCTGAGGGGTATAGGCAGCCTTCTGATCAAAATATGGTAGACCAATCTCCAAATAAAAACAACTTGGTATCAGTGACAGAAGCATATGGCAATGATGTGCATATTAACAATGGAGGGAATTATAAAAGCATCAGAGGTAGGAAGCATGGCCATCACTCTGAGATTAATCTTAGAGTTCATATGAATGAAGCGGTTGAAGCTTTTGTAAACCGAAAGTTAACTGATGGGGACAACCTTAGTAGAAATGAGGTAGCATACCAGTCTAAAAATTTTATAGATGCATTGGAGGCTTTAAATTCCAACAAGGAATTATTTATGAAACTCCTACAAGACCCAAATTCGCTGCTAGTGAAACATGTTCAAGATTTACGGGATTCTCAGGCTGAGAAACAACAACCTCAATCTTCCTCCAAAGCCAAAACATCGCAGTGCCAGACAAAGGAAGCTGGGGAATATGAAGGGCCAGCCAATGTTCAAATGTTTGAATCTTGTGATAGATGCTTGTCTAAGGCAAGTGACATTCTCCGATCTTTGAACACAACAGTAGTCCAGAGGGCTGGCATACAAACCTGTCCTGATCGAATCAGTAATTGGCCATCACCACAGTCTCATTATAGCTTGAGGATAAAAGAGAGGAGTGTTAGGCCAGCATTCTTGCCTTTTGAACACATGAAGAGGAAGTTGAGGCATGCTATGAAGGTGAACAAAAAAGAGCAGTTCCAGATGTCTCTTGATGGTGTTCAAAAATCTCCGCATGACTTTGTAAAGTTCGAAGATTGTGGTACAGAAATGAGCAAGCGGGTAAATGAAAGTGTTTCCGCTAGTAAAAGCTATCTCAATGTTGGAAAAATGTCTGAATCTTCCCATAAGGTCAATCGAAGAGATGGGATGAGCCAAGCACAGAACTTTGGTTCAGGCATTGGAAGCAAAGTGGCTTCATCCACAGAAAGTTGCCTTAGAACCTCAAACCTGTTAACTGTAAGGCATCTCAAAGGAAAATTTCACCCTACAAAGCATCTTTTAGATATGTCAAACACTGGTAATGAAGATTTCTCAAGAAAACATACACTGAGAACTTTGGATAGGTTAATATCTTTGCCTGAATATGACTTGTTGCATGCAATTTATCCAGGAAGGGAAGAGGAACATGATTTTGCTTCTCAACAGATGAGATTTTCACCATACAGAAAATTTTCAACCGTTAATGGATACAAGTGGAGGGTTCAGAAAGAAAAGAAGAGTGGCTGCTTAAGTTCTTCTCTGATTAAAAATTTAGGGGCACAGCCTGTGTTGAATAAGGAGAAACCAGATGATCGTTTGCAAAGTGCAAAGAAAAGTATCTCTGGTGATTTATATACTACCACCAAAGAGTTTCAAACTGTCTATTCCCTTGGTGAAGATTTGAGTCACAAAGGTATTTCTTGGTTATGAGAGATCAAAATGAAATTCCAATCTACATCTTTTCCTCGTATAATAATTTATCTTATCTGAGCAGTTAATCAAACTTCTGTATGTCCTCGGAAAGTCATGGAAAGAAATCATGCTGTTATGTGGGACAAACGCAAAAGTAATGCTTTAGAAGTCGCTTTGGAACCAAGTGGTGTGCAGAATACCAACACCAACCAAAGAACTGAAGCAGTCAACATATTTGGAGAAAGTGAATATTTTGAATGTTCGAAACTGGTAAATGGTTTTTCTTTTCTTATTTATACTTGTTTTCATGATTTAGATTTCTCCAGTGCATCAATTATTCATCTATCAGTTTTTTTTTTTTTTGGCCAAACATCTCTCTCATTCACGTGCTGTGTTCCTCTTTTCTCTTTTTCTTGTTCTCCTTCTCTTTAATATTGTTGTCTTATGTGCTAAAATTATGTTCTGTCCTGTCACTTTGGTTATTTTCAGGATTTGCCCTCAGGGGATAAAACATCATCTTGTTCAACAGATGTTTGTTCATCAAGTCCTTTACGTATTCAAAGAATGGAAGATTCTGATAGCATGATTGTTAGAGCAGAGCAGCCAAGTCCTATATCGGTTCTTGAGCAGTTCTCTGTAGACGATAGCATTAGCTCTCCAAGCACCATATCTCCAGCAGGTGAACTTTTATACTAAATATTACTTATTATATAGAGTATGTCTTACATATAAAATTACTTATTATAGTACTGAGTTAACATCCGAATCTTGTGCAGCTGAGCCACCAGTTGAATCATTTGGTACAGATATTGAAGAACTCTATGCATCTTCTCTCATGGAATCCCATTTGGATCTGAAGAGTAATGCAGCTACTTGCATTTATAAGCAAGGACCTTTGTCCGAGTGTATAAGAGCAGTTCTGCAAATTTCAGGTCTCAATTGGGATGAACTCTCTAGGAAATGGCATTTGTTAGACCAAATGCTTGACTCATCCTTGTTTGATAATGTTGAAGTATGGCCTGAGAAATCCTCTACTGATCGTAGGCTGCTTTCTGGCTACATCAGTGAAGTCCTTTTGGAGATATATCAATGTTATTTTAGATGCTCCCCCTGGGTGTCATTTCTCAACCCAAAACCTCGACAAGCTTTGTTATCAGAAAATATGTCTCCTGAGGTGTTGAGACGTGTTGATTGGCCTCTTCTCTCGGAGCTGCCCCAACAAACATTGCAGCAACTTATTGAAAAGGATTTGGCCAAGTCTGAAACATGGATGGATATCCGACCTGATACTGAGGAACTAGTTACCGAGTTAGTAGACAGCATTCTAGAGGATTTGGTAGTGTACGCCGCAATTCAGCTGCGAACTTAAAGCAGTAAATGATGCTTCACGTGCCTCCTTCCGAATTGCGTCTGTGAAAATAGAGGCAGCTTATGCAGGGCAACACAACTAGTGTTCCATGTTTATTGAGACATGATCAGCCTCTTTCCATGTATTTTCTAACTCATTTTCTCATCTGAACAGCGTGATGGTCTTAGAAGGGAGGTGTTTTTTTGCTGGTTTATGAGTGGTTATCAGTCTGGTGCAGGGATTCAATCTATGGTCTGGACACTCCCTATATACATAGTTTAATTAAATCCAAACAACTACTATCAGTTATAGTTTTTTTTTTTTTTTGTGCAGTCTAATTTTTCGGTTCCAAAGAGATTTGCAACGGGACTGGACGAGCCAATAAAAACATATAAAGCAATATTGGCTTACACCTTATAATTCCTAAGTAATCATTCAGTCAACTAGGTCAGATATTTCAGATATTTTTCTTTATGCCATTACCTGTTCTTTTTTTTTTTTTTTCTATATTTTGGCTGAAAATTTTTCCTTTTCTTTTCATCAAATATAAATCAATTGCATTGGTGAAAAAGAAAATTCAGTAATGTGTGCATCCAACAAGGATCAGCTTAAGCTCTTATTGTTGCATTTAATCGGAGAAGGGCAGTAAATTTAGGACTTTCCTGCAATGGAAATTCAGTAATATTTGCATTAACTCAATGACCAACTTGGGAGAACTTCAAACAACTGAATTGCATTCTTATTCAAAAGATGATCCCTACTTAAATATTTGGTTACAAGTTGTGTTAGCAGAAGGGATTAAAACCCTTAGTAAAATATTTGAGACATTTATGTTACGTCAATGAATATCAACATGATTTCACAATCAAAATTATCCCTTATTATAAAAAATATGCTACAAGCCAAATTAAATTGATTTTGAGTATAGATCAAGTGCTGGTTTCTTAAATCATATCCCTTCCATATTAATACCATTTAGGAAAACATTCATTGCTCACTGAAAAAAAGTGAGGGTGACAGCAAATCTCCGTTGAGAATTTGGTAAAAGGAGTTATGTGTCGGAAATATTGACTCAAATTTTATAAGAGATTTATTTGAGATTTGTTCAAAATTTGTTAGATATTGCTGGATGGACAAGAATACTTGTAAAAAAAGAATTCTAAGAAAAAGAAGATTCTTAATAGGTAAGTTTGATTTGCAAGAGAATAATTCTAAAAGAAAAGAGATTCTTAATAGGCAAGTTTGACTTACATGAGAAAAATTTTAAGAGGAGAGAGATTTTTAATGGGCAAGTTTATATGATTATAAATAGATGAAGTCTCTACAGAGTTAGGTATGAGAAAAAGATATAAGAGAGTTGCAGGATTTTATGGGATAGATACTCTATAGGAATATTGGGGTTATATGTCTTATTGAGTATTGGGCTCTACATCTTATTGGTGTGCATATTTATTTGTGAGTGGACTAGAAGAGACTGAGAGGATCCACATAGATATGATGTATGAGAGTATATGGGTATGTGTTTGGTTATGTTGAAAAGATGCACAAGGGTTTGGGTTTGTATTTGTTTGAGTTGAAAATATTCTATAGGACTAGAGGAGATTGAGAGTTTTTTATGAGTATTGATTGTTGAGTGAGGTTGATAATTTGATGTATGTTTGTAATTTTCTACAACTAGTAGATCTTATTTTTCATCCGTGGATGTAGGTTAGTTGGATCGAACCACGTTAAATTATTGTCTCTTGTGTGTTTGAGATTTATTGTTTGATTTCACTTCCGCTGGTGTGATTGGATTAGAAGCTTTTAACCCAACAAATGACATCAGAGCTGTGGTGATCCATAACAAATAGTATCAGAGCTGTGATATTCTCCAACAAGTGGTATCAAAGCTGAAAGTTCGAAACGTGAAAAGAGTTAAGATTCAAGATGTGAAAAGAGCCGAAGGTTCGAGACGCGGAAGAGCTTAAAGTTCGAGATGTGGGAAGAGCTAAAGGTTTAAGATGTGGGAAGTCCATGGTTTGAAACATGAAAAGAAGCAAGTCCTGAAGAGCTCGATTCAAGAGAAGAGTTCGAGTTAAAGTTTTGAAGATTGAGGATTGATTTGTATGAAGCGTGAAGACACAAGAAAAGAGAAGATATTGTGAGACTTTTATTACAGGTGAAGCCAAGTATGTCTAGCATGAAGATAGATTTGATAAAATTTGAGTCAAGGTGAAAATAGTTAAAAATATTGACTAAAATCCCATAAGAGATTTATTTGAGATTTGTTTAAGATTTGTTTGATATTTGTTAGATATTACTGGATGGACAAGAAGACTTGCAAAAAAAGAATTCTAAGAGATAGGTGATTCTTAATAGGTAAGTTTGATTTGCAAGAAAAGAATTTTAAAAGAAAAGAGATTTTTAATAGACAAGTTTGACTTATAGGAGAAGAATTTTAAAAAGAATTTTAAAAGAAAAGAGATTTTTAATAGGCAAGTTTGACTTACAGGAGAAGAATTTTAAGAGGAGAGAGATTCTTAATTGGCAAGTTTGTATGGTTATAAATAGATGAAGTCTCTACAGAGTTAAGTATAAAAAAAAAAAAGATATAAGAGAGTTGCAGGATTTTGTGGGATAGACACCCTATAGGAGTATTGGGGCTCTACGTCTTATTGGTGTGTATGTTTGTTTGTGAGTGGATCAAAGGAGACTGAACATAGGTATGATATATGTGAGCATATCGGTATGTGTTTAGTTATATTGAAAGGGTGCATAAAGGTTTGGGTTTGTGTTTGTTTGAGTTGAGAATACTCTATAGGATTAGAGGAGATTGAGAGTGTCTTTTGAGTATTGATTGTTGAGTAAGGTTGATGATTTGATGTATGTTTGTAATTCTCTACAACTAATGGATCTTGTTTCTCATCCATGGATATAAGTTAGTTGGACCGAATCACATTAAATTGTTATCTCTTGTGTATTTGATTTATTGTTTGATTTCGCTTCCGCTGGTGTGATTAGATTTGAGGTTTTTAGCCCAACAAATAACATCAAAGCTGTGGTGTCCCCAACATTATGATCATTCCACAGAGAAACTGCAATTAAAGGCCAGTTATCTATATGTAAAACCTTCACCTGGAGTAAACATATGGATACTAAAAATCATTTATGTCTACTAATGTACTCTTGCCTTTGATAATTTTCACTTTTGTTTCAAATGGAATCCCGATTCATGGTGGTAGCTGCAAGGACTCCAGTAATTTAATATTACTAATGCTGCCAATATCTGCTTGCATTTTAGGTAAGCTACAGTGAAACCATGGGAGATATTATCAGAAGAAGAAAAAATGAAACTAGATTTGCAACTCAGAATCATGAATAAACCCGCAGTGAAGAGTTTTCAGGTTGGCATAGCAGGCTTAAGCAGTGATTCGCAAGGCATGTACATTTGCATGTTTCATTTATGGCAGACATTTTTCAGTTATTGTAATCTCTGTCTTAGGTTGCTCCTAAGTAATATGTTCATCACTTACTGGCTGGGGTGAAATCCTGTCTTCTCTTTTATCCAGTGTAATTTCCATCATTACAAAGGAATGTTAAGGAACTATTACAATTCAGTATGGCATGCTTGTTTGATGATTTTGTTGACAGATCTTTTTAAAGCTTTTGCAGTAAGCTTTTTGCACTTAGAGGGCCAATCTTGTGGTACTACTACTCGCAATTTTTTCCAAAAATAACATTTGTTGTTTTCCTTTCTTCTTGTTTATACAGACAGAATATGGTGATATCATTATTTGCATCCGAATCTACAAACAAATAGCTTTTGATCACCCTTTGCTAAAGAATCATAGAATTCAGGTCAACAATCTCTCCTTCCTTCTTCCCCCCCCCCCATCTCTGGAAGTGTTTGTAACATGATTTCACAATAGAGAGGGAGCCTCTTTGATGAATAGGGGAGGTAGACATAGCTCATCCTTCTGGTCTTGTTCATTACAGATGAAGCCGAAAAGCATTCGAGGTATGGAAATTAGAACTTCTGTAAAGGAGGAATCTTCACTCTTAATCCTGAAGAATATGCATTGCCGAAAAGGATATGTTCCCATCAGAAGGGCAAAGAAGGAAGATTTATCAGTGGAAAAATTATCTATCATTTCTGAGCATTAGCAATCCAGCAAACGTTTATTCGTCAAATGATTATTTTATTGATTCCACGGGTTTCAGCGTAAGTGATGTTCAGAATATTCCATTTAAGACATTGAATCTACTCTTCTTAAATCATTGCTTGAAAAATGGAAAAGATGAAAACAATCTGCTCGAATAACTTAGTTCACTAAACTTTGAAAAATTATCTAAATCTTTATCCTTTCCCTTGATTTAGTCTGCAGTATTGGAATATAGAGGTGAGCATTACGGTGCAAAAGCATATATTAATGTTTGGAGCTCCAGTGTCTCAAAGGATCAACCGAGCACTGCTAGTGTCTGAATTACAAAATATGTTCCACCCCAAGTTACCGATACACAGGCAGGCTGGATTGTAAGTAACTCTTCATTGTGGAGGCAATAAATAATAGGATAACACAATTTGTCTATTGCTTCGGTTTGGTTCACAAGGCCCAATTTTTCATGTCTTCTGGTTTTTTCTTTTTTTTTGAAACTTCTCCAGGTTTATCAGTACCTATGTAAGAACTACAGCCGGCTATATACCTCCTGGACTGTAAGTTTTAAGCTTTGAATTCCAGCTTATTCTTTCAGTGGTTTTGCAGTTTTTATCTATGGTCTTGATATAATTATTATCTGCTAGAGGCTCTTGACTGTTTTCATTACGGCCTCATCATTTGCATGCCTTAAAAGCTAACAGGCAGATGGTTACCAAAAGACAGGTTGCTACAATATGTTGTGTCCAGGTTTTATTCAAGTTAGTTCTGAGATGCCTCCAGGGGTCATTTTAAGACCAGTTTCCACTTCCAATGGACCACAATACCAAATATCAACAATTATATTCCAGGTAATTTTAGTAGTCTTTTCTGTTTTCTGATACATGAACCTTGTGCCTCACTGAACATTACATTCTCTTCATGGTTAGGATAATGCAACAGGAAATTAGTGGTTGGCATGCAATAATATAAATGTCGGATACTGGCCAAAATCATTGTTGCCGAACTTGAGCGCTGGTGCCTCCTACACTGCATGGGGAGGACAGGTTTATAGCAAACCGGGAGAAGCTAGCCCTGCAATGGGGAACGGCCATTTCCCAGAAGAAAATTTCAAGAATTCTGCATTTCTGAACCAGCTGAGAGTAGGGGATGAATCACACTCATTTGTCGATCCGAATCAGCTTACATTGAATGTAGATAAACCTGGATACTATAATATAGATTACCATGTAGATCCTGATCCGAACTGGGAACATACTATCTACTGTGGGGGCCTGGAAATTGTACAAATTGATCATGTGGTTGAACTTCAGGCTTTACTTTGTGGGCAAAATGAGCCCAAGATGTTTGTTTCTGACATCAATATTTGTGCTTCAATGCCATAAAATAAGCATCGTCACATTTGATCTTCAGGATAAAGAATCGATTCTACCTTCAAATTGCGCAGCTGCATAATTCCGGATGAAAAGGGTGAACTTGACTCAATGAAACCCTTAATTTCAACCAATGTAAGAAGATCAACCCAAATTTCCCATTTTCAAAGCGCACCGAATCTCAAATTTTAATAATTTATTCAACCCTAAAAAAAAAAAAAGGAAAATTGGTTACAATTTTTTTTTTTTTACTACCATACCAATCGCCCTACCCCCACTTTCAAAAAACCCTAACTCCCGCCGCCATCCTCCTTAAACCCCTCCCACCACCACTTCCTCACGAAAACCCTCCAGCCATCGCCAATGGACCCAAAAGCCGTAAAATCCGACTTAGTCCTGATCCTAGACTTTGGTTCCCCATACACCCATCTCATCACTCGCCGTATCCGCTCTCTTTCAATCTTCTCCCTCTGCATCTCCGGTACTTCCCCTCTTTCCTCCATCACTTCCCTCAACCCGAAAGTCGTTATCCTTTCCGGTGGACCCCACTCGGTCCATTCCAATGATTCACCTTCGTTTGCCGATGGGTTCGTTGAGTGGGCCCAGTCCAATGGGGTTTTTGTTCTGGGTATTTGTTATGGGCTTCAGTTGATTGTTCAGAGACTCGGTGGTGAAGTTAGGGTTGGGGAGAAGCAGGAGTATGGGAGGATGGAGATTGAGGTTGAGAAAAGTTGTGGTATTTTTGGTGGGAAGAGGGTTGGAGATAGGCAGGTTGTTTGGATGAGTCATGGGGATGAGGCTGCTAGTTTGCCTAATGGGTTTGAAGTGGTGGCTAGAAGTCACCAAGGGGCCGTGGCCGCGGTGGAGGATCAGGAGAGGAGGTTTTATGGGTTGCAGTACCATCCTGAGGTACTCTTGAGTTTCTGAGTTTTGTTTTATTTTGTGTTTAGTGAGGTTCGTTTTTATTGTTATTTTTTTTATAGACGACTAAAAATAACAAATGAATATATGAAACACCAATTCCAGCATAAATGTAAAAGTAAAATCATGCATTTTGTTCTTCAAAAGAGTTACTAATTTTTAATTCTTGAAGAATATTAGTGTTTGTTTTTGCATGCTAATACAATTTTTACATCTTAGTAACAAACAAGGAGGACCTATTTTAATGTGAGTTGGTTTTTAGAGGGTTGTTTTTGGGGGGAGGTTTGTGGTTTTGAAGCAATTGAATAATGTTGTGATTTGTGTTTATTTAGGTTACCCATTCTCCAGAAGGGATGGAAACTCTTAGATATTTCTTGTTTGATGTTTGTGGAGTGAATGCTGGATGGAAAATGGAAGATGTAATGGATGAAGAAATAAAGGTGATCAACAACATGGTGGAGGCTGATGACCATGTTATCTGTGCTTTATCTGGAGGTGTTGATTCCACAGTTGCTGCAACCCTTGTTCACAAGGCAATTGGAGACAGACTTCACTGTGTTTTTGTTGACAATGGTTTATTAAGGTTAGAAAGCAAACATTTTTCTTTTAATTATTTTTCACTATTAGTTGTTACATTGATTTTTTTGTTTTCATGTCTTGTTTGAAAAGAATTGTTAAATGTATATTTTTTATAAGCTTTTATAATTCATTGCTCGTACATTCATTAATTGTGTTTTGTTTCATGCAGGTATAAGGAGAGAGAACGTGTGATGGAAACCTTTGAAAGGGATCTACATCTACCTGTTACATGTGTTGATGCAACTAATCAATTTCTTAGTAAACTAAAAGGTGTGGTAGACCCTGAGATGAAACGGAAGATAATTGGAAAGGAATTTATCTGCATCTTCGATGCATTTGCTCAAGAATTGGAGCGTAAATTAGGAAAGAAACCTGCTTTCTTAGTTCAAGGAACCTTGTATCCGGATGTAATTGAATCTTGTCCACCACCAGGAACGGGAAGAACCCACTCTCACACAATCAAAAGTCATCATAATGTTGGAGGGCTTCCCAAAGATATGAAATTAAAGCTTGTTGAGCCTCTTAAACTTTTATTCAAAGATGAGGTTTTGATTTTGTACCCTTTCTTGATGACATTTACTTGTACAGAAGACTTTTTTTTCTTTTGAATTATTTTTCCTTTTCCTTTTTCTAATTTATAAAGGTTCGCCAACTTGGGAGGATATTGAGGGTTCCTGAGCCATTTTTAAAACGCCACCCATTTCCTGGGCCTGGCCTTGCAGTACGAGTCTTGGGCGATGTAACTGAATTCAATGCCTTGGACATTCTCCGTCAGGTATGGGGTGTTCACATAAGGAAGTGCAACCTTGTCTTTTGTTCCTTTTAGCATGTTTTTACCTCATGAACTTGTTTTCCCCAGGTTGATGAAATCTTCATTCAGTCAATCAAAGATGCTGGCATTTATGACTCAATTTGGCAAGCTTTTGCTGTATTTTTGCCTGTAAAATCAGTTGGAGTTCAAGGTGATCAAAGAACACATTCTCATGTTGTTGCTCTCCGAGCTGTTACAAGTCAAGATGGAATGACAGCAGATTGGTAATTTTGCATTCTTCTGCTTTTCTTTTCTATCCATGGTTGTTGCAATATTTATGTGGTCAGCCTAAGCCAATTGTATATAGCAACAAGCCTCACCTCAAATGTGTCTCTGAGGTTGGGCTGAGATACAAATAATTTTACTCACATGTCTGGCTATTTTCAAGAAGGGTTAATGATTTTGCGGAAATGGGTTGGTAGTGCTGAATGATATGGTTTTCCGGACTGGCTGTACCGAAGCAGTTTAAGTCTCATATCATTCGAAGGAGATTGTTAGCATTCTAAAGTGTGGATGCTAATATGTAGCAATTCAACCTAAATTTTAGTGGGAACAACTTCCTATGTATAAAAATGGATGCCTTCCATCCTCTTATGTATTATACATGTTGACAGGATATATGTCTTGCATGTTACAAGTTTCTTAATATCTACGAAAAGCACATTTTTCTTTGAATTTTTTACTATGGTTATGTGGCTAAAACCAATGAATTAATCTTTTGACGCCTTTTTCCTACCTCTTAACTCCAAAATTCTGAGATTCTCATTTGTTCCTCAATTTTGGAATTTCAGGTATGAATTTGAACACAAGTTCCTGGATGATGTGGCCCGAAAAATTTGCAACAGCGTTCGTGGTGTGAATCGTGTTGTTCAAGACATCACATCAAAGCCCCCATCAACAATTGAATGGGAGTGATGCTATGTTGGATGTATGTGTTGCTCCTCGTGATGATGAGAAGAAAGAAAGAAAGAAAAAGTGTAGCAGGATTTCTTATTGGAAGGTTAAGGCCTTTCCTGGTGTCTGTATCACCAATTTATCTATTTCTGAGACACTGTAAAAATTTCTGTTGAAACATTTATAAGGATTAAATATTATACAACTTTTGGCAGTAGTAATTTGTCTTTCCCTGGTGATGGATGCTTTATACTTTTAGCCAAATGTGAAGTACATATGTATCTGAGTGTGCCTGTAAATTACTATTGTGCTGAATTTGCGTATGTGAACAGAGTCAAGTGTCTGGTTTGTCCATGTACTCATTCACATTCTTATCTCTGTTCTTGTGTTGCCATTTTTGTTGTTTCTTTATGTTTGTAACTTAATAAAATTCTTTTGTTGGCCATGCCATGATGTCTCTTTGCTCTTGGATTCAGTGGATATAATCCATCGGCTTCTATTTGCATAATACTAGTATTGGTTTGTAGCTGAGTGTTATGTGGTGCTTTTGATCCGTGATCTCCACCATTGAAATTCTTATTACATGTCAAGAAAAGAAGTTTGCCAAACTTTTATGTTGTGATTAAGATTGAATTCCCACTAAGCTAACTGATTAGACGTAACTTTTGTTTGAGATATTTATCTCTTCTTTGTGGAAATTTTAAGGCGATGATGGCAATGCCATCATCATGATTAACAACACAACAAAAAGTCCACTTCAAGACCGACACTATCTTTGCAATCAGGCTGTCTTGGGTTTTAAATTGAACAGAATGTTGCATTTTTTTCAGAGAATAAACATGGCGCACCCATTAATTGACGATTATTGTTTCAGTTTCTTTTTAAAGCCTTTGATGAGTTTTCAGCGCACCTATTCCTCGTTTGCCACAACTGTTACTACTTTTTTCAATGAAGATCGTGCTCTTTAGTCTTTGCCACCGAAAATTTTTCACCTTTGTCTGTGCCCAGATTTGGTGGGCCATTTCTCCACTCTGGTACTCAAATCAAAGCCTCCCAACTAAAGTGAATGCTGCTAGCAATCATATTAGGTGTGTTCTCCCTCCATCGTTTTCCTGAACCTAAAATTTATCATGTCTTTGCAAACTTTGTCGGCCTTTTCTTGTATTTATTCAATGAAAACTCACCTCTTTTTAGAGCTTTTTTGACTACCCAAATGAGCGCTTTTCTTACTTTGCTTAAAGCAGTAAAGCTAGAATAATTTACTTTCTTGGCCAAAGAGAAATCACTATTTGATTAAACCAATTTGTATTTGTTTACACCAAACAACATTACATATTTAAACTTCACCACATGCAAATTGGCAACTTGAAACTGAACTGACATCTTCCCCCTGTTCTAGAAATTGAATGAAGTGTTATAAAATTATACATCAGTCTTTAGTAATTTATGTACTACCACCTTAGAATAAAGATACATTTTTCCCCTCCAATTTGCCGCATTCAAGAGCAAAATGAGTAGCCTGAATTTGTCAAGCAACCATTGTGAGTGACGGGTGTCTTTTCATCACAAGTTTTGCAGCTCTTCTTATTAATAACCTTATTATTCTTTTGATTCTCTAAGCAAAGTAACGAATGTGAGATTAGATGCTTAACGTCAATTTTAACACGAAACCAACACAATACAAATTGTAAGTCTACTTTCCTGTCAAGTTTATAAGAAAAAGTCGGACTTTTTTAGGTAAAGGAAGGTGAAAGGTGGATGTAAATTGCGGTGCCAGGATTATTTGCTTTTAGTCATATTCTATATTTACTTTGTTGTCCTTAGCTCAATAGATATCCCATTTAACAAGTTGAAATACTAATGCTTAAAAATTTATTTTTCTGGATGTTACACATGGTGAAAGATTGAAGTCATAGGTTACTTGTGCTTTAGATTTTGAAGAAAATTACATAGTTCCAAACTAGATTTATTTCCCTTTATTTTACTAACCACCTAACTACATGGAGGAAAAACGTTTTTGTTTGTGGTACACGGATTTTGCAAAAGAAGCAGGGCAATCTAGAGCAAATAACTCTATATGATTGTGGATAAAAGAGATGCTTCAACACTTCCGTGCAACTCTTTGCAACGCTTGCTTGATCGTCCCTGCTGATGCAACAGTTGATCCTTTGTACTGCAATAAGAAATTTAGGATACTTTGTTTAGAGTTAATTGTCCACAATTCTCAACAAGAAAAGTTCTACTTCAACATTCGCAAATGTTCCAAAATCATTAATGGATTTGGTTTCCTAAACATTTTTGTAATGAAGCACAAACTAAAGAGTCTTACCTTGGATTTTATAGTCAGGGAGAGAATCCCCTCGGTGGTAGATGATTGAACTGAGTGGCAATCCAAGTTGAGAGTGCTTAGTGCATCCATTATCTCAAGCAAAATTCCTTCCCGCCAAGGACACCTAAACTCAATTAGAAAATCCTTCTTGTTCATACTGACAGTTAAATTATCGGTTAAACCATCTTTAGATGCAACATAGTCAATCTCTAGTTCTGCTTCATCAATGTCACAGGCTTTCCTTTTATTTATGGATGACTTCTTTCCGTTGGTGATTTTGTTATTGCCATAGTTATCAGATGTTCGCTCTACATGGTCCTGAGGTTTTCTTTTCATCCTCTCCTCTAACTCTGTTAACTCTCTGGAAGATTCCAACTCTTCGACCCTTTTTGCGAGGTCTTGTAGGTATTCTATTGTATCATCTAGTATAGAAACTTTATCAGCCTGCTTAAAGAAAGCCAGTTTATTTAGTAATGGTCATGCTATGAATGAATAAGGGGAATGGAAATTTAATTACCTTGCTATTTGAAGGGAGCAGTGCTTTGAGAATTATAAATCTTTCATTTAGTTTTTCCCTCCGCCTCCTCTCTGACAACACATGGCTTCGGCAAATTTCATCGGCCTCTGGTCTCCAAGCTGCATCTCTAACACCATTATCTTCTGGAGATTCAAGTAATCCTTTATCATGCATCAGAGGAACTTCAAACAATATCTTTTTCAATAACTTTTGAGGGGTTTTGCCTCTTGCTTTCTGAGACTTCAAGAAGCCATTTTTCTTCCAGCTGACAAAGCTGGATTCATGGTTAGAGTTTTGAAAGTGTAGTCCCAAAATCAACTGGTGCGAGCTCTTTAATAGGGCTGAGAGAACCATTTGGTAGTGCAGATCATCACTTTGAAAATCTAAAGATGTCAGTTTTGTCTGATGGCACTCTTGAACATCTTCCAAACCATTGTCATTATCTTTTTCTCCCTGGCAAAGAGGAACAACATTTGCATGGTCCACAAAGGTTTGAGATATGCAGTCACTGGAATTCAAGGAATGGTGGACACAATTGCTGAACTCCTCATCCATGAGTTGCCAACTTTGTATCTGAGAAGCTCCACCATTTATCCCTTCAACCATGAATGAACCTTCTGCTGGTTGGTTAGGCTCAAAGCCATCCGAACTGTCATTTGGAGAAGCCATTTCTATTTGTTCACAGCCTAAAAGCGGACTAACTTTGGTGTCAAGGATCTGAGGATCAAAAGCAGGACCAGTAAGATCCTTGTCATTTTCTGTAATTCCATCAACAGGAATGGATTTATTAGAAGCAAATGGCTGTGGAGTATCCAAGAATGAAGTTTTAACTCGCTGAATGAGGCTGAGGTCTTCCAATACCTACAGAAAGCAATCAATATAACAGCTTGACTTGAACTGAAATAAAACTGCATTGAAAGCAAATTTCTCAAAAACAACAAACAAATAAAAAGTATGGCAGAAAAGTTACCAAATCTGTTACACCAAGCTCAATCACACCTCTTGAAAATGGAAAGCCTACTACAGTCTGAAATCAACACAAGCGTAAGGATTTCATTCAGAAACATTTACATAAATGTAATAATTCTAACCTTCAAGGTTTTCCATGTCTAAACATGAAGTATTACGATTCTACATCCTTTAAAAGGTAATGTCACTCGTAACCTATGTCCATAAGCAGTTAGGGTTAAGTTGGTGTGCAGGAATCACTGAATACACCTAGACATGCTGTGTTTCAACGTACAGTAAAATTATCAAACCACTTAAAACAAAATTTGTCACTCATTATCACAATCTTAAAGCCTATGTTTACATAGGACCTTTTCTAATGTTGAAAAATGAAAATAAATTAGGAATCAATACCTGAATAGATGCACTCTGAGAGAGCCAGTTGCCAAAATTTCCAGCCATGAACACAGAAACCAAACTGTCATTTCTGAGCGTATACTAATCTTGAAATTTAGCCAGAATTAAAGCACAGGCACCTACCTTTGCTAGCAGTGAACGACTGAACACTTTGCTCTCTGCATAATGAGCATTGCAAAGCCAAATAGGTTGACCACTTGACAATGTTCTTCCCGGCAACCTAACAACAATTTAAAGGAAGAATTAACGATCAGAAACATTGATGTTTTCAGGCTGACGGGCATAGAACAAAAACATAGAAGAGAGATTACCCTTGGCCAATGTTGAATACAAATGACATACAAACTAAGTAATACCACTCAGTATCTGTGAGATCTTCAGGAGATAATGATACTGAAGGTCTTCTAGCCTGAGGACTGCTGTCACCAGCCGAGAGGGACTCGTAAAGTTCTCTCAGTTGCTCACTTCTCTGCAAACCCAGTTGGTCAGCATTGAGCTCTACAGTTTGAACTGTTTTCCTTGTCTTTATATCTCCATTGTAATAACCATCACCCCACTGCAAGACCCTGAAATGTTCACATTGATAACAAACAAGAAAAGGCAGAAGAATGCATTAGCAAAGTACCAGATTGATAATAGTAACTAGAATAGTTAGTAGAAGGGTGTCAGCTTTATAGAATGTTAAAAGAAATATTAGCATTTGTCATAAGGAAAAGCATAAAATAATGTTATTAAGAGAATAATCTCAAGCTTGAAGAGTTTGACTCTGCATTTTCAGCACTATGGCAAAATAAAATGAAGTTGTATACTTGAAATCTAGAGAAAAAAAAGTATTAGGAAGAGAAAAATATTAAGCATAAAAGCTCCAGAGGCAGAAGCAGTGTTTTCAAAAAGCAGAGCTGAAGTTACTCAAAAAAAAAAAAAAAAGCGTATGTTAATTTTCTTCTAGAAAGGAAGAAAAATGGGGCAGAAAATGGAATATTTTGTACCCTGGCTGTCTAGCAGAAATGGTCCAGAAAATTGCATAACTCCACTGGATGTCTTGCACAGTAAGAGCAAGCTGTTTCTTCAGGTTCTCTGGCACTCTCTCTTGAATTTGAACCCCAGTAGCCATTTGAAAGATATCTATATTTAAAAACTAGCCACCAATTAGATCAGATGCAAATTGACTGTTACTCTAATTGCTGGCTCTCCATTCACCAACACCCAATAAAATTCTAGAAATATCTTTGTGTTGTGAAATTTTCCAACCAAAGTATCAACAAAACATTTGCTAGATATCAAGTTCATGATTCTTTTATCCCAAATTAGCAAATCAGGATGGGTTTGTCTCACTACTGCTCATGTTTCCTTTACCAGAAACAACCCAGAACTCAAAACCAACATTTTATTTAATTAAAAAAAAAAAGCTAAAAACTTCAATAGCTAAGACCTAAAAGATGGTGTTTTGGGGTATCTATGAAGCTCAAAAAACAGAGGAAAATGGTTACAGAAATTATCATTATCAGATATACAAGTAGGCTAGTTGAAACTAATTTCCTGTTTGCATACAGGGTAAAAAAAGGCTCATTTCGATGGCCAAGAAGAGGTGGAAAACAAAAGAAGAAGGAGAAAAGAAACAAAATTCTTATATATTAATGTAATATCTCATTCCATTATCAAGAAATGTAAATTAATGAAAACGAAAAAGAAACTTCAAGAAAAACTCTCACTCTTTTTAATGGTGTGCAGAAGTAAGTACCCACGAAAGGCACGCAACTCCACGCACAAACAAGCTCCCCAGCTATTTCATTGCTTTCTGTGTTTTGAAGCTTTTGAAAAAGAGAGAAAATGAAATGAAAAAGTAGAAAGAGTGATATAAATATCTGGGTTTTCACTCTTTCTGATCCTACAACACAAACACTTCGGTCCAACAAAGCCACAACCTTTTTTTCTTTTCCTTTTTCTTGCTTACAATTATTTGGAAATAAAAATGGAAAAAAAAACCCAATTCAAAACTAATGATTACTAGTACTAAAGCTTTGATGGTAAATAAATTTAGACATAGATAAATGAAGAAACGAAAGTGAAACAACTTTCTTAGAACTTCAAAGACAACAGTTCTCAGTGCTTTAAACAAGTGCGTTTGTGTGGGGGACTTTTTGCTAGTTTAGCTGCTTTTTCGTAGATTTTTCTGGTACCCAAAATACATATGAAAAAAATAGCACCAGAAAGATTCTTTTTCTTTAAATCGTCGGCTTGCTAGAGAGGGAAAAAGAAGGAAGAGAAAGGGAGGGTCGTGGCACGAAACACTGGTCATATATAGTATCGTATTTGGTGCGTCACATGAAATATTTTTAAGCAGTCGTGATGAATGATGTCAAGGTTGGAATTTGGTGAGGAATAATAAAGGAAAAACAAGAATGATTATTACGTTCAGAAGAAATGGTGCATTGCTATGTTACAATTACCATCCTCTCATTTTATATCAATTTCTTTCTAGTTGTATTTGATAATTTTAATTTAAAAATTATTTTTTAATATCATTTTATTATTTTATTCTCACATTTTATATAACAAATTAAATTCAACATCATCTTTCAGCAATGTGAGTTGAATATTGAGACCTTTGCTTGGTGTGCAAGAAAAAAGATTTAGATGCCCTTTGCTATATAAAAAAAAAATGCTAGAGTAACTGACTGTTAAACGGGTAATATTACAGTTTTCAAAATGTGCTGGAAATATTAGTCAGCACCAGCCAATAAGAGACATCAGACAAGCCTACTGCCACTGGGTCACTGTCGTCGTAGAGCGTGCAAAAAATTAATCTCATGTTTGAAAAAGAAAGGTTCTATTTTTAACAAAAAAAACGTCTTAAATAATTTAATTATATCAATTCCTTTTAAAAAAATTGAAATGTCTCAATAGATAATATTATATAAATAAACATATCAATCAAATAAAATATTTATTTTTTTCTACAAATAACATAATTTATCGTTAAATTATTAAATTTTTTTAAAAAATTTAATATAAAATAATCATTATATATATTAAATAAATTATAATAATTATTTAAAAATTATTATATGTGTATTCTTTTTAATCAAACAAGTAAATATAATCACGAGATATTTTGAAAATAAAATTAAAAAAAACTTTGAATATCATATTTTTTTTAATTTATACTTTTTTTTAAATTGATGATTGTCACAAATCAAATGTTCTTAAATAAAAAAAAGTTATATATAGAAATAGAGAAAAGAGATTTAACGAATTTATTCATATAAACAATATTTAAATTTAAAATTTAATATTTATAATCTCTTTATTTTTTTTCATAAAAAATAAAGAGTTTCTTTTAAGGGTATTCTCCTTTTTTTTCTTTCTCCTCTGACTCTTTTTTTTTTACTGTTTTGTATAAGAATCCTCCATCATTGGTTCATTTACAATTTTGAAAACCCATTTCAGCCAGGTTAGCTTATTCTTCATTATATGCACGATATGTGGTTATTAGACCTCCGATATGACTAGGTTAATCCAATCCATATAAATGGTTTTTTCCTTTTTTTCGACAAAATGTTACGAGGGAGAGTGAAAAAAAATCTTTCTTTTGTATATATTTCATAAAATTTTACATTCTAATATTTAAATTCCATAACTACGTGTAAATTTTTTTTTTTGTAAAAAAAATTTGAGATAGATATGTTACTTAATTCTCAGATCAAGATAAGATGTATCATACTTGACAGTCTAAAACAAGTAATTACAGAATGATCTCAACAAATGACTGATAGAATTCAAACCCGAGAGCTCTTCGTCAAGAAGAACGACCTTAACCGATTGAACCAATCACTTGTTGATATGTGTATAAATTTTCTTCCATAACATTACTATTAGAAAATAAAAGAGATGAATGGATCTTTTTGTTTTTGGGATGGTGTAAAAAATAATATCACTTAATTCATTTTGATATTTAAAATTATCAGAATTTAAATCTTAATTATTAAAATAAGAGTCTAATACTCTATCAACATATTATGAGGTTATTGGTTAATATATATATATATATTTTACAAAAAATGCTATAATTTGAGGATACAAAAAGAGATTTCAAATGTTAGAATTTAAATTTAATCTATTAAATATTATATATTGAGAGTAATCACATAAATTAATTTTTGTGTTCAATATCTCTTAATTTCAACCGATGTCTTTTTCCTACTTTGTTCATGGTCTCTCTAAAATCTTGAACTTACGAAAAATTCAAATCAAAATTTCCCACTTCTTTGCGGTGTTCTATCTCGAATTTGTTTTGCATTGGATTGGAATATTCTTGTTCATGATCAAATGCCTTTGGACTACTGTCTTTCATGACCAATTTAGGAAATCCTAAATGAAAACATGATGAGAAATCTCATTTAATTTGAATCACAAATTTAGTAAAATAACTATTGTCTTATTTAATTAGTTATTCTATTGAGTCCAAAGCTGTATAGTTGGTATCAGGTCTCTTTCGATTCAGTGTCTATCTATAATCTCAATTCTATTACGTTGCTTCTCATGCATGGTCCATATGTCACGAGCTCCGACTTTAGACTCAGAATCCGTGCGATCTTAGGCTTGGGATCTCCTCTTTTATGTCTAAGTCAGCCTAAAATACAAGCGTACGGGCATTAGAATAATGGAAAGGGCTGATTACGCAAGTTAAAGAGAAACAGGATAACAAGGTAGAATACTGGAATATGCTTTGTATTCACTGAAACAGAAGTGTTTGATGGTGTACAAATGAGGATAGAGCAGCTCTCTATTTATAGTTGAGGCTCCAGCTACACTTAATGGCAATATCCCTAGAATAAAGGCTAAAATCAAGGGATTACAAGGATTACAATCAATCAAAATTTTAACTCATGATTTCTAGGGTCAACCAAATCTGTTAGGAGGCTCATGCTGATCCTGCAAGCTTCAAGAAGCTTCACTTGCGTGTCTAGCACCTTGGGCCCCTCTAGATGTGGTACGGGCAGCCTACATGCCAGGCCTTGGCCTCACGGGCTGGCCTGCAAGCTGGGCGGGCGTTCTGATCTTGTCTCCTAAGCCTTGCGTGCAAATACCCGTCAGTGCGCCTGGTGTGCGGGCCTTAACCTCTAGCTCGCGTGTTGGTGCACCTGATGTGCCAGGCACGCCCGCCCTGGGCGTGACATTTTCCCCCATCTGATTACGCAATGCCCTCATTGCGTCCTCTGCATGGTACCACCTAATTTGGTCTCCAAACTGCCATAAGTTCTTTGCTGGTTCCTAATTCGCCTCACTGTCTGGAAGTCCCTTCCAGTGTACCAAGTACTCTTGTCTTGGTTGGTAGTTCTTCTGTCTCACCTCTTGATCAGCTATGATGCTGTGGACCTCCTTCTCATACGAGGCCCTTGCTCTTAATGGGGCACACTTTGACTCTGCCTGTCCTAGATCTCTCTCATCCTCATGGAACGGTTTGAGCATGCTTACATGAAACATCGGGTGTACCCTTAGCTTGGGTGGCATATCCAGTTTGTAGGCAACCTTGCCTACCCTCTTGACTACTCGGAAAGGTCCCTCATACCTCTGGACTAGGCCTTTATGCAGCCCCCTGTGGCACACAATAGGATGCAGCTTCACCAACACCAAGTCTCCAACCTGAAACTGCACGTCTCACCTATTCTGGTCTCCCCACTTCTTCAACCTCTTTGTCGCCTTGTGTAGATAGACTTTGGCCAAGTCAGTTTGCTCCTATCATGCCTTGGCAAACTTGTATGCTACTGGATTCGACCCTGTATAACTTACAGCAATCGAACCAGATGTTAGTGGTTATTGCCTTGTCACAACCTCAAATGGGCTCTGGTTCGTTGCCTCACTCCTTTGTAAGTTGTAAGAAAACTATGCAACATCTAGCGACTTTGGTCAGTCTTTTTGTATGGCACTCACATAGTGCCTGAGGTAGACCTCTAATAGTCTATTCACACGCTCAGTCTGCCCATCGGTCTGTGGATGCATGTTGGTGGAAAAGTTCAAGTCTGACCCCAACAGCTTAAACAACTCAGTCCAGAATCTGCCCGTGAAATGCCCGTCCTGATCACTAACAATGGTACTTGGCACTCTTTAGTACTTAACCATATTTTTTAGGAACAATCGAGCTGCCTCATCGACTGGGCACTTCTTGGTTGCTGGAATGAAGATTCCATACTTGAAAAACCTGTCCACCACTACCATGATGCTTTCAAACCCCTCTGCTTTAGGTAGACTGACTATAAAGTTCAAAGAAACACTCTTCCATTGTCACTCTGGCACTGGTAATGGCTCCAAGAGACCGTCTAGTTTCTTGAGCTCCACCTTATCCTGTTGGCACACAAGATAAGTCTTCACATAGGCCTCCACATCATCCCTCATATGCGACCAGTAGTACCAATCCTCGATCAATGCCAAGGTGCTGCTCACTCCTAGGTGTCCAGCCCACCTTAAATCATGGCACTCTTGTAAAACTTCTTTGTGGAGCTTTTCGTGCTACGACACAAACAGTCTACTGCCCTTGGTGTACAACAAACCATTATGCACCCAAAACTACCTAGTCTTACCTTGTTGGGCGTATTCCATAAGAACCTTGACTGTAGGATCATGCACAAGTCCTTCCTTGATGCGCGGCACCAGTGACCCCTCTGGTTGGCTAATGGTAGCAAGGTTAGCCTTACTGCTTAGGGCGTCTGCCACCAGGTTCGCTCGCCCCGACTTGTACTCCATCTGAAAGTCAAATTCCACAAGAATATCTTACCATCTCGTCTACTTAGGGGATAGCTTCTTTTACGTCTGGAAGTAGCTAATCGTCACATTGTCCGTCCTAACCACAAACCTCGACCCCAACAAGTAATGGCACCAAGTGCGCAAGCAGTGCATCACTACAGTCATCTCTTTCTCTTGGACCATGTATTTACGTTCAGTCTCATTTAGCTTCCTACTCTCGAACACGACTGGATGTTCCTTCTGCATCAACACATCCCCTATGGTAAAGTCTGATGCATCCGTATGCACCTTATACGACTTGGCATGGTCTGGCAAGGCCAAGACTGATTCTTCGATCACAGCCTACTTCAACCTGTCAAAGGCTTTTTGGTACCCTACGCTCCACTCCTATGCTCTCTCTTTCTTGAGCAAGTCAGTCAGTGCAATGGCTATTGCTAAGTAACCTTTGATGAAGCACCTGTAGTAGTTAACCAACCCAAGAAATGATCTTAACTCAGTGACCTTGGCTGACGGTTGCCATTCCAAGATGGCGTGCACCTTACCTTCATCCATGCGTATCCTGCCACCTCTCAATATGTGGCCTAGGAATGGGATCTCCTGCTGGGCGAATGAGCACTTCTTCC